ATAAAATTTATTAGTATTGTATTAATATAATTAAGTATGAGGAGGCTTAATTTAACTATTTTGCTTTGGGCTTCCTGTAACAAGGGAGCTTGTCCCACGTCGAATTCAAATGGGAAAGTGATTAGGTATATATGAGTTAGGTGGTAGTTCCGCCTAATAGTTTAGGTTTTCGAGTCGAATTGCAAAGCTTCAACCTGTTATAGTTGGTAACAATCTTGATCTGTGGGTGCCCAATGCAACGAAAGCCTTGCGAGTTCGGATGAGAGATAATGTAATAAGGGGGAGTTTGTTTCACATCGGATCCGAATGAAAGAGTAATTGGATATTTTACATGACAATGATACATTTTGGATACTCTTAGAATGCAATGGGATAATTTTTTTTAAAAAAATGAAATTTAATGCAATTTAAAATATATTATGAGTTAATTAAAAAAATAATATAAAATTTAAGAAAACAAATGGTATGAGGCCTTTTTTTTTTAAAAAAAATTATGTTATCTTTATCCATTACTTCATTTTTTCTCTTAATAATTTCACACTTTTAAAACTATTTCTAAATTTTAAATTCTCTTCCATATCAATACTTGTTTCAATTTATTGACTTTTTTTATACCCACAATTAAATCACTAATTCTTACAAAAAAAACATAAACAGTGTTTTTATATTTCTTTGAGATAATTGTAAGTTAAGCATTGAGAAAAAATTTAAAATAAAAATTTATTACTTTTATATTAATATAATTAACGTGAGAAGGGCTCATTTAATAACTATTTTGCATTAAGCCTCGCAACTGAGTTGATTGGATTAAAAAGCAACGGAAAAAGAAGAAGAAAAACACATGTATGGCTAAGAATATAGATTTTTTCTTATTTTTTATTTTTATTTTTTTAGTGTTATGGCAAATTAGGGGGAGGGTTCTCAATTACATTAGCCTATTGTTCCATTTTGCTGGCAAAAGCTCAATACTTTCATAGGGAGTGAAGAATTGATTGGATTCAAATTCATTGATGAAGAAAGTAGAATGTTTCGTTAGTGGGTTAAAGGTATTAATTAAGTTTATTTTTATTTTTTTTGGCTTCCAAAGATTTAGGCTTATTCTTCTTTTGGATAGCGTATATTGAGAGGAAACAAACATTAACAAAGAAAATAAATACATATCAATATACATTACAAACTTGGTACCAAAAAAAAAAAATCAAAATTTTACATAATTTTTGGAGTAAAGCACAATAAACTCTCTTGAACTTTACCCTCTCTTCAAAAAAAAATTCTTGAACTTTTTTTTATAAAAAAACTCCCTAAGCTATTTAAATTTTTGCAAAAAAAGACCGATGACACTATTCCGGTTAGTGTTTGGCCGTGGGGTAGTCATTATAAATTAAAATGGCAATACTACCCTCATTGTTACTATACTGATAGACAAATTATTGAATGGTCTTAATTTATTTCACATTTAGTGGACTAATTCAATAAAAACTCTCCAATCATAAAATTTTGTAATTTATTAATATATTCTTATATACTATTTTCTCAATTTAAAAATTTATATTAACCGATTCACGGAGTGTTAATGGACCATTTAATAATTTCTCGTAATAATGACGCCACAATAAAACCCCCGATTGGAACCTCGCTCCTTTGGCATTACTGCTCTCATATACTCCATCCCTAATCGAACCATCAACCCTAATGGAAATCGCAATCTCTCTCTATGCTCTGCAACCTTCTGTGATTGACAGTGAGAAATCGAAGGGGTCAGTTTTATTTGTTTCACAAATCAAATCGAAGGTTTGTTGAATCTATGTTGTCGAGATGAAGCTAAGTGTTGATCACAACGCTTTCTGCTAGTTTTTCGAATTAAGCTCTATCTCTGTTCATAGGAATCTCTGGAACTGTTGCTGCAATTGGGTCTCGGCGTCTGGCTGATTTTGTCACTGCAGTTGGCCGTCAAGAGCTCAAGTTTCTCGCCAGTGGTGTTGCTGGAAAGAGGGACTTTCACCGTTCTGCAATTGTGGTCGGAGTTCTGTCTCTACAACTTCGCTGGAGCTCGTGCTTATATGAAGGTGAAGCTGGCCGGACATGTTCACGCTGATGAAGGAAGTTGTAGCTCTCAATGATATTCACGCTTCCTGGTCCCGTCGGTTTTTACTGGTCTGATTCAGGAGTTCCGGCTACTGATGGGTCTTCAATGCTGTTCCGGCCATGGGTAGTCGCCGTCCTCATCGCCATTGATGCTATATGACTGTTATTGGAGGGCTGATGCGGAAGAGTAATTACTTGGCATCAATGGTGGAGTAATTAACGAACAATCCAATTAATGGCACTGGTAGTTTGGTTTAAGCCATTCATCAATAATTTTGTCACAATTTCATCTTTTTTGTGAGCATGCAAAATAACAGGGCTCAAGCTTGAACCCTGAGACAATATCCACACACAAATTTCCCCATTGTTAATTTATGTGTCCACTAAAGGGCAACATTCAAACACTTGTTGCTACTGTTGCAACCGTGTTTTTGTTACGAGCAGGAAACAATGTTGCAAACGGGTCCAATAATGGTGAGGTAAAGATTTGATGCGTTTGTAATAAGATGAGAAAGATGTGTTTTAATTTTAGATTTTTTTATTTTTATTTTATTATTATTATTTTTATCATCAATATGATGAGCTCAATGGCTGAAGGAGGTATAGTTTCTGTGATGGAGTTTTCAGAGTTGATTGGTTGCGGTCTGTTTGGTTGGTATTTGGCAATAAATAGTGTATTTTAAGGTGGTGTTGGCACTCAAATGATAAGGGCAATTTTGTAATTTAATATTTCTGGTGAGCAATTTGGATTTTGTACTTAAATTACACAATTTAAATAATTTAGGAGGTAATACTTAATTCCGAAGAGTTTCTTGGGAGAGAGAGTAAAGTTTAAGTGGTTTATTGCACTTTACCATAATTTTTATGAATTTTGTTACTTTGTTGTTGCAAAATTTGTACCATCTTACAGTAAGGAAGAACAAATAAGACAAGATGTGCACTCGTTCTTTTTTGGGTTTGGTAAAACAAGAGTGCAACTTAAGTTGACAACCCGAGCCCAACCTAAACTTTCATGGGTTTAGACAAATAGGATTGGACATAAACAAATAGGGTTTGACGTAAAACTAAAAATCTCAATTCAACAAAGTACTCTCCACTCTTTTTATCTCCAAATAAAATTACAAAAATATCCTAAACACAATGTTTTAGTTTTATATCTTTCTACTGTCATAATTGCCCTTTTCCTTGAATGTTTCACTGCCCTTTTTCTTATATGTTTCACCATCTCTCAGTCACTATTCATAGCATAAGAAAGGGTATCTCTTTAAGTTTTCGTTCTAAAAATTAATCTTCATATACAAAACAGATACGACACAATGGATGCATTTCCTTTTACCCAATTCTAATATTGCAATGCAAATTGAGAGTATCAAATAGAATACACAAATATATATGTGTGTATGTTCATGAATAGGTTGTGTTTCTCTTTAAGTTTTCGTTCTAAAAATTGATCTTCATATACAAAACAGATACGACACAACGGATGCATTTCCTTTTACCCAATTCTAATATTGGGATGCAAATTCAGAGTATCAAATAGAATACACAAATATGTGTGTATGTTCATGAATAGGTTGTGTTTTTAAGTTTTATTATTGGGTTTTTACTTTTGAAGGAGAGAGGAATAAATGTGTTTGTACATATACATTTGTGTGTGAATAGGATGTGTTTTTAGATTGTATAGTGTTAACTTTTGAGGAGGGATCCCTCTAAATTTGGGTAATTAAGAGATCCGGGTGAGAGAAAAAAAAGAAAAATTATTAAATAGTCCTGACTAACTCAATGAAGACACTCTAATCTTGAAACTTTGTAATTTATTAATACACTTCGTAAAAGGGCATTATTTAGAAAAAGGAATGTGATGGCCTTTTCTTTAATTACCAAAAAAAGCCACTCTATTTAATTTAGAAGAACCAAATATTATGGGGTCCTTGTGAAGGCCAAAATTTAAGTTGGGTGGATAACTAACTCAAAATTTTATTATTAATTTTATATATATATATATTTTAAATGTATTAAATATAATATTTAAATTATGATCACCTATTTTTCTCCAATTTTTTTTTTTTTTTATTTTTATATATTTTTAAAAGTTTAAAATAAATATTTAAAACCTTTATATTTTGTTTAGGAGTAATATAATCACAAAGTACTCCAATATACTAAGAAATCTAAGCCGGATACAATAGAAAGATGAATGAAAGATGAATTGAAGAGTTAAGATGAGCATTTTTCGGAAGTTCATTTAGTCCTTGCTTTGCTAACACCAAAGAAATATGGGTTCTAGTGTCTACAATCCACAATCAACAAAATTACAATAAAATACAGGTTTCCAGACACATATATTTCTTGTTGGGCTTTGGTAAAATCCCATGGTTTGGATAAATTATGCCCAATTCCACTATGTTAAAAATCTGTACAAATTAATTGTGGAATTTCAACAAATATATATATATATATAAATTGGTTTTCTGCATTCAACCAAAAATCCAGTTTATATATGTACTGGAGACATTTATGAAAAACTAAATATGACCGAGATCATCATCTTTTGCCTCTTGAATTGCTGTACAAAAATTGAACACATAAAAACAAGTTGTGCGGATCACATAAAACAAGTCACATTTGTTTGATCGCAAAAAGGGTGGGAATGACCTTCCAGAAAATGGTAAAAATGTGGGAACATCTGAATGCATAACCCTCGGGCAAATAAAAAGAGGGCAACGCCAGAATCTCAACTCCCATATTTTGTTTTCGGCAACGTACAGCGCTGTAAACACTATTGAATCAGTGCTTCAGAGACTCTAATTTGTTGCCTTTTTTCCCACTAACCAAACAACCATTCAATCAATCAATTTACACACAATTCACTAAAACCACACCCTCTTACACACACATATATATACATATGAATAAGGCTCAGAGAGCTGGGATTATTATTGACATCAAGAAGCACAAAAGCTTTCAAAGTTTGATGGTATAATTTTCCTCATCACTGCCTTTATACACCCACATAAATACATACATATATATTCAGTCACATAAATAGCCAATCGAAAAAACACGCACTCTTATATCTAATCTAAACAAAGAGGCCTCAGTACCTTAGATAATTTTGCACATCAAAGAGATCTTCAAAAAGAACTCAGATGGTACGGACAATATCATACATCATAGACCTTATATCGATCCACGATTTCAGAAGATCTAAACTAACATCAAACAATTACACACACAGAAAGAGAGAGGTATTGTTATAAAAAAAGAAAGAAAAGAGGCCTCAAACCAAGGGCAAAAGGAAAAAGCCTCAGGGCTCACATTCTGACGAGAGTACACACCCGTATATATATAGAGTTATATATAGCGGCGGAGACCAGACGATGCGATGTGGAAACCCTAGTTTCTTATTTAGTCAGATTATTTATAATAAAAATAAAGAAAAAGGAATATGCGAAATTACGTAAATGTCTTACTTTACCAAATTAATACCGTTAAGAAAAAGGAAGCGCTGGTTTGTTTGAGTCGAATCTTTTTCAGTCTGAATCTGTATAGATTTCAGCAATTAGTAACAAGATTGAAAAAATGATGTAGAGCTAATGCCCTCACAATTTTATTTTTGAATTCCACTGCCGTCACAGAGATCATAATACCAATCATTAATCTGATCTTTAATGGGATCTTTTTCCATGCTGAATCTGTATAAAGTCAATGTAAAAGTCGTGTATATTTTTTATATTCATCGCCTTAATAATGTAAATTTACTACCCTAGTAGTGAATATATAAAAACAAAGGCTTAATCTGTCTAGATTCTGCACACCGACAATCAATTATATTTCTGAGAATAATTAAAAAATTTCCCACCTTCGCAATAAGTTTTCAACCTGATTCAAACAGTATTTGCAATCACAGTGTGGCCATTTCTGATGCGAAAACAACTATTCCCTGCAAAATTTGTGTGTTTGATTCATTTTATTGTGATTAAATCCATTGTATCACACTGCATAGTTGCTAATATAGCAGCAAAAAGGAGAGGTAACTTTATTTTTTATTGATCAAAAACCAAATCATTTTTCCCTTTGGACTTCAGAGTCGGTGAAAAATGGGGATTTTATCAAGTCTTTTTAAACTTCTTAAAAGCTAGAAAATATAGATTTGAAGATTTAAATGAGAAATAGAACTTGGAAATGGTCAGGAATATGAAACTGGAAAAGAAATGAAGCTGAACAAAAATTTTTCTAACTTCTTGTCCCACATCGCTCAAAAGATGAAGTTTTTGCTGGCTAATAATAACTAGTAAGACAAATGCTGAACGCTGAGCCTTGTAACGTGGGCTTGTAACTCGAGTGAGAGCATTAAGGTGGTGGAAGGTTTGTTTGGCTCAGATGGTAGGGCTTGTTTGGGTTATCTCACCGGCCCGCCCACTCCAAGTTAGGAGTTGGACTACGGACTCTCTGCGAAGGCCTAGAGTTCTGAGCCCCTAGAGTTGGAGGGTATTGCGTGAGGCTGGCTTCACAGAGCAGCGTTGAACCTCCCGCTCCTGTCGGTGGAAGGATTACGGGCCGGTAATCCACAGGCCTCGGTTAACGCCTGATGAGCCCTCCTAACCTGACCATCCCCTTTTTATTTCTATTTATTTTTAATTTCTGGCATAATTTTGTTTTTAACCATTTGTGAAGGGAAAAAAAAAATATTCTGAATGGGCTGATCCATTTTTTTTTTTTTTGCGTCCTATACTAATTTGACCAATTTTGTTGGCGCTTGATCATTTATTATTATTTTTCAATTTTAGGTATGTTAAACTAAATCTTGTGAAATGGTGAAGGTGTTCAACAATTTTATAACTTGTGTTATTGTAATGGATACGTATAATTAATTGGCACACATGAGCGATAAGTAATCAAAGGAAAAGATTGTTTGTTTAGCCATTGACATCTCGAATGAATTGGGCCTAGAATAATTGATAAGTATCTTGTACTATCCATGATTCCATCTAATGTTTTGAAAATCTCAAATTTATTTTGACTTTTTTTTTTTTTTTTTCCCTCTACTTGAATTCGATATGCAGGCTCAACATAATGGTGAAAGAAATTTAAACCATTTTATACATATTGACTCAGACAAATTGCAAATTGTATAAAATTAGTTGAAGTTCTGGACCTTGAATATGGTGGGCCCACCACCACATCCATGATCCAAGGATTGTCATTGTTGGGAATACCATACCTTACTACATGGATGATCCAAGGACTTCCATTGCACCGAGGTATTTAATACTTTCTGGTTAGAGGGGCTTGTCCTAGATATGAAGAAGGATTTGGACATATATGAACGAATATGCACCATGACCCAAAAACTTCGAAGGGAAAGTGTTCGATGGTCCTTGTCGAAGATGGGTGGACAAGATGGTCCAATTGAACAAAAACACCTTGACTTCGCAGACGAGAGAGAATCCATGTTCAACATGAATTAATTTTGAATACAATGATCAACTACCTCTTATAACCAACCATACATATTGAAATAAAATGACTTTTGTATAAAGAACAAAAACAAGAAAAAAGAAAAGGTAAAATGGTGTTGTCATTGATTTATATAGTGGTTTTCAAAACAACATTCTCCAAATAATATGCAACTTAAAATCAAGAGTTTTGGTTGGTCATATATATATAGTCATATATTCTTATAAGGCAAAATTGGGATTTTATCAGTCTTTTAAAACATTATAAACGCTAGAAAATATAGATTTGAAGATTTAAATCAATAATAGAACTCGAAAATGGTGAGTAAATATGAAGCTAGAAAAGAAATGAAGTCGAATTGTTTCTGCAAATTTTTTCTATTCTCATCCAACGTTGCTCAAAAGATGAAGTTTTTCTTGCCTAATAAGTACTGGACAGCTCATGTCGCCGAGACTGGTAACGTGGGCCACTTGAGTGAGGGCATCAAGGTGGTTGGGCCTGGCTGGGTACTGCGTGAGGCTGGTTTCACAGAGCAGCATGCACCTCCCGCTCCTGTCGGTGGAAGGATTACGGGCTGGTAATCTGCAGGCCTAATAACGCCTGATAAGCCCTCCTAATCTGACGATCACCTTTTTTTATTTTTGGGCTTAGTTTTGTCTAATTTCAAAAGTTATTTGGCATTTTATCGTCTATGTGAAGTTTGTATATTTATATATCACAATTTTGTAACTTTTGTTATTGTAATGAATACGTATTATTGGTAACACATGAGTAATCAAACAAAGCAAAAGATTGTTTAGCCATTGGCGCCTCCAATGCATGTGGTTACAACAATTAATAAAATATCTAAATACTATCCATGTATTGTTTTGAAAATCTCAAATTTATTTTGTCTTTCTTTACTTGAATTTGCTATGCAGGCTCAACATAATGGTGAACACAGAAGAAGGAAAAAAAAATTAAAATTAATTTAAACCAGTGTCTATACAAATTGCATATGGCATAGAGGGTTTTGTCCCAGAATATACAGCCCTACCCAATAACTAAAGTTTTTGGGTCAAAGAGGCAAGTGCTAAACTTGTTACAATGGTATCAAATTAAGGTTTAATTTTTGATTTGGTTGTCACGCCAAGCGCCCACTTAGGTGGAATTCATATCCGAGTCCTTACAAGGTCCATCCGGTCATTAGGAGAGATAGGTAAATAGGGCAGCCCGATTGTAATGAGGATATTGTGAGTTCGAGCGAGTGAGAATGTTATAAGGTTTTTATCGAAGACGGATAGAGCGAAGAAGAATGTTAGATAAACAGGTTGGTTTCGATTCCAACGAAAGCTTTGAGAAGTTCAAAACCAACCATACATATTCCATTGATAATATTATAACCAGCCATTCTTCTGCATGTGTTCTGGTTTGTGTGTGCACTCGAAGTCTATATGAACAAAAACTCTTTCCACTTCAGCCTGTTCAGTCTTCTCTTGCAGTGTCTCACCAATGTTGTGTGCTTGGCTAATAGACATGTCCCCAGCCAACACTATGTCCACTTCCACAAAGTAATGTGATCCAACTGTGCTTGATCTCGTCATCATGGTTCCATACAAGGTACATCAGCTTTGTTAGGTACTCAGGAGGGGCTGAATTGGTGGCAGTATGTCAAGAGCATTAACTTATTTTCAAAACGTGTCTACATAATTAGGATGTGTCTTCTTAGACTATCTCCAATATAAAATGTCATTTTTACATATCAAATTTATATTTTGAGAGGAGCTATAGTGTCAAACTGCTATTTTTTTGACACAACAACCATTATTGTTCAACTACGTACCATTCCCAACTACAATTTTCAACAACCAATTTTTTTTTTTTTTTTTTTTTGAGTGTTTGTATTTTATTTAGCTTATTTGCCTTATTAAAAATAAAAATATTGACACATATATATATATATATATATATATATATATATATACAAGCACAACAGACCTATATATACACATATATATATACACACAATAGACATATACATATATATATACAAGCACAATTGACATATATATATATATATATATATATACACAAGTACAACACCAAATTGACAGCCCATGCGAGAGAAGAGAAAAGGAATAGAGCAGTAAGAGATTTGGCAATAGCTATATGTTGAGTTATATTTGGCACAATATTTGACAAAGTTATATTTTGGCAACCCATTTGACATGCCATTGGAGAGCCCATTTTAAACCTACATGCTATATTTTGAAAATAGCAGCTCATTAAAGTTGCTCTTAGCTCTAATAACTTTGATGTGGGACGTTACAGTCACCCTTTTTTGGGAACCATATGATATTAGAGCTAATTCTCGCTTGAAAATGATGGGAGCGTGCACAACCCCACAAAGATCAGTCTAACAAGTATGCCGGACCTAAGAGGGACACTCGTATGTGTGAATGCTTACCAATTGCATAAAAACGTTTCGAAAATCCACCTTTAACTATTTTTGTCTACTGCATGAATTAGTTTTGAGGCCAAAAAACGGCTACCCCTTAGTAACCGACCAATACATATACCATAAAGAATATTGAAATAAAATGACACTTGAATAAAGAGTGAAAACCTATTATAAAAAAATAAAATTGGTCTTCTCATTGATTAATAATATAGTAGTTATTACTCAAAACAACATTATCCCAATAAGAGTTTACTTAAATCAACAGTTTGCCTGATTATATAATCATTTATTCTCCATAAATGTTCTTGCCCATGTCTAGATTCAAAGTAATATGCAATACATATCATTGAATTTTACTGGTATAAAATTGACGGAGTGGAAGTTCCAAATGTTTATAAATCAATAATGAACAAATTTGAATCTACATATATAACTCTGAAAAAATTATTAATTAATAAAAAAAAATATTTTGTTTATTTATTTATTTATTATCATAAATGTATTTATAATAAAGAAAACCTATAGGAAAATAAAGGATATTAAAAAGTTCGAAATTCAACTTATCTATATAATTAATTACCGAAAAAAAAAACTTATCTATATAATTACAAAACAGTAGAATAAGAAACTTAATCATTAAAAACTACTGAATTCCAAAATTATAAGATTATGAATCTGTTTAGACTAGGAACAAAAAACTCAAAATATTCAGCAGTTTGAAAAACGAGATTTCGAGCCTAAGAATTTGGTAGAAAAACAAAGTATATTATCAGCGAAATTGCTGATTATTACTCGTTGCTTTGGTTTCGATCATGAGTGGATTTTTTCACATCAAAATTATCCCAAAATTTGGGTAAGCATGTTGTTGATTTAGAGTTTTAAAGGTCCAAACAGCCATATTGATTTCAGCAATTAGTAACAACATCAAAAAAATAATCCAGAGCTAATGCCCTCACAATTTCATTATTGAATTCACGGCAGTATGCCCAAGAGCATCAACTTCACTACCGTCACAGAGATCATAATACCAATCATCCATCTTTCCTTCAATGGGATCTTTTTCCGTCTGAATCTGCATAAATTCAATGTAAAAGTTGTATTTTTTTCATGTTCCAAGCTAGGATATTTTAAGCCATAAGTTCTGAGCATAATTAAAATTTTCCAACTATGCAATAAGTTCTCAACCTGATTCACAGAGTATCTGCAGTATTAGTGTTGCCATTACTGATGCGAAAATTACTATTCCCTGCAAAATTTGTCAAGTCTTCTTAAAAGCTAGAAAATATAGATTAGAAGATTTAAATCAGTAATAGAATTTGAAAATGGTTTACATTTTCCCTTTCACTTGTAGTATGGAGAAGAAGTGGACTCTACAAGTACTACTACTTCAGTCGAGAAATCAAACTGTATCAATTTTTATAGATCGTTCTGCACGCCTTTGGCTTGATTTTAGGCCGTGACTCCCCCTATGTGGACGAACCTAGAAACTAGAAAAGAAATGAAGCTGAACTGTTTCTGCAATTTTTTTGTATTCTCATGTACATGAGCTTGCAAAATGCTTAATTTTTCATCCCACATTGCTCAGAAGTTGAACTTTTTCTTCCTCAATAAGTGCTTGTGAAAGTAGCTCAGATCACCGGGCCTGGTAACGTGGGCTTGTAACTCAAGTGAGGGTATCAAGGTGATCGGATGTTGGTTTGGTACAGATGGTAGGGCTTGCCTGGGTGTTTACACTGGCCCGCCCGCTCTAAGTGAGGAGTTGGGCCACGGACTTTGGGCGAAAGCCTTGGAGTTCTGGGCTCCTAGAGTGGAGGGTACTGCGTGAGGCTGGTTTCACAGAGCAGCGTTGAACCTCCCGCTCCTGTCGGTGGAAGGATTACGGGCCGGTAATCCGCAAGCCCCTTAACACCTGATGAACCTCCCTAATCTGACGGTTGCCTTTTTTATCCACATTTTCTTGTTTTGAAATTATCAAATTTATGGTCCTTTCTTTTCCCTTACTTGAATCTGGTTATGTAGACTCAACAGAATACAAATTGCCGCTTTATACGTATGGTCTAAGACAAATTGCAAATGAAATAGAATCAATTAAAAGTGTTAGGTGGCGGCTGTCCAGATTCCGATGATGAAAGAGTTTGACATATATATGAGAGAATATGCAGCACTATCCGATAACTTAAATTTTTGAGCCAAATGGCAAGTGTTCGGCCGGTTATAGTGGTATCAGATCTAGGTATACTCCTTGATTCGGTGTCATGCTAAGCACACACTTAGACGAAATTTATGTTCAATTCTTTACTAGGTCGTGCTCTTATTAGGGGAGATTGGTAGATAGAGTGGCTCGACAGCAACAGAGCATTATGAATTCGAGTGGGAGAAGCCGGGAAGATGTTAGAGGGTCCTTGTCGAAGACGGGTGGACAAGATAGTCCAAATCAACAAAAGCGTTGTGAGTTCGCGGACGGGAGAGACTCCGGGTCCGAACATGAATTAGTTTTGAATACAATGACCCCTTATAACAAACCATACATGTTGAAATAAAATGATTTATCTGTATAAAGAAAAATAGGAAGGAAAATAAAATGGAAAAAATGGTGTTCTCATTGATTAATATAGCAGTTATCAAAACAACATTCTCCAAATAAGATGCAACTTGAAATCAAGATTTTCCTTGATCATATAACATATAATCTATGTGTTCTTATTAGGCAAAGTCTTGTGCATGTGTTCTGGCCTGTGTGTGCACTCGAAGTCTATATGGACAAAAGCTCTTTCCACTTCAGGCAACTGCTCAATCTTCTCCTGCAGTGTCTCACCAATGTTGTGTGCTTGGGTAATGGACATGTCCCCAGCCAACACAATGTCCACCTCCACAAAGTAGTGTGATCCAAATGTGTATGCTCGAACCGTGTCGATGTTCTTGATCTCTTCATCATGGTTCCATACAAGATACATCAGCTTTGTTAGGTACTCAGGAGGGGCTGTCCTTCCAATCAGTGACCAGACATTCTCCATAACTGTTCTCGCCCATGTGCCCATCGTGTACAATGCTATCTGCAATACACATAATTCAATTTTTACTTGTATAAAATCATTTACAATTCAATGTACTAGTAGTAATTCATGCATGGTGGTGAGCTTACAAGGATAGCTCCAAGAGGATCAATCCACCAGAAAAATCCAATGGCTAAAACTGCAGCCACTAGTCCAATTGAGTTGGTCACAACGTCGAAGAAATGATCTAGAGCGTACGCCCTCACTATTTCGTTCTTGAATTGGCGGCAATATGTCAAGAGCATGAACTTCACTACCGTCACAGAGACCATAATACCAATCATCCATCTTTCTTTAATGGGGTCTTTTTCAGGCTGAGTCTGCATACATTCAATGTAGTTTTGATAAATCAGTGAATGTGGATTTTTTTTTTTTGTTCCTAGCTAGGCTATGTTGATTAATAAATTCAATGTAAATTCTGCAAAATGAGAATCAATGATATCTCTAAGCATAATTAAAATTTGCCCACCTTCGCAATAAGTTCTCGGCCTGATTCAAACAGTATCTGTAGTCCCAGTGTTGCCATTACTGATGCAAAAACAACTATTCCCTGCAACATTTGTGCATTTGATTAGTTTTTATTGTAATTGAACCCATTGATTGTATCACATTGCATATTTGCTCCCATAGCACCAAATAGGAGAGGTGAGTTCAATGAAAAAATGAATTATTTCCCTAATGGATTTGAAGATCTAAATCAGTAATAGCTAGCATCAATAACAATAAACATGACTTTTTAAAAAAAAAAAAAAAATCCTATTATTAGTTATAATGTTTAATGAGTAGTGCACTTCATTACAAATTACTCAAGCCCAAAGGCATTGTGATAAATTTATATGACTTCCTTATTTATGCACAATTTTGTTGGTAAGGCACATAATAGAAATGACACGTAATAGAAAGAGAATTCATGTGGCCGACCCCATTTATATGGGATTAAGGCAAGGATGATGATAGTGGTGATGAATTATGTTGGTAAGCTTACCACTGGTTGCATTCGCTTCTTGCCAATAGGATACCGATATTGATTTGGTTTTCTCATAGCATATGAAGTAAACCACAGAATGAATCCTGATAAGAGATCCAAAAGGGAGTCCAAGGTTGATGCAATCACAGCCACTGATTTACTCTGTATGGATGCATAAACTTTCGCCACGAAAATCACTAAGTTGGCTATGTTAGAGGCACGAATCGCAATCCTCTCACTTTTGGCAAGCTGCTCCATCTCATCCTGAGACAAAAAAAAAAAAAAAAAAATGTACATTACTTGTAACAAAACAATGTAAAAGAGAGAAGAACAAAAAAGTTCTAAGAATTGTATTAGTCAAGAAAAATTCTAGTAATTGATCATCACAAGATGAGAATTCTTCAATAGCATGTCACATATAAAAATAAATGGCAATTTACACACTGCTAAATGGTTTATTTTTCCTGACAAGAAGACTGCTAAATGCTTTGGGGGATAAAAAAAGCACGAAAAGTCGAAAACAAACCTCTGTTAAGCTACCAGGCAAGCAGCCCATTTCAGTGAATGTATCCATTTCATTGAACCCTTTGAGAAGCTTCTCCTGCCTATTGTAATACTCTCCAAGTTTTCTCTGTGTCCCTAAAGATTGAGAGAATTTAGTTGTTTTTCGAGTTTGTTAACCAAAAAGTACTAGGATTCTGATCAAAGAATTAGAAAGCTTACTTATTTTCTGCACAAGTTTGCCAATGCCAAATTGATGATCTTTGTGTCTTTCTGGCAATTGATGCTCATCAAAGTTGAGTCGCCATGACGGCACCCTCATTGTGATGCCATTTTCTCTTGTTAGGGCTGGTGAAAGGAGCTCTGTTCGGTGATCAAAGGAATCAGTGTGCATATCAGTTGACATTTTGCTTCCAAAAAAAAAAATTGGCTTGATAGAAAGGAGAGGAAATGCCTTGCTTATATAGAGAAAAATAACCTCAAAAACAAAGAAATAAATGAAACTGAACTTCAATTCCTTACAATATATAACTATATAAGTATGTATTTTCAAAAGATTAAATGATGGGTTAAGCATGGAGAATGTTGGCTTTGATACTAAACAACAGTACAATATTAGATCTTAAGGATTCATTTAAGTCAATGAATGTGATCTTTCTTTTAAGAGCTGACTTTGTTTATTTTTTGAGTGTTCATAAGAAAAAAAATGATCCTACTTGGGAATCTTTTTACCATGTTCACACTACATATTCCATCTACACATGCAGTTTTTTTATTTTTTTTTTATTTTTTTATTGAACAAATCAACAAGTACAAGTAAGTGATGGTGACTTCTTGAAGAAAACTGCATTAAACTCCCAATAAGTATTTGTCATGCTGATGTAAACTCTTTTTTTTACCCTCTCAATCTAGGGGAGGAGGGACTCAAACACGGGCACATCTTCTTGGGGAACTGGGCGCTTCATGCTGATGTAATTGAAGGCATTATTTAGCCAACCAATCTCAACTATAGCTACCAAAGCATGCTGCTAGGATTTGCAACAGCCATTCAAAGATCATCATCATTCATAGAGGCCTTCAAGACTTGGTATGACTAAGAGAAGTGTGTGCAAACCTCATACACACTTGCAACACAAGTTTGAGTCATGCTTCGTTAATACTTGAGAGAGCCAGCCAGAGCATATAACCAGTAGCCGTGCAGTGGCAGATGCAGGAGGATAGTCAAGCAGGGTGCCATGGCACCTTCCGATCCACAGGTTTCTAACATCTTCATACCTAATGATTTTCCACAAATTAGAACAGTGACTTTATGTATAATTTGTACTAATATTACCATTTATTTTCCACAATTAATTGTAATGATCTGATATTTGAGGCCTTAACAAAATCCTGTTTCCCTCAGAACATACATGAACTTACAAAAACATACATTTTGATGTTTTGCTGAAACACCTTTTACTAATATCCATTACTTTGTTATGAAAAGAACCAAGATATATTGTTGATCTCGCTACAACACCAGCCACTTCAGAGTTTACTTTGATAATATTATTGTATTACTAACCTGAATTAGATATTGTACTTTGAAAAGAAAAAATAATAATATCTGATATACTAGTAAGTTTGGTTATCCTTGAAATTTCTATTGGTATAGAAGCAAAATTACCTAAATCATTTTCTTCTTGTGAGCTTAAAAAAGACTTCTCTCCTCTCTTTTTTTCCTTTTTTTTTTCTCTTGTAGCCACCTTACAAGTCTATACAGCAAAGTTTGATTGTATTTTAAGCTGTCAATTTGCTAAATTATTTGACCAGTGATATATAATTGCACTGGTGGAGCATTGATTTAGTTAGCGATTTGTAAGTTGTTGCATAATCGATATGAAGCTATTATGATTATTCGTTTTCATAGCTAGAAACCAAGGGAGCTTTTCATTTCTGTATATGCTTGCATTTTGCCAAGTGATTAAACCATATAAGCACTTTTTTATGTTTCGCCTCGAAAATTCTGGTCTCATTCATTGAGCAAGAAAAGGGCAAGGGCAAGGGCAATGAAATGTAATTACAACAATTAATAAATATCTAAAACCATCCATGTAAAGTTTTGAAAACCTCAAATCTACATTGTCTTTCTTTCTTTACTTGAATTGGCTATGCTGGCTCAACATGATGGTGAACACACAACAAAAGAAATCCAAACCAGTTTATATACATATGGTCTGCCAAATTGCATATGGTATAGAATCAGTTAAAGTTTGCCTAGAGCTAGCTGGACTGTTGTCAGAGGGGGGATGTCTCACATCTGATCCGGGTGGAGAAAGTCTTGGGCATATACGGGCGGATATGCAGTACTACCTAACATCTTAAACTTTTCGATCAAAAGGTTCGGCTAGTTATAGTGGTATCAGAGCGAAGTTCAGTCCTTGATCTGGTATCACACCAAGTGTTCACCCAAGTGGAGTCCAAATCTAGGTCGTGACGGAATCCTCCCCTTGTTAGTGGAGACGGGTAGACAGAGTGATCCTACCGCAACGAGATCATTGCGAGTTCGAGTGGAAGGGAATGTTAGAGGGAGATTCTCATTGACTTCTGTATAAAGAGCAAAAACAAAAGGGGGAAAAAAAAAAGTTGCTCTCATTGATTAATAATATAGTAGTTATTACTCAAAACAACATTATCTAAATAAGAGTTAAACATAAAATCAAGAGTTTGCTTGATCATATAACATTGTAATCATGTGGTCTTATTAGGCACTCTTCTGCGTGTGTTCTGGTTTGTGTGTGCTCTCAAAGTCTATATGAACAAAAGCTCTTTCCACTTCAGGCAACTGCTCAATCTTCTCTTGCAGTGTCTCACCAATGTTGTGTCCTTGGCTAATAGACATGTCCCCAGCCAACACAATGTCCACCTCCACAAAGTATTGTGACCCAAATGTGTATGCTCGAACCGTGTCGATGTGCTTGATCTCCTCATCATGGTTCCACACAACATACACCAGCTTTGTTAGGTACTCTGGAGGGGCAGTTTTTCCAATCAGTGACCAAACATTCTCCATAACCGTTCTCGTCCACGTGCTAATCGTGTACAACGCTATCTGCAACACACATCATTAATTTTTACTTGTATAAAATTAATCATTTGCTTAATTATAAAATCATGCATGGTGAGCTTACAAGGATAGCTCCAACAGGATCAATCCACCAGAAAAACCGAATGGCTAAAACTGCAGCCACTAGTCCAATTGAGTTGGTCACAACGTCGAAGAAATGATCTAGAGCGTATGTCCTCACAATTTCATTCTTGAATTGGCGGCAGTATACTAGGAGCATGAACTTTGCTATCGTCACAGAGACCATAATACCAATCATCCATTTTTCTTTAGTGGGATCTTTTTCAGGCTGAGTCTGCATAAATTCAATGTAGTTTTTGAAAAATCAGTGAATGTGGACTAAAAGTTGTATTTTTCTTGTATAGCCTAGCCTTAATAATGTAAAAACAAAGGTTTAATCTGTCTAGATTCTCCAAAATGACAATCACTGACATTTCTGAGCATAATTAAAAATTTCCCACCTTTGCAATAAGTTGTCGACCGGACTCAAACAGTATCTGTAGTCCCAGTGTCGCCATTACTGATGCGAAAACAACTATTCCCTGCAAAATTTGTGCATTTGATTAATTTTATTGTAATTAAACCCCAATTATCACATTGTTACTTAATAACATGGCACCAACAAGGAGAGGAGAGTTTATTCCTTGTGGATCAAAAACCAAATTACTTCACTTAGAACTTAAGGGCCTGTGAAAATCAGGATTTTATCAAGTATTCTTAAACTTTTTAAAAGCAAGAAAAATGATATATTTGAAGATTTATATTAGTAATAGCTAGCATAAATAACAATAGAAATGATATATATTTTCTCCTATTATATAATGTTTAATGAGTAATGCACTCCCTTACAAATTCCAAGGCATTATGACAAATTGATATGAACTCATTTTTAATTATGTTGGTAAGCTTACCACTGGTTGCATTCGTTTCTTGCCAATAGGATATCGAAATAGATTTGGTTTTCTCATAGCATGTGAAGTAAACCACAGTATTAATCCTGACAACAGATCCAAAAGGGAGTCTAGGGTTGATGCAATCACAGCCAAAGATCTACTCTGTATGGTTGCATAAACTTTCGCCACGAAAATCACCAAGTTGGCTATGTTAGAGACACGAATCGCGATTCTCTCACTTTTAGCAAGCTGCCCCATCTCATTCTGAGACCAAATAAAAAATAAAAAAATAAAAAATAAAAAATTTGACCATCACAAGATTAGAATTCTTCAATACCATGTCACATATAACAATAAATGGCGATTTACACCCTGCTAAATGGTTTGAGGGGATAAAAAAAGCACGAAAAGTCGAAAACAAACCTCTGTTAAGCTACCAGGCAAGCAGCCCATTTCAGTGAATGCATCCATTTCATTGAACTCTTTGAGAAGCTTCTCCTGCCTATTGTAATACCCTGCAAGTTTTGTTTGTTTCCCTATAGATACATACATGGATTGAATTTAGTTTTTTGGTGAGTTTGTTAACCAAAAGTAGTGAGACTTTGATCAAAGACTTGCAAAGCTTACTAAGTTTCTGCACAAGATTCCGAACGCCAAATTGATGATCACTGTGTCTTTCCGGCAACTGATGATCATCGAAGTTGAGGCGCCAAGACGGTATAGTTCCATGTTCTCCTGTTGGAGGGTAATGGAAATCTGTTTGGTGACGGAACGATTCAGTGGCCAAATCAGTTGACATTTTGATCAAGAAATTTGCTTGAACGAAAGGGGAGGAAATGCGTTGCCTTGTACACCAAAAACTAACCAAATTGAGTCGTCATAACTAAGGGTAATAAGCATCCACTTTGGGAATATTTTTACCAGGTGCACACCATATAAAGAACATTTCATCTAGACGTGTGTTGACAGATTCACTGGAATACAACATGGATAATGTCGGTAAGATGCTAAACAACAGTTTAATATTAAATCGATCTTATCTTTGTTTTACCAAAGAGATGACTTTGTTTATTAAATTGAGTCTTCATAACTAAGGTAAGCATCTACATGGGAATCTTTTTACAAGGTTCACATCATATAAAGAAAATTTCAACCCCAAAAAAAAAATAATATTACTACAAGTAATTTTAGCCCAGTTTTAAAAAAAAATTACCATAATAATGTATCGAAGCACGATTTAAGTGCGTTGAAAAACTCTACTACAACATGGGCCGTCACAGCAGAGGATCCGAACTCCTCCAAGTGATGGTGACTTCTAACCTGAAAGGGAAGGAAACAGCTTAAAGCTCCCAATAAGCAATTGCCATGCTGATGTAATTTAAGGCATTATTTAGCCAACCACTCTCAACTATAATGACCAAAGCATGATGCTTGGATTGGCAATGTACTACTCCCACTATCTGCAACAGCCTTTCAAAGATCATTCATAGGGGCTGAAGATTTGGTATGGCTAACCTCATATACACACTTGCAACACAAGTTTGAGCCATGCATCAGAGCCTTCCATGCACAGCCCGCATGTGCACAGACCCCCCTCATTGTTTGACAAATTACACTATCCTCCCCAGTTATGTCGACGTGTTTGAGTGAAATTATATATATATATATTTGGTGTTTTGTTGAAATACCTTTCATTCTTATCAAAAGGACCAAAATTGCTGACCTTGCTACATCAACCACTTTAGAGAGTGTCGTAATTTAGTTGTTGTTTACTTTTTCTTTTCTTTTTTTCTTTTGCAGAAAACATGCATCACTTTAGGGTGCTTTGTACGAATGGTTTTCCATGCACCAAGGTTTGAGCCTTTTAAGCAATCAAATTGCTAAAACAATTGACCACCGATGGATTTTAAATTTTTTTTTTTTTTTGGCATTAGAAATCTTGTGCAGAAACTTATCTGCCACTGATTCGGCCGATCACCGAACATAGCTCCTTTCACGGTTTCACCCCACCTGCCCCAACAGGAGAAAATGGAAGTATACCATCATGGCACCTCAACTTTGATGAACATCTGTTGCAGAAAGACACAGTCATCATCAATTTGGCATTGGGAATCTTGTGCAGAAAAACTTAGTAAGCTTTCCAAAGGCTTCAGTAACAGCAAAACACAGCCATATAGACATTTAAACAGACAACTGCGTAGAAGATTACCAAAAGAAGCTGGCAAGATGCAGCAGAAGTTGATAAATCACATCACAATCCCAACACTGAAATGTGGTGTACAAATCGTCAATCGAGAAAATAAATATTTCTAATTCAATTTTTTCTTTTTGTATTTTAAATTTTATCTTTGAAAATAAACAGGGTCTAATAATCATAAGACTGAACCACTCAGTCGCACTAAAGAAAGTAAATGAACACTCCATAGCATACACCACTACTCTTGGAATCCCATCACCTTGACTGGCTCCAATCATTCAACTGATTCTTTTGAATTATGCCATTTTCATTCAAGTATTCAACAAATTCGTCGATAAGATATGGCCAAGCACCTTCTGCATCATAGTTTGATAGTGCGGGATCCACCGTCTGCATTAACAATAAACATGACAAACATTAGTGACTCCCAAAAATTGGCATCGACTGCTTCAGCTGGCCTCCTTAAGAAGAACAGTGGTTGACACAACAAACCTATGATTTATATTCCAATTCCCTTCTGAAAACCAAATTCAAACCCTTGATCCAAAAATTACAATAATTAGAAAAAAAGAACTTCGGGATTCAATATTGACCAGAACCCAGTTAACTAAAGTCATATAGGAGTGTGCTCCTCGCATGAGTGCACTATAAGGATCTCCCTTACACTGCATGAATTATATCATTAGTAATATATAAGGATGAGAAAACAAAAATGCAAGTGTACATCAGTTTGGGGCAAGTAATTGAATGCTTCTTATCTTACCCTTGCAAATTCCAGTAGTTGAGACCAGGTGTCCCTAGAGATTGCTTTATTATGCCGGGCCTGAATTTTGGCATCAAAATACAAAAATAGTGTCATATATATACACAAAAAAACAAAAATTGAGACGAGCAGACCCAGGAAGGAATTTGTGATTTAACCAAAACTTCAGCCATTCTGTAGGAGATTAATCACAAAAAAAAAAAAAAAAAAACCCCAAATAACACCATATTGGAAATTATGGCACAATTTCAGTCAAGCACAAAAAGAGAGTAATATTACATGTAATCTACCAATAGAAAATTCACATGACATTATACTGATAAAACATCTAATTTTTGGTTGTGTGCGCATTAAAGGACATTGATATTTATTCTTCAATTTTTTCTTTTTCCTTTTCTAGTAAAAATTGTTCATTTTGTTCCCATAGGCAAGCAACACAGTACCAAGTTGCCCAAGGCAATTTCTTATGAACCAAACATCTCTGCATGACTCTCCACAGGCTTAATGGATGTGACAGTGCTATCAAAACCAGACCAGACATGCCGGCCTAACCAGTGAACCATCCAACAAATTCTTTAATTGGATCATTTCAGCCAAGGGATAGGGGTGAACCCACATGAAGTATGAACCACCCTAAAATGGTCTGGTTCATCTCAGTCCGAAGCAAACTGACCACTGTACCAGTCATCTATCTGCTTAGCATTGTAAATATATACATAGAGAGAGACACACACACACACACACATAATAATTATGCTTGTTGAGACTTGACCACTGGGCTAAGGCTCTTTTTTTATAAATTTTCTTTCTATAGTTTATTTGTCAATGAATAACTTCATACGCTAAAAAAATCTATAATATGGCTCATTTGATGGACCCAGTGATTGAACTGGTGACCTAAAGGCTAAAAACCAACAATGAATATTGGATACGAAAATCACCTCCCAAGTTCTTGTTCTTTAGACACAATGAAAGGAAAAGAGAAAGGAGAGAAAGAAAAATTGAAAATCAAAAGGAAAATGAAGAACGAGTAACCATCGCAACGAGATTCTTCCATTCCTATTAGCTTCTCCTGATGAGTTTGGAAGAAGCCAATGTTTATTCTACAAGTCTCTTACTTGTTATAATAATTATTCCAATACCATCAATAGTAGGTGTGGGCCAGTTCAAACCAGCAAACTGAATGGTTGGGTCCGATTCTGGGAATAAATGATTTGGTTCTGGTCCTGATTCTAAAAATTAAACAGTGACTTTCAATTTGGTTGAGTCCGGTTGACAGTTTGGATCAAAAAGGATTGAACCAATCCAAACAGTAAATAATATGTATAGAGTACTTGTTTTATTTTCATTGGTGGGCAATATTTTCATAAGAGAATATATATACACACATATATATATACTCCTTACTAAGCCTAATCTCTCAACCTCTCATTCTGCATTCAGACTCTAGCCCCATGAAGCTTCTCACTGCCATTATTTCTTTGTTCAATACTCAAAAAGAGAAGAAAAAAATAGAAAAAAGTAGACGCCACTCATTGACTGTAGTTATCGAAGTACTAAAAGTGCTACTCACGAAGGAAACAATTATTTACAGGTAAAATAAAATAGTTTTTTATTAGAAAAAGTAGTACCACCTCAAACTCTATATATATTCCTCTGAGATGTATTGTCTAAAATGATGGAATTACTTTTCGAATTATGGAAACGCCTATGAGATGTAAACCACGCGCCTAATCCATTAGATGTCAGTATCCGCTACGTTTCGGACTTGGATATATCACCTCCTTAGAAGTGTCCATTCTTCGTGGAAAGTAAGGGCAGAATTCTATACAATAGTGATACCTAAATGTGTTTAAGTAAAAAAAGTTTTGACCATAGAGATTCAGAACGCTAAAAAAGTTATCATTCATGATTCCTAAGCACACAAAGACAATCTAATGACAGAGTCAGTCTTGCCAAATTGAATGATAAAATTTAAGATAGCAATGCACATAGCATGTAAAAAATAATTCAGCGCTCACTCCTATGCAAATTTCTAAAAATTTACAAAGAATATATCAAGATATTTTCCTTGAAGCTACCTGCAAGAACTGGCACCAGTGATCGACCAATGGCCATTGCTTTTCTGCAAAAAGCAACTGCCACATCCCTATGGCCGTATCCAATGCCAAAGACTTCTGACCCTGCATTCCAGAAACAAATATTATCATCTGCAGGTCATAGAGATAGCTAAAGTAACCAAAACTTCTACCATACAATATTTTATTATCATTTAAACATTTCTAGTTGAAGTCTGGTGAGTGCTGCAAATATTCCAAAGTGAAATAATAATATCAGCAATCTTCAGACACAATTCCTATGATCCAATCGCCTGTAGCTGTCTGAGAAACTGCATTGAATTGAATTAGCATTTAATACACGTGTTTACATGCTTTCAAGTCTGATTATTAATATCCATCAGGAGGTTGTCATCCCAGAACCCCCCCCCCCAAAAAAAAGAAAAAACCACACGAGAAACTGAGGGAGAGAGAACAAGAAAGATAAAGCCATTATGTGGGATGTGGGAACATAATAAAAAGCAGAACCCACCAAATGCTTAGCTTACATACATACATACATACATACAGACCTGATCTCTTGCGCCCCATCGCAGAAAGAGTAAGTAATGTGCATGGCTAAAACACTGGCCATTGGATGACATCCAACAGCAATTATATGAAACTGCTTGCATACAGCCTTTTAGACTTCCTTAATTAGAAAAACCACCTATTTATAAGTAAATGTAAGCATCTACTTTTCCTTGAAAACCGATAGAGTGGTTGTCACTTGATACATTTATTTCGCTCTTTCACAAGTCACAACATAAATATTCTCTCTTTTTCCATATTTTTCATTTCTCTCTCTATCACGAAAGGCACTAGAGAGTTCTTCCGCTTCCTTAAAGGAAGCCTTAATTTTCCCTCTCTCATCGGTTTTTCTTTTCTTGTTTTATTTTTTATTTTTTGCTATCTTCTTTTTTCCTTCAACAGATTGCTTATTTAATTTATTCACATTTTTTTCTTCAGGAAAGCCCTATTTTTTCTTCTTCTACCTCCTTGCGTGTTCCCATCCTTATGTTTCTGTAATTTGCCCTTTTTTCTTCTTGTACTTGCTTCTTCACCATCGTCATTGCCTTTTATTACAAATAAATGGGATTGACCGCTGAATTATCTTTTTTCACTTTATTCTATTACAAGTCATGTATCTTCTTATATTTGATTTTTTAAATCATTTATACATACTTCATTCCACTCGTCCATCTGTGGGTCCTTGTCACTATCCTCGACTCTTTTTCCTTTGAGCCATGCTTGAATGCCTATTTTGAGCACCCAACAATCTTGACTTGGGAATATTAATTCCTCAAATATATTATGCTTCGTTAGCTGATTTCTCGATGTTATTTAAAATTGTTGAATATTTAAAATTTTGATGTAAATTTATGATATATGAATTCAGGATTATAAGTATCTGTTTTATTTGATGTGTTCTGATGCAGCTAATCATAATTATTATGATTTTTTGTGATTATATATACAACATGCACCGCGCATCTTGCCTTGCTCCTAGACTCCAGGAGGCCTTTGTAAGGCTATAGTGCACCTTACTTCATTCAAGCGCATGTCTTCACTGCTTTATTCTCAGCATAAACCAAATCAAAACCCTAACCCCAATTTTACCTTGGTATATATATATATATTGTGTATATATACACACACACAGGTGGCGGTAGAGCCATCGTGGACAAATTGGTGCTGCTGGACGTGGGAGAGAGAATAGAGGGGGGTTGAGAGGAGAGAGAAAGAAAAGGCAGTGGCAGTGGCAGTGGCAGTGGCAGTGGAAGCTAGGCTGGAAAGGAGAGAGAATTAGTGGTGATGGAATCAATGTTTCAAATTTGACCCAAAAAAATCAATTAATTAAAAAATCTGCAAAATTGTAAATTGCATTTCAGGCAAAATCTTCAATAGATTTTAAAAAAAAATATCAAATTTTGCATTTTTTTTCTGAAATTTAGGTTGAAAAAATTGTAATTTGCAGATATTTTTTCCCTCTTAGGATTCTTAGTGAATGGGTGAAGCTGTAATTTCATATGCTTAAATAAGGCCATTTATATCTTTTTCTTAATATGAGGGGTAAGTTTGTCAGATCATGCATAACTTTTAAATGGTGCTGATGGTCAGTTAATGGCTTGGGGAATATGAAAAGTCACCAAGCACGCATAATTGTGTGTGTGAACGAGATAAAAACCTCAAGGGAGGTTGGTGTAATTTTCCATTAGAAGAAATTGTGGAACCTCCCTTCCAGGTTAGCTTATTGCACTTGTCATTTCCCGTCCACATTCCCTGTTGATGAGATCCCCTCTTTTCATTCTCCATTTTGTGGTGAATTTCATTGCTTAAAAGAATATTGCAAGTTACCAAGATAAGGAAAGTAATGCTTAGGGAACATTCATATGATGAACACTTAGAGAACATGCCAACCCAAAAATAAAAAATAAAAGAACTATCTAAAATAACACAAAAAAAGAGTTAAAAAACTGTTGTAAAGTGAACCATGAACACTACAAAAGGATTTTGATCCAACATGATGCTCTTTTTTACACCAGGTTTGGGTTTTATAAGAACACTGAATGGCATTTGGTTAACAAGCTGCAACTTTGGGCAAAAGCTATGAAGTTTAGGATTTTTCAGATATGACTTCCCCATTGATCGGATTACTGATACATGAATTATTCATAAAGCAACGCCAAACAAACAGATTTCGGCAATTCTTTTTGGATATTTTCATGAGAAATAATTTCTTTCAGCACCAAAATAGACAGGATGAACTGATATAAATTTGGAGGAGCAACAGACAGGATGAACTGATATAAAGTGATTCAATTCAAGAAAACCAAGTATATAAAAATAAATGTAAATCCCAGTCCTGCCTAATAATGCATACCTTCTCTTTTGCCCAACCAAAAGCGAAGTTGTAGATCTCACGGAACTTTTCTGTAAAATTTAGGCAATGATTAATTATAGATACAATATGACACAAGCTTTATGTATTACTCCAAAGTTGATCAAATTGATTTTCCCAAAAAAGGTTTCAACTTTTTTTTCTCTGCATATGTCAATATTCGAACCGCCTTCTAAGTTGAAACAACATGGATATGATGACGTAGACTTACAAACTACATTTAAAAAACTATGGAAATTGCTATGTACGTACGTTCATCTTTTAGCTCAGAACGCATAAATTGTATCCTGTCACGGAATTTCTCCATTGAATCTATCCTGCCATCAAAAGTATATATATCTCAGCAAAACCAACATCATACTACTTTCTTCCATTAGTTTTGGAGTTAAGGAAATAACAAAACTTACCCAAGAGCTTGTAATCCACCAATAAATTCCTGCTTGGAAAATTCACACATGGTGGCAGCCTTCATGTGCCAAGAAACAACCAACTGCAGCAGAGGCAAAAATTTATATTAGCTAAAAATCAGCCAAATTAATTAGCGCATTTACTTGACAATTCATAATTTAATATCTAGATCATATAGAAATAAAAAAAGACTACTGGTGCATTATGCACAAACAGGACAAAGATTTTTTCAGGACTTATTAAAATATAATTAAGAATAAAGCCTGATTAAATATGTTTATCAATAAAATATCAATACATTCAATAAAAATACTGCCATATAATACGAAAAAGAAGAAGGAAAATATACTCCAAAAGTTTAGAAGCAAATGATCGAAAAATAGAGGAAAGAGCTCAATAAATCATTCAAGATTCCCAAAGTTCCTTAAGGGCCAAGTGACAGAAAATACCCCTTGCATCATCTCACTTAAAATATCCTAACTGGATGTCTTCCATAATCCATAATTCACTGACATAAGTCAATTAACACTCAACATTTCAGTTCCAAAAATAAGAGGATAAGTCATTTCCTTAATTTAAATCCCTCAAACTAATTGGAGGAATAAGGATGAGATTCCATTGGCCAACGTTAAGACATTACACCGTGAACCAACAAAAATCATTGACAATCTAGACATTTATCAACATCAACTTTCTTTTTTGGATAAATATAAAAAAACGCACCTCAGAAAAAGATTTATTTGCATACATCCCGCAAAATGATTACCATATCAATCAAACCCAACAAAGACTAAATTACATCCAACACATTGACATCATAACTTTGAAGAATTAAATTCCTGAATAAAAATGCACTTTACCTTTCCTTGCACTTAATCTGCATGGAGAAATAGACACTCCAACTCTAGCATGGTGCACAAAATTCATAGTGGCCATATCTACTAATGAAGGTTGATGACCACAAACAATAAACAAAGGAGAAATTCCAGGATTTTTTGGATAAAAAGGAGGTGAGAGAAAGATACACTATGGTGTGCTGACTCCAATTTGAGCGTAATTTGAAGGATATAGATAAAGGAGGGTGAGAGTGGTAAGAAGCAGATTGCTTTTAATATATATATTTGTGGTATGAAGCAGCTTATAATGATGGTTATGAAGTCTTGGTGTTAGGCGTCTGTTTAACCAACAGAACAGAGAGATGCCTCAGGCTGGTGGTGGGAAAAAGGTGGTAGCCGGTGGTGGTTGAGTGACTAAGATTAGTCAAATTCCCTCCATTTCCATGCATGTATCCAGCATTAAGCAGCTGATAAAAGTTTTCTCTTCTCCTATTGAGTATTTGTCTCTCATGCCTATATTGATGGATACTTGGACAGTACTATGGCCCAACTTTATAGAACGTGCGGGCACGAGAGAGAGAGAGACGCCATTATTGGGTGTGTCAATAATCAATCAATGTATTTTTGTATCCAGGATATTCCTTTTGTCTTTCCCCTTTTGTGAATACCATTCAAGCAACAAATTCTCAGGAACCTTATTGTAAGGGTAAAATAAAAACAATAATCAGAATTTTGAGCCCTAATGAGGATTTATTTCCCATATAAAAATTCACCATGGGAAGATGTACAATGATATATGCCATAGGCAAAAGATCTTAACAATGATGCAATCAGCTTTCAAGTAACTTCCATGTTATGAAAACGACCTTTCTATCCCATAAACTCCTCACCAATAGTTCTAGATAAAAGACAAACCATCAACAGAAATTTTCTCAAGTGTATATGCCATTATTCATGATAAAGGATTATTTTCTAACAAAAAAAAAAAACTATATAAATTAAGATCTATCAGAAACTTCCATCTGTAACCCCAAATGTTCCTAAAATAATCATTTGTTGATATTTCAGACTTTTTCTGAAACTCAAAGGAGCAGGAATAGTAAAGAATCAAAACTGAATCATAGCATTAAAGATAAGATTTTCCAGAACAGTGTAGAAAATTATTCAATATGCATGCCTTATTCAAAGACAGATTTTATTTAAATGCAGCACATACCATAACAATATCTTGTGGATCCACCTGCCAAGAAAACAAAGATTTAGAAATCATTAAAAATGCATGAAGAAATAATTCTAGCTTTTTTAGGAATGACGGGGGTGTCTAAATTTTTTTTTTTTAAATAATGAAGTAGAATAATCTTTAGGCTGTGACTAGCAATACATCATGATGCTAGAAGTTGCTCTTCTTAATATATCCAACATGCATGTATTAAAATCAATCATCTAATGATTTTAATCAAATAAAATTAGTTAAATGTCAATCAAGGTAGATCTACCTGAAGGTCATTGCAGAGCAGAGAGATACCATCGGCCATAATCATATCAGAATATGTATCTGCAGAACACATCGATTATCTCAAAAATAATTTTTTACAAGGAGCAACTTCATGCTGCAAGTTATATTTCTTACACCTGTTCATCCATAAAAAGTACTCAAGCAATTCATAGTTTTCAACATAAAATTTGTTTAATCACATTCAAGAGGGGTCCAAACAAAATTGTGGGTTGAATCCCCAAGTAATCTACAAGAAACACCAAGAGAAGGTTCTCTCTGACGAAATGGCTTCCAAATATTCAAAGCTCATCCAATCATATAAGACATCCCAGCTCTTTTTGCAATATGTTTTAAGTCAAGTGCATAAAAAACGCAAGCAAAAAAATGCTTTTTGATGATATCCCTACTGAATTTCTATCACGGTTTATACATTTTGCAAGTTCATGACAATGTAGCTACTTCTCTAAATAAATATCCTCTGCTATTGAACTAATCAAAAGAATTTTGCACTCCCCTATTGAACAAGCAGTAGTGGACAAGTAAATGTTAACCAAAAAAAATATATGAAAAAGCAATCCGTGGACAAATGGCAATCTCTTGCATCCCGTGAAGGAGTATGATGAAAGCATTTAAACATATTAGACAGGCTTAATAAGACCCATAATTTGTAATGTCAATCCATCTTCGAGCTTATTGAATATTAGGGGCTTCAACAGAGAGCCAACAAAATGAAGATTATGGAAGATGTCAAGGGGAAAAGAACTAGAATTTAGCTCTAGTTTTGTCTTTATATCCTAATTCAGTTATACATGGCAGAGAACTAATTTTTGCCATCCCTACCATTCCAAGCTTCAGCCAGTGGCCCTATTCAGGCAAATATATTTTACATACCGTGAAGATGGGCATCACAAAATATACACAACGTACAATTTAAAGGATAGCTCAGCTAGAAATGATACTGCTCCACTTGAGCAAGGGCAGGCATTCCAGCTGTTTCACCTCCGGCCGCTATTGGGGATGTCCAAAGAAACTTTAACAAGGGCAGAAGGCAAGATAACAATAGAAGTCATAAATAAGCTTTGGCATAAGAAACACGACAGTGATGTTTTCAAGATGTTAGCCGACACTGAAGACAGTCCTCCAATACTTACAAACTTATTAAATCTTGAATCAGCATTGCTGTCTAACCAAAGATCAGATGAGCCAAGTCTGCCCCAAATAGGGCTGTAAATGAACCGAGCGTTTGACGAACAGCTCGAGCTTGGCTCGCTAAGAGCTCGACTCGTGTTCATTTGTTTAATAAACGAACCAATCTCAAACAAAACTTTTAAGCTCGTTTAATAAACAGCCCTCAGCTCGGCTCGTATTCTCGTGAACATGTTCGTGAACAGGATTGTTAATAGGCTCGTTTTGGCTCGTGAAAATTATATAGATAACTTGATAATTTTTTAGCCCACATACCATAAGTCCATTAAATTTTTAGTTTCTTTTGTTTCAGATTAGCCCACAACCCAATTCATATTATAAACATTCATTATTTTAAAAATAGAACCCAAGCCCATCTATCCAAATCAAGCCCATGTACTGCTATATATAATGTCGAAACCCTATTTTACCCTAATATCATATTCACTCTTGAGTTAGCATCACAATGAGGAGCCTAGCCGCACATCACAAGTTCACAACAAAAGCGAATAGCGATCAACCTTGGACAACACAAACACTCTCTTTTAACTTCACTATTTTAGTGTTCTAAATCTTCATATTTTGTATTTATACAGTAATTAATCAATATCTTTCCTCTCTCTCTTCCCTCATCTCATGTCTCTCATTTCTCCCTTTGTTGATTCCGAGTATAATTTATGAAGATCTGAACAGGTTTGAGTCTTTGTTGATTATGAGTAGAAATAGTGAAGACCTGAAACATCTTTGTTGATTATGAGTAGAAATAGTGAAGACGGTTTCGACTGTGATTTCTTGTGCGTGTGTGTGTGTATATTTATATATATAGACGTCTGTGTGTGGAGGAAGTGTCTATTGATTGCAGTATAAACGAGCTTGATTCTAGTGGCTCGTGAGCTCGTCAAACCACCTCGAGCCTAGCTCGATCAGGGTGAAGTTAGGTTCGGCTGAACTCGAGCCGAGCTCAAACATGGCTAAAAGAATAGCCGAGACGAGCCCAGATACTCCAAAGCTCGGCTCGGCTCAATTACAGCCCTAGCCCCAAAACATATGGGATCAGAATCATATATGTGTTTAAATTACCCATATGATCGAAACATCATGGAATAGAAACAGAATCAAAGGAAAAAATATATTGGAAGAAATTCTGGACCAAAACCAGAATATTATCAAAAAATCGAAGGAAAACAATACATAACTTGGAGGATATATGGCACAGGAAAATAAATGGAATGGTGCATGTGCACCTTACCTTTGTATCTGCTGTAAAGCTCCTCCACATGTCTAGAATCAGTAAATGATTTAACATGGGGCTGGCTGTAGAATATATCAAATGCCCCTTCAAGATGCCAATCACTGGCCTTCAACGCCTGAAGGGCAACTTTTTCACTGCATTTGAAAAAGGCAAAAAAGGTAAAGAAATACCTTGTCATATATATATTATACCGCAATGTAAACTATGCAAAACCAGGACACCCTACCGAGATTAAAGAAAAATCATTGAACAAAGTAAAAAAAAAAAAATCCAAGTGTAAAAGGATGATTGATTATGCCATCCTACTGAGATTAAAGAAAAAACATGAATCAAAGTCAAAAATTTCAAGCAGGAAAGGATGGTTGATATGTAAGCAAATGACCATAAATATAAAAAGGAGCAATTTAGTAACAAATACTTACTAAAAAATCGATATAAAGGCAAAACTCTTGAACTAATAATCAATTTACAAATAACCTTCCTGAACTACTTATCGACTGAAAACCGCCTAATCCATCTAAAATATTTCAAATATCCCCCGTCCTTAAATCACTGTTTAGAAAATAACACAATTTAGTCACGTGCATTGTTATGACCAATATACGGATGGCTATTTCACCCATGACCCAAATCCAACACTGAAATTTGACCTGTTAACGATTTTTTGTTACCGAAATAAACGACCTATTTTCCCCAACGACCGCTCTTCCCTTATTATATATAGATATAGAGGAGCAGAATACATAGAGAGAAAACCACGAGAGCTAGTACTTGAACCAAAAAGGGAAGCCACTTTGCTTTCACTTGTTAAAGCATCTGACGGTTATTCTGTAATTTTTCACAATGGGTATGTGTAGAAATTGTGAATCAAAATGGGAAATTACTGCATTCGCTTGACAAAGCATTTGACTCTGCCCTTGCCATGTATTATTTAATGTACTAAAACATCCTTAACTTCTAAAAATTTATATAATTATAACTAAATAATAAATTGATACAAATTAGCATGCTTTATCTTAGTTTTATCATAGTCTTTAAGCAAACTTCCATTTAAAATTCCATTTTAATTTCACACACTTTTTGTTTCCTGTTTCGTACAGCCATTTTAGACCAAGTTTCTTATCATCTTTTACTTCCTCTTCCATTTTTAGTAACTATGCTAACACCTCTGGGGATTAGTAACAAGTAAGTACTTCCATGGAATGCCTCGTGGAAAGTACAATAAGTGGAAATGGGGTTTGTTGGTATTCAAACTAAAATTAATTAATAATAACTGGAGTTGATTTGGTCAATTTGAAATTTGAATATTAATTAAAAATGTTCATACGAAATCAAAGAGTTTTCAGAAAACAAAAATTAAAATTTTTGGTAAAAAATTTGCAACAACAAAGCCCAACTAGGAAGTGGTTCATAAAAGCCACAACGATCAGCATACATAAACTTTTTTTTTTTTTTTTTGGATAAGTAAGAATAATTTTATAAAAAACGCTCAAAAGGGGAGCGAAACCCTGAAAATATACACAAGGCCACAAAGGACCTTTAGGCCTTCAAAGAAGCCAAAAAATCAACAATTTCATCTAAAAATCTATGATCTCTCCCATATACCCAACAAAAAAGAGTGGAAATAATAGAGAATTTAAGAGTGGAAATCGACAACTCCTTCCCATCAAAATATCTTCTATTCCTCTCGAGCCAAATACACCACCACACACAAAGAGGCGTAACCCTCCAAGCATCCACAATGTGAGCCCCCACATAGCAACCTCTCCAAGCCTCAATCAACCCTCTAAAGGATCCAGACATAACCCAGAGAATCCCAAACAAGCCAAACATCAAATTCCAGTAGTCTCTAACCATATTGCAATGGAGGAGAAGGTGATCCACAAATTCCTCATCCCGAAGACACAAATAGCAGCGATTGACCACCACCTGATTTCTCCTTCTCAAATTACCCTGGGTTAAAATCCGTCCCAAAACAGAGGTCCAAGCAAAAAAACCCACCTTGAGAGGAGCCTTATAGCGTCAAACAGCCTTCCAAGGGAAGCAAGCACTATGATCATCCGTGAGGCATCTGAAAAAGGATCTAGCCTCAAAGCGCCCATGAGAGGTGGCAGCCCAGGACCAACAATCAGAAGTCCCATCCATAATCCTCTGGCGATACAACAGCTCCAGAAAACGAATGGCCTCCTCAATCTCCCAATCCTGAAACAACCGCCTGAATCGAACATCCCAAACCAGTGACCCACTGTCAAGATGATAGCAGTTAACCACCATGGCCTGCCTATCCGTAGCAATCCTGAAAAGATGAGGAAAAGAGGTGGCGAGAGGAGATTCCCCACACCAAACATCCTCCCAAAAGCTGATCCTCGAGCCATCCCTGATTCGAAAGCGAACGTGTTTGGAAAACTCATCCCAACCCTTCCGAATGACTTTCCAAACCCCCACACCTCGAGGGCCACGCACCTCCAAAGAACACCACCCTCCTCTAGACTCCCCAAATCGACAAGCAATGACCCCCTCCAAAGCCAATGCCTCTCCACAGCCATTTCCCAAGGAGAGCCTTATTAAAAGGCACCAATCTTCTAAGACCCAAACCTCCGTAACGAATTGGCCTGCATACCTGATCCCAACAAACCAAATGGAACTTAAACTCTTCACCTCTCCCCCTCCCACAGAAAATTACGCTGCAATCTCTCAATCCTCTCCGCAACTGAAGAGGGAATCTGAAACAGAGAGATAAAATAAGTAGGAAGGCAAGAAAGGGTGCTCTTAATCAGAGTGACCCTACCTCCCTTGGAGAGATACTGCTTCTTCCAACCCGCCAACCTCTTCTCAAACCTATCCACCACAGGGTCCCAAACCCCAACACATCTAGACGAGGCCCCCAAAGGCATCCCTAAGTAAGAGATGGGAAAGGAACCAGTACGACAGCCAAGGATATCAGCCAAAAACCCAATCTCAGGGACCTCTCCCACCGGCACCAAAACGCTTTTGCCCACATTCACCTTAAGGCCAGAAACAACTTGGAACCAAATCAGGACACACCTCAAATATCTAAGCTGGGACACATTTGCATCACAAAGAAGCAAAGTGTCATCGGCAAACATTAAATGGGAGACCTCCAACTGGGGAGCAGCATCCCTACCCACTTGAAAGCCTCTCAGAAACCCTAACTCAATAGCCTTACTCATCAATTTGCTGAGGGCCTCCATCACAAACAGGAACAAGAAAGGGGAGAGCGGATCCCCTTGTCTTAAACCCCTCGAGCTAGAGAAAAAACCGGTAGGAGCACCATTCACAAGAATCGAGAAGCGAGCACTGGAAATACAAAAATGAATCCATTTCCTCCACCGATCACCAAACCCCATCCTCTCCATCAGGTAAAGAAGGAAGTTCCAATTCACATGGTCGTAAGCCTTCTCCAGGTCAAGCTTACACAAAACTCCTGGGACCCCACTGCGTAATCGGGTGTCCACACATTCACTAGCAATAAGAACTTAGTCGAAAATCTGACGACCTCCCACAAAAGCATTCTGAGAATCATAAATGACACCATCCAGGACTTTCCGTAATCTAGAAGCAAAAACCTTGGCAATCAACTTGTAGAAACACCCCACCAGGCTAATAGGGCGAAAATCCCTAATATCCATCGCCCCTCCTTTCTTCAGAATGAGAGAAATGAAAGTGGCATTCAAACTCTTCTCAAACGAACCCTGAGCATGGAAAGCATGAAATGAACCCATCACCTCCCCTCTAACCACCTCCCAGCACTCCAAAAGAAATCTCATGGTAAAACCGTCGGGACCTGGGGCTTTATCCCCGTTACAACTCTTCAAAGCAGAAAGAACTTCCTCTTCAGAGAAAGGCTCCTCAAGACCTGAACACTCCTCACTAGAAATAGAGGCAAACTGAAGCCCCTCAAGCAAGGGTCTCCACTCAACAGTCTCAGTGAACAACTTCTCGTAGAACTCTGAGATGCCCCTGCAAAAATCCTCCTCCTTGCATAGAAGCTCCCCTTCCACCTGAATCCTCCCAATATGGTTGCCCCTTTTATGAGCATTGGCCAATCTGTGAAAAAATTTCGTGTTATTATCCCCCTCCTTGAGCCACAAAGCTCTAGACTTTTGTCTCCACGAGATCTCCTCCATGATCGCAATCTCAGCAAACTCTGCCTTACACTCCGCCCTCTTAACGTTCAAAGCGTCAGCCAAATCCCCTTGACCCTCCATCCTATCAATATCAGCGATCTCAGCTAGAACCCGATTTTCCTCCACACAAGATTCCCAAAGACTTCTTTGTTCCAAATCTTAGTATTTTCCCTTCAAACGACGCAAATGATCTGCCAGCAAATGACTTGGGGTGCCAATCACCCCAAACCCCGCCCACCAAGATCGGACCCTTTCCAGAAAACCCTCATCCCGAAGCCACATATTCTCAAAACGAATTGGAGAGCGTCTACTTCGCAACCCGCCACAATCCAGCATCAACGGGACATGGTCAGAGATAGGACCGGCCAAAGTAGCTTGCACAGCATCAGAAAACTTCTCCTCCCAAATCTTAATCATAAACTTTCAACACGACGATTTTTCACACAAGCCAATTTACCCAGTGTCTATGATTGTCACATAACAAGTTACAAATGCCCTACACAACGTGTCCAAGAGAAGTTACTCGATGCCAAACAAGACTCACCAATATCTTTCTTCTGCTCATTTTTAGGGAAGAATCAAAACATGTAAGGGCCACTACTCTTTTTTTTTAATAAGTAATGTAAGGCCCACTATTTGCAACTCATTTAATCAATTCTGCAATGTTGTGTAATTAGATTCGTATCTTACTTAAGCTATGCATGGGGATAAAATATGTTTGATCTCAAGGAACTGTAGTACAAAACGATAAGTATATTAAAGTGGCCTTTTGTGGAACGATAATAAAGTACAGTATCACACACAAGATGAGGGATCCAAAATGTTCATCTGAAAGGAGGAGAAGAAGCAGAACAGACCAAAGGGAGTAATGATGAATTTAGGAATGTTTGTGCACTGTAACAAGGAATAAATGAGCTTCAATTATGATATTTTTGGTCGTTGGTGCTCTGGCCTTTTAATGCTCAATGATATTAGTACTTCTAGTCCGAGGTTCTCTAGACAATACCCGAAGATATTGGATATCATCCAGTACCTCTAGCTCAGAGAATATGATTATCCTAGCTGTATTTGAGCGATCATTAAATCAAACTGACTCTTTTCCGCACGGGTTGGCAGCGGCACATTAAATAGCCTAGTCACAGCATTAAATGTATTTGGCTGGTTATTAATGACGGTAGTTAAACATTAAATGGTTAAGTTGTGGCATTAAATGCATTCGATGTGATTGTGAGTCTCTCTATCATGGCACTTGATCGCCATCCCTTTGGTCAGGCCCAACATTCAAGCTCTTAGGCAAGTTTTGGCTTCTCATCCACAATTCTACGATCCTTCTAAGTATTCTATAATGTGAAAATAAGTGTGAGGGGCCCTACCTGTGCCCCTCTTCACATTTTCCAATCATGTCTCGAGAAATGTCTGTCAAGACTTCAAGTGTTTTGAAATAGTACTTTAGGGTTGCGAGTTGTCCCCTCAAGGTTCCAGATTCTTGAGGCTTGAGGTGACTTGATAGTGTCGGGGTTTTGGACTTGAGATTTGGGACAACATGAGATGGTGCCAAGGTCTTGAACTCAATTACTATTTTCTCAAGGTTTGGGGTGACCTAACGTGGAGTTAGGGTTTTGGACTCGATAGATGCTTACTCGAGGCTTGGGATGACCTAACAAGGTGTTAGGGTTTTGGACTCGAGAAATGTTTCCGCAAGATTTGGCATGACTTGACATGGCGTCAAGGTTTTTGGACTGGAGAGTTGTTTCCTCAAGGTTTGAAGTGACCTGACATGTAGTCAGCATGTTTTTGATTTTTCAACTTTGCGAGTTTAGCCGGGAGGGCAGCACGTGTTTGACATCTACATATATAAGAAAGCAAAAACTAGGTGCAAATAGGTGGAGAAGAAACCTTGAGGTTTGGCAAATGACAAATCATGGTTATTGCATACATGTGCCAAGACCAGGGTTCGCTTTCGCGGATGCAGTGTAACGGAATCAGTTTAAATGAAAATTCATGCTGTATATAACGTGTGAAAATAATAAAAATATAATACAACTTAAAAGTACAATAAGATTATTAACCATATCATCTATATTATATAACATATATTATTTGTGGCCCCAAAGTTTATAACATTCAAAAATAATAAACAATTATTTTCTTTTGCAAATTATAAAGATAAAACATTAGGTTTGGAGCACCATTAGCAAAGACTGTACTTCAATGGAGAGAGTACCTTGACTTTAAAATTGTGCCAGGTTTAGACTCTGACTCTACACTTTTATTTATATCAACTTTCTAGAAATAGGTTAAACATTATTGTTGCACTAAAATAAACGAATACAAAGCAATGGTTAGAGTCCTTTGGTTTTTTCGAAACTTGCCAGAGATTGACTCTAGCTGCCAGCAGCAATCATTTAGATTAAAAATACAACCAGCTTCAAGTGCTAGTCGGTTCAGTGGTGCAACCGGCTAGTATAGCGGCGACCCGACCGTTTCTTCAAAGAACCCGGCCGTTTCTTTGAGGAATCGGCCGGTTCCGTTGTGAAATCGAGAACACCCCGATATATCAAGGAGTACCGGTATCAGTACCCCCAATTTACATTGCAAACCATGGCCAAGACATGTATTGATTGATACCAATTAAAATGACACAAATCTATAATCTAGACACAGTTGTTGCCATTACTCAAGCAATTTCTTTTAATTTTTGGCTATGGTAAGAATCAAACATTTACCCTGTTATGCATGCACAACTAATGTCATGAATTACAAACCTATAACAGCCTCGCCATTCTAGCAACTTTTGAAAACCTCAAATTTTCATCATCTGTGTATTGTTTTTTTAGCGGATCTTCATGTATGCCTCGAATGCAGTTCCAACATATAATAGCTTTTCTACACTGCTGCATTTTCTAGTTCCATAAAATAGCACCAAAATGGCCAAAACATCCCACCGACCCTTCAATAACTTATTTCTTAAACAAAAAACTACCAATCACATGTTCTCATATACAGAATACACACTGCCCACAGGTTTGTCACGGAAAAATTAAGCAGCTTAAGTAACACGAAGGCAAAAAATAATTAAAGCCATGATAACATAAAAAATCAGTTATGGAAATCAAAACATCCCAGATTCTCGAGTGAACCTGTCTAAATAAATCCGCAATAATCTCTAGAGATTCTAGATTTGTTTTTATAGGTGAATCACCATCATATATTGATTTATTGTCTAGCAACATTGTTTTCCTAAATGATATTACCTAAGTTTTAGTTTATTCAAGGACATTCAGTTGATACAGACCAATAAAGTGCCTTCAATGGCTCTGGAAGCAACAACATATGCTCTGGCAATGACACTACCTAATCATTTTTCGTCCACTGTACACAGGAGTGTGCAAATTGCACATTCATACAATTACGGTACCAAAACAAGCAACATCTAAATATTTTCTAATTATTTATCGGAAAAAAACTAAATACTTTCTAATTCCTGTTAGAAACATGTCATATAGATAATTTAAGTATCAAACTCCCATATCAATAATAGGTCACCTTGCTCCAGTTATTGCCGTGAATTGCTGAACTTTGTCTCGGTGCCCTCTACCCAACTTGTTCTGTCATGCAAACAGAGGTTCAGTACTTTGAAAGATTTTCAACAGCAAAAAATCAAAAATAATTTGAAATTCTGTATATTGATATAGTCAAACCAACAAAAACAAAAAGGGATATGTATCACAAATTATTACAGAAATACACAAACGTACATATGGGATATGGGATATGTATTTCTAGTATTTAAATTAGGGTTATGCCCCAAAATAAATCCAGATAGAAAATTCAGAATTGATGATAAATTATTATCTTTCAGCTGTCGAAAATTATACTATTCAGCGGCAATCAAGTTGAAACCACAAAGCTGGAATTACCAAACACTGAGCCTTCCACAGAATAACAGGAAAAATCGTTACTTGGGATGACAAGGTCATCAATCATTATTAAATTACATAACAGCTCATGAATCTACAAAATTCAACATACAAAGAGATGGTGAAACAAACAGATAACTTTCAAGACGAAAAAATAAACAGTAACTAAAATTGAAACTGATAGATTGAGTTTGATATATAATCAGAAACCCAAATAGCTGGTTAAATGCTTTGTTGAGTTTAGTGGATAATCGAAGACCCGATAAAGATTGGTTTCTGAAATTCGCAGATGATTACTGACCATTCTGATTCTGTTGAGGAAGACCCGATTCTCTGAAAAGATAGATGGTGCGAGGATTTCTAGAGAGAGAAACTAGGGTTTCTTAAGTTCGGTTTCTCTCTCTATACTCTCTCTCACTCTCTGTATCTAGACCACTGCGTGTTTATTGTTCTCTGGTTTCTCTTTCGCTCAGTAGACCCCAAATACCGTCGACAAGTATTGCTTTAGCAATTTGTAGTCGTCTCGTATTGATTGTTTGTAGATGTATTTTACTAAAACGCCCAATGGCGGTATAAGTATATGTGTTAAACCGGGTTCGCTTACCGTAAATTTAACCAGCTAATATTATCCTAATCGGATCAGGGTTCGAATTTAAAAAATAGTTTAAAACTTCGAACCCTTTATTAACTAGTAGTATAATTTTTCTTTTTTCTTTTTCTTCTTATAATTTTATAAAATAGTTTAAAACTTCGAACCCTTTATTAACTATAATTTTTCTTTTTTCTTTTTCTTCTTATAATTTTAAATTTTAACAACATATTTTTTTAATTACATTTGTTAAATGTTTGATTATATTATACAAAATTTATCTTAAAATTTTCAAGTCTCAATTATTTTTCTTAAAAAATATGTTTATTGAGTTCCTGGAAGGACTCTAATGTGAAGGCCCCTTTGAAAAATGATGCCCTATCACAAACATGGTCAGTTGGCATCTAAATGTAACATTACCACCTTTCTTTTGGCATGGATATTGTACGTTTTATACACATTCTTCTTTAGTACAATATTTTCATATATATAAACGATATGAAAAGTTATAATTATGAAAATGTCTACAATTTATGAGTACTTACAAGTTAACTGCAATACCTCACCCAATTGACATACATAAAAATTTTCAATTTCTAATGTATGGCCCTGCTTATTAAACATATATGGTAAAAAAAGAGTATACCATCTATTTATTGAAAGAATTGAGGTAATGCCTTCCTAAAATCATTAGTTTTTAAAACTATTCATTAATTTTTTTAGTTCTTTTCTCTTTTACTTTTTAATTTTTTTTAGAAAAAATTAAATTTTTCTTCTTAAATTAAACTCTAATATGTTTCTTAGACTGTTTTTGAAGCCATAATCATTATGTTGATAACTAATGTTTTATATAAATTAGATTAAGAGGAAAAAAATAATTAATAGAATTATGTAGGAAATTGAGCTTAAAGCACGGATTACGAAATCATCCCTCTTTTTCTTATGAAGACAAATGGGAGAAAAGTTGTAAGATTTTATTTATTATTATTAATAATATTATTTTAACAAAAGTTGTATGATTGAGGACAGGGCATTACACGTGTCATGGTGGGCAATGAACCCAAAAATTGCGAGAAAGAAGTCCACGAATTCACAACGAATTTCACAAACTTCCGGGCAACAGCAACTATCGTCCATGTATATTTCTCATCTTCAGATACAAGCAGGAAAATAATTACTTATAAGAAAAAAAAAAAATTAAAAATTAACCAAAAAGAAAAAATAAAAAAGAAGAAAGGAATTTCATTCTCTCATATATTCTGTTTCCTGTCACGGAAAAAACCCACAAGAAAAGATCAATTTGCAACCACTCTCCTCCTTCAATGTGCTACTTGTGGTAAACTATTTAAATTCCTTTTGTTTTCTTTCTTGATTCCCATGTGTTTTAATTGTGTAGATTTCAAAATTATTATATGTGAGGTTTGATTATAATTCTATTCTTCTTCTTTTTCTTTTTTTAAGTTGTTGTTGTTATTGTTATTATTATGGGGGTATAATGTGGCATTGATTTGTTGGGTAGTTTTAAAATAATTGTTTAAGTGATCATAATTTTTATTGCAAATTTAAGATCTGACTTACATTCTTGTTACTTTGTTTATTAATTACATGTTTATTTATTTTTATTATTGGATGGCATTTGAAAACACAAAAATAGTCCACAAAAATGTAACCACTGACATGAATGTTAATGTAAAGCTGAGGATAACACTTCTCTTTTCTAGCTAAATCTGGAGGTCCCAAGAAGGATCATTCATCATTACCATATTATTATCTGTCAAAATCTGAGGACTAAAATTTCTTTCTTTCACATTCACGAGCACTCGAGTGTTCTTTATACGCTTTGCATCATCTCTTTTACCTTTAAATAAGTTTGAACTTTGGACTCACTTTATTGCCCTAACTTTTGGTGAATGATGTTGACCTGAATTGTTAGGTTGTCTGAAAACTATTTCCCACTGTGCCGGGAAATTGTTAGGCCTAAAAATAGCTTCCATGGGTGATAATTTTGGCATAAACATAGTTGCATTACTAAATACCGTCATCCTCTCTTTAATCTATGGTTAGTTAATCATGAGCTTAATGTCCATGATAGTTGATATATGCCCTCTCGAAGCGTTGTGTTAGGAAAAGTGACATAGTCCACATTGAGGGTAAAATTAGAAGAAGATGAAGACCAAAGTTGACGTTGATAGAATTAGTAAAGAAAGACGTGATATCACGTGAATTGGCTGAGGCTATGGCCTTAAATAGAGGAGAATGGAAACATACGATTCATGTAGTGGATCCAAGTAATTGGGAAAAGGTTTGGTGGTTGTTTGTTGTAGTAGTTGGTGCAACTTCAAAAGTAACCTTTGTTGTCACATATGGAAATAGAAGTGTACTTTCCTCCATTGAATAGGTACTCTTCTTGTTCTAAGAGTTTTGTTATACATTGTTCGTTACTATTGTTTTGTTTTGGGGGTATGTTCTGTCCGCTTGGAAGATTCTTCTTTTCCCTTTGGTGAAAGAGGGCAAAGGTGTGTGGGAGAAAGAATTCTAAGAGGAGAGGAGATTCTGTCCTCCAGAATAAGGAACTACATAACCTCGTTCAGTACTTGTAGAATATATATTCATTCCTTTAGTATGGGTCCTATTAAGTTTAAGTATCTTACTCGTTGAATTGGTGTTCTTAACACCCCCTGCTATCCCGGGACAAATCTACAGAAGTACCCGTTTGAGTGAGGGCTGCCCTACCAGCTCAGATTCACCTCTGGATGGTCAATGTGTGTGTGTGTGTGAGAGAGAGAGAGAGAGAGGCACTAACTCTTGTTTAAAGGGCTTTCAGTTGCCCCTGAGCTAGGGTACACACTGTGCTTGGTACAGAGGCCCCATCCTTCGATGGGTCCACTCGCTCAAGGGATAATCCTAAATGAATTCTTTAGTTACAGTTGTGCAAACAATCATGCTAAAAGAACTAACATTGGAATATAAGTTGACCTTATTGGTCTTTGAAAGTCCTCTCCTTAATCATTAGTTTATACCCCCTATATGGTGTTTGAAAGCTCTCAGGGAAATTTGTTGTTTAAATTTTTTTCTTAATGAAACAGGAAGTTACTGGTAGTTCAAAATTTTAAGATTTGTGTTTCAATCCCCTTAGTAGAGAAAATGAAGTGATGGTAACTGTTCCAACTCTTCATGAGAGGACTCGGAGCATTTGAGTCCATGAAAGATGCCTTTTTAAGTGCCTTTTGCTTATCACCACGTATCATCTTTTTTGTCCGTGGTCTGTTTCTCATTTTCTGATTCCTGCAAGTTGGGTGGCTGGCAGTGTTTCATTATATGGCTTCTATGTGGCTGATTTTCAAACCTAAATCTACTTTTTGGTACTTCTCATCCATCATTGCATCCATGCCACTGAAGCAGATCAGTACTGGTATCCTCTTACTGGTCATGTTCAACCAGTTCTTTGTGGCACAGTTGTTGATTGTCTTTTTCTTTTAAGGGCCATTTCTTAAAGCAATGCAAATGTTTTGGTTGTCAAGCATGCGAAACAATGTTTTGTGCAGATAATTTTAAAGGTTAGGTACCTCTTCTCACATCTTCATTAGGGAGACTAACTCAGGGTGGGACCTGTCAATTCTATTTTATATTTGCATTTTCTTAACCCCTCTTTGTGTGGAATCATTGGAAATGCATAGAACTTTTTACGACTCTAGTTTGTGACCGTGATTAAAGTATTTAACAGCTTATCTGATCTCCGTGATGTCCTTTTTCCTATTTTTTATTCAGTTTTATTGTACTCTCTTTTGTCATTCTAAATTGTTCCCATTTCGATATTTTCATCTACGGTCTGAGATAGAGCAGAATGGTGAATTAAGATTCATCTAGCTGACCCCAAATAGGTAGGAAAAGGCTTCATTGTGCTGCCTATCATATAAATTTTCAGCCAAATAAACTTCTCGTTTTGCTGTATGTCAAATTTTATTTCCAAGTGTTCAATCTATCAAAAGAACAGTCAGCATCTAATGCAACTGCAAAATCTTGGGAATCAATTTATAATTCATATAATCATATATTTGCTACACAACCATTTAGTGTCATCTAACCATAAATCATTGACTCAGTCACATATTCTTTATTGATATTCTAAGGCCAACTGATGCAGCTCTTAGTGGTTTAAAGTTATATTACATTCTTAACAACGGTATTGACAATAATTCTGAATTTCTCCTCTCCAATAAAAATGAGTGGTTCTTATTTTAGGAATCTTTTAAAATTGTGCAATAGACTGACTTAAAGCTTGAGTTTTGGACAGTATATTCCTGTTGTACAATCTACCAGTTCGTAACTATATTTAAGCTGGTATATGTTGCTAAATTGTACTTTCCAATTTATATAGTCATTTGAAATCACCTTATATTTTTTCAAAAAAAGAATTTAAGAGGAGGTTATGGTTATTTTATTTATTACTTGTCTATATGTGCCTTATATAATCAACCATGTTTTATTGCTTCAAGATTATGTCAATCTTAGTTTTATGCTTTTTTCTTTTTAAGATCTGAGCAGATACCCTAGTTTCTTTTCTTTTCTTTTCTTTTATTAATTTATTTATATAATGGGCACTAAATAAACATCTCTTTTTCCTCTCTCTTTTTTTTTATTTAAAAGCGATCAACTAGCTCTTCGGGCCTTGAAGGCCTTGGGCGATTGGCATTATGAACCAGCATTTGAGATATTTTACGCTGATGCCGATAAATTTAATGAAAATGTTGAGGAGCTCTATAAAAAATACAAAGGCAAGACATTCCATCCCTCTGTTTAAATCATGTATTATTTTCCTTAAATTTATCAGATTATCTTGGACTTGGTCCTGATTTTCTTGAAATCTCCTTTTTCCTTCTAATTGTGAACCTATTTCATGAACATAATTGACCATGTGAATAACTATATGGCATTCCAATCCCATCAGTTTGTAGCTATTGGTCCGCTATCTTGAGTTTTGGTAACTTCTTGGAAAAAAACATTTCTTATGCTAATATGCTTATGTGCATTTTTGTTGTTTTCTTGGCTTTGTCACTTTTCAAAAAAAATCCCCTTTAAACACCAGGTTTGGATGGGTTGATTTTTTAAGTTGTATGTTGCGTATGATGCTCATCTTCACTTCATTTAACATATTTGCCTGAATAGCAGGGTTCGCAGATTTAGCTTGTTGCATACTCTTTAAACTTGTAACTTGTAAGGATAGACATGGCAAAAATTTAGTTCTCCACCACATATGAGTGCGCTAGAATAGAAAACAAAAGAACAAGGGTTCATCTCTAGCTTCGTTCATTTGTAATCTTCCATGTGTAGGGTATTTGATAAAGCCCTTAATTTCAATAATTTTATAATATAAATTGAAATTACAAATTCAATGGGCTTTACCAGGTCTGTCTAATTCTTTGCATGTTATGCCTGCATTGTAGTCTTTGGTTTGAGTTACTTATGCATCACCGCTTGTTCAATAGGGGAGCACATTATTTTAATCCGTTCAATTTATAGAGTTGAGAGGGGTGAGGGTTGGGGAGGAGTATTGGGGTGTAGGACAGACACCTTAGGTTCTGATACCTTAGTACACAAAACTCCATACTAGACCTAGAGGGAGGGTAAATAGATCTCCAAAACTAAATTAACTACTTTTAATTTTCAACGAATTCTAGACAATTTGAAATTTAAATTATAATTAACAATCATGTAAAAATTAGCGTAGTGTGGAAATATAGAAATCATGCCAGAAACAAGAACACAAATTTTAGGTGAAAAATCTCCATCGAGGAATGGTAGCCAGTCCAAGCAGATCAGATCCAATATAAAAACATATATTTCAACCCTAGGTATCAGATTCTAAACCCTAGAATTACCTAAGTTACCTTAGATGCTGGCCCACACCAGTTGTTTCTTCTTAAGCACTGCTGCTTTCGATCTACAAATTTGCTTCTCATGCAATTTTTCACTTCAACTCATGGTTGGTCTCCTCTACTGGTCATCCAAGTTTGTAGGATGTGTGGATTGTATTGTGTTGAACTCCTTGATGAACACACTTGAATTAAAATTGATCGATAGTCAAGATCATTCACCACCTGATGCACTTGAATTAAAGTTCATCAACAGTCAAGATCACTCACCATCTAATGCTTGATGGTGAATGAAATAAATAAAAAAATATCTATAAATTGTTTGCTAATGCACTCTCTGTTTTTATTATGCTTTTACATGCTTGGTATATTTTTTCTAAAAACATAGGCCCTTTATATAGACCTTTGAGGCTGAAAAGGGTTAGGGTTAAAGCGTTTAAAACCTTTTTGGAAACTGCTTTTCCAACCTATTCAATTGATCCAACTTGGATGCAATTGATCAAACCTAGTCCAGTGAGTTTGATCCATGTTTCGATCCATCAAATTCTCTGCACTTAGGTTTGATTTAAAAACTTTAATGAATTCATCAACACATTCTTAAAAATCAAAACATGTTTGCATTATGCCAACATGAAAAATGATAAGAATGCACTGAAATGAACTCTAATTGTGGTCAGTGCGCAATCAAGAGTTGAATTTACCTTTATGCCTTTGTGGTATACTTGAAACCTTCATATTGCCCTTGGATTGAGGTAACTCAACTATTTAAATTTTGAAATATATATATATATATATATACACATATATATATATATATATGTATGTATGCATCATGAAATCAAAACTACAGATATCATTTTATAGCCAACAAAATCCTATTGACCTAACAGGTTTCTGATGGTTTGGGAGAAACTGTTTCATCGTCAGGAACTTGTAATATGTATACATTGCACTAGAACTTCAGAAGTGAAGGGTATCATGACACAGCACTCTTTGCTTTGTATTTTGGATGTCATAGAACCTTCTCCTCATGTTTCTTACTTTTAGATCACTTTGGATTCAACCCAAATTTTTAATTGGAACATCTTGAATTTTGTTCATTTTCAAATTCATTTTGATTGCTTCAGAACCTTTAAGCATGTACATGTTATAAGAAACAAATCTTGTGGCATGAAGTTGCTTCTTGATTTAGAAATCGTAACTCTTGAGGGAGTTGTTGTGCTCTGCAGATCCAGATGTTGATTTAATGTTGGCCGACGGTATCACTCAGCTCTGCACTGACATTGAGGTAGCCCTACCTCACTTGTCAATTGACTATATTTATACTATTAGGATCATAAAGTGAGTTAAGTTTTTCTATATGCAATTTTTATATATTAAGAAGAGCATATTCAAGCATTATGTTGTGTTGCTACTTGTATCTTATGGGCTATATTAAATATATTTTTTTTTAATTTATATGTTATTCTTTAAAATCTAGAATGATTTCTTAACAAAGATTTTTGAACCATTTTGCCTTGGCAGGTGGATCCTCAAGATATTGTTATGGTAAGTGCTGCATTTATACACTTTGAATCTGTTACATTACGATCCATGCATAATATTGAATATTTTCCTATGTTGTTCTGAAAATTTTTATCACTAAAGCTAGAATGAAATTTTAATTCTTTAAAAGTCCTGGTCCTTTGAGCTGAAAAAATATTTTGGGAACTTCAGAACTTCAGAACCTTTTGGGAAGATTAGGGTAGAGATGGAAGTTTCTATTAGATCTTAACTAAACTCTATATACGATTGTTTTTCTTTTTTCTTTTTATAAATAAAAATCCATCAATAAATAATGTGCCAGATTTAAAATTGTTGTTGACAGAAATGTGTTTTTTCCAGTTCTACCAGTGAGGGAGTATATTAGATAACAAGGTTGTTTCTTCAACATTGAAGTTACTTGAAAGCTGGTTGCATCCCTTCGCATATGGGTGATAAATCATTGTACATATTTCGTGGCAACTTTACATATGGGAATTAGATTTTTATTAGGAGGTGAAATTCAGATAACTGCTTTTATTTTACCCTTAGTCGAACGATACCTGGGAATATATGTCTGAATGGTTGTCAAACAAAAATGGAAAATATAAAAATAGCACACTAAAAGAGAATCATATACATAATTCGTTTGATTAATTATTGACAAACCCAATTATAGCTATAGTATATGGAGAAATAAAACTTTAAAATTCCATCTGACTGAGTATAAATTAAAGAGATTTGTACTAGAATGCCCTTTCAAGACATGTTCCTATCAAGCTATTGTCATGTGAAACTTATCCAAGTTACTAAAACCTTTTTTCCTTCTGTCAAGTGATAGAAAGGAGCGTTCTAATGAATAACAAAGTATCACTTGATCCTTCCACTTCCAGCAGGCATTTTAATTATGGCGACACCGTAATCGCTTCGCTTCTCTCCATCCATTCCTCTTGCATTCTATTCAATGTGGGCTAAAAGATCTCCAGGTATATCCAATTATATAGGCATAAGAAATCATCACTCTACCATAGGAGAAAAGGTAAAAAAAAAAAAAAAATCAGTTAATTAAACTGGAATGGGAGGAATCTGGCTAATCTTGTTACTTAACCACCACCATGACCTACCATTTTAATTTCAACCACCAGACCAGGTCATCTCTCTTGGGTTTTTTAGAAGCCCAACACTTGGACTCCATTTCCATAATTTTCTACTTCATCTTGCTGCTCAACCTCCTCTCCCCCATCTATTTTTTGAATTTTTATATATAATTCAAATGAATGTCTTTTCTGATCTGAAAATACTGGAACCCCTGCTTTTTTTACGGTTATCAATCTTAATAAATAGATATAACCACACAAGGAAATATAAAGTCCCACCAATTTGTTGCACTATTCTGGGGATGGTGTGGTTGTTTGTCTGTGTATATGAAGAAATGCAAAGAAAGTTAGAAGGGCATTTACTTCAAGAAATCAATTATTCAAACAAAGCTGGATGGAAGTTATGGTGTCGGTTTCTTGATTTTTTTCCCCCCTGGGGTTTAAAATGATAGGGTAATAATTTTGTGGGAATTTCACAAAAATTTCTTTTCCTGAGGAGTATCTTAATAATTACATATATATAAAAAAAGGTCGAGCTCAATACAGATGTAGATTGGAGAGTTAAGTCACTTATGTTAGTGAATTATGAAATTAGAATGTTTGACATGGTGGTGACATAACCTTTAAAAAAAGAAAGAAAGAGAGGCAACTGTGAGGGACTTTGGTCGTGCCTTGGTCCTCACTTAAATAAACAAATGGTATTGATTGAGGAATTTGGATTCTTAGAAAGCCAGAGAGTCGTAAGTTGCAATGTTAGAATTTAGATTTTCTTATGATTGAATCTGAATAAAACTTTCGTGTGATGAACTCTCTTGCCATGTAAGATTTTTTTTTTTTTTTGAAATGTCCTTTAACTTAACAATCATACAAGACCAGGAAGGCATAGTTAGCTGTGAATGATATTGTGGAGCTCCTTTCGTGCTCTTTCCATCATTTTCTTATAAGTTCTAAGCTTCAAGTTTTTTTTTTTTTTTTTTTTCTTTTTTTTTAGTTAGCTTCAAGTTATTTTTTTTCCCTTCTTCTCTTTCATACTTTGAGGCAGTACATTCTTCAATGGTTGTATCATTTTTTTGTTGATGAATTTATTAAAAAAAAACATGCTATGATTGAATTTATTGTGTTATATCTATAACCGATACAAAAATATTTGTTGAGAAGTCCTTAAAAGTTGGCCTTGCATTTTCAGTGCATGCCAGTAGTCTTTTGGTTTTTGTGTGACCTGGATATTAGTTGTCAAGCAAATACAGTGATAACTTGGATAATTTTAGCTAACATAATCTTTTATATTCCAATATGTAGCTGGTTTGTTCATGGCACATGAAGGCTGCCACCATGTGTGAATTTACCAAAGAGGAGTTCTCTGCTGGATGTAAAGCTCTTGGGTAAGTATTGATCAAATCCTTAAATTATGTTTTGTTGCTCCCTTCTTAAGTAATTGGCTCCAAAAATAATACAATGAAAGTAGTATGATGCCAATTTGCTGAAGTTTAATATTTCAATGGCAGGATAGATTCAACAGAGAGGTTCCGTGAGAGGCTAGAATTTATGCGTTCCGAGCTTAAAGATGAAAGTACGTACAATGACGTAGAAATTTCTGTTGTTAGTTAAAAGTAGTTTATAATTTTTTTATGTAATGTCACTCTTGGTTGAAATTAGTTCAAATATTGATATATTTCGAGGAAAGCGAAGATTTTTTGATCGACCTGATACCGAACTTTTGTTATTTTTTTTCTAAATTAATTGTTGCTTCTTATTATTGGACAGAAAAGTTTCGTGAGATCTACAACTTTGCTTTTGGTTGGGCAAAAGAGAAGGTATGCAAATACTAGGGACAAAGACTTCATTTGTATTTTTTTCATGTAATTGATTTTCTTGAATCGGTTCTCTTTTTATCCATTAATGCTGTTAAGGATCCTCCAAATTTGTTATAGCTCAGTCTTCCCCTTTTTCTTTCACTATTTTTTTGTTTTCCTTATCTGTTTCGTTTTTCTTTTTCTTTTTTTCTCATCTGTTTATTTTTTTGGTAAATACGAAAGATTTAAATGAGGAGGAATATACAGAAATGGTGAACCCTGCAAATCCCAAACAGGGGGCAAGGTCAGAGGGCCCCAAAAAACACAGCCCAAAGGCAAATTAACTCCAAATTCAAAAAGGATGAACAAAAGCAAATGCAGACATTGCCCAAAATAAGAGCTATGCTCTATAATATTATCAAAGACAAAATATAATTCAAAGCTACAACTCCACTTCTCTATCCATATATGTACTACTTGTTCTTCTACATCTCTAAATACGCATAAATTTTCCAACTTCAACAAGATGACTACAATATAAATTTAAAACAACTCAAATTACTGGACACAATATACTAGGCAAATAAAAATATGGGTAGTTGAGTAGAAAGATCCCCATTTCAAGCCAACGCAACTCTTGGTCTTCTACTTGGCCACCTTGGTATCCACATGGTGTTGACATGGTTGCCACTTTGGCACTACCTCATCTTCCTCGGGTGAAAAAGAACTTCCACAAGTTTACATCTAACTCTATGATATTGCGACAAGTCTTGAACATTGACAGTAGGATGAGTGAATATTTGGTGGAGTTCTAATCTTATAGGCAGGATCATTGATTATCTTGATAACTTTGCATGGGCTAATCTTTTTCTCCTTGAACTTGTTGTGAAAAGCAAAATTAATAGCTCTTTCTTCAAATACATCCACACAAGATCATCTTCATGAAAAACCTTCGTCAGGCAATGAGTATGAGCTTCTTTATACTTCTCATTACTCTGTTCACACTTTTTCCTCAACCACGACAAAGTGAAAAAAATGCTACGATTCTCTAGTGAAGATTCGGGAGCTCTTTCCTCCTTAGTTAAATACAAATTAGAATTGAAGAGGATGGTACCAATTACATGACATGATCTTTTCATTAAATAAGTTATACATCACTGTATCCTACATTCTTACAAAAAAATTCCTGTTTTCTTATGTATATGTATACCTATACATATTCCTACTAATTTCTATTTATTTTCAACATATCGTAAAGAAAAGAAGTTTCAAATTGTGAAACTTATAGATAAGTACAAATTAGAAATGGAGAGGATGTAGACTTGGTAGTGGATACGGCAAGCACCTTACTGATCAGACGACATGATTTTTTCATTAAATAATTTATATATTTCCTGTTTTCATATGCATAAACACACATATATAGTATTTTCTGTTTATTTTCTAAATTGTCAGCATATCTGATGATTTATGATACTAAAAAATTTGTAATTTGGCAAAGATCTTATGGATTTGTGATACAGATCCTGATTTAACAAATACAGTGATAACGTACTGCTGTTAGTCCTATTATATCCTTGCAAATTTTTATTTTTATTTTTTTGGTGGTGATAGATGTTAAAGCTAAACATTTAGTGGTTTTTATTTGTGATGCATCCGTATAATGGTTTATGGCTGTCTAGGTGTACTGTTCATGCAATTAAAGACTATTTCTTAAATGACAAAAAAAACTTGCTGTTCTTTTTATGCAAATGAAAGGCATATAAAGTTCCTCACAACTTCAAATCCATTTATCTTCAAAAAGAGAGTGGATCACGAGTATTTCTGTGGAGATGGCTAGTGGACCTTATTATTGTTGCTTTGGGATATATGAAGCACTCACCAGATTTCAACTATTAATGTCTATCTGACAAAAAAAAATAATGTTTGTCTTATGAAGTTTTGATTACTTTAGGTATCTCGATGGCCTGCAGGTGATGCTATTTGTTTGTCAAAATGCAGGGTCAGAAGACTTTGGCACTGAGTACGGCATTAGGGATGTGGCAATTGCTCTTTGCGGAAAAGGATTGGCCGTATATGGATGAATGGTGTGAATTTATACAGGTAATTTCATGGAATATACCTTGATCAATTATTTTCAACTTCGTGCTAGAAAGTTGCTTAAGAATGAGTACTGAATTGTCATACCATGCTATGCTCGTTCAGTAATTTAAATTTCATTTAATTGGGCTAGAACACTTCTCAGTGATTATATTGTCTGCAGTTGATTGAGGAACTATGAATGAAAATGTTGTAGCATACTTGGACCCATATGATCAAACTATTTATATCATATTTAGATATCACAATGCTCCCCTTATTATCAAAGAAGCACGTAAACTTTTATGGAGGTAGTGATCCATGTTCATAATATCTTGGACATCGACACTTCATGGGCACCAATACTTGTTTGACATCTCATAGAAGTTCCCATAATTCAAAAACAAGTTTTATTATTCGAACACTAGGCCCATGATCTCAGACACCATTCGACTGTGGGCTTATGTTGCACAATTACATATAGGAATCATATTTGTATCAAGCACTTCTGGAAACATGATGAGCAGACCTTAATTTTAATTCCACAATATGTAATTGTTATGTACTATATATAAATGCATGCATATGGAAATTAATATTTAAACATTATTGTGCAAATAATTTAGGTCTGTAAGACTGTAACCAGTCTGCCTTTCCTAGGCTCTTTGACTTAAAGGCAATCACGCTAGATAATGACCTTTTCATATTGTCACTTCTTCATTTTTTTCATGTCTTTTTTAGGATCTCCTATGTCATCATATCGGTGCCCTAACTTAGATTACTATTAAAAAGTAAGGAGAAAGAAACATATATCTTTCTGATCTTTCCTGTAAATTATTGTTTTGTCAGTATCATCTTCTAGTACCTTGATAACTACAGTTCAAGATTACGTTTTTTTAATATATATATTGTTTCTTTTGGATTTTGAGCAAGAATATTGTTTCATTTGTATTTTTCATCCAACTTGCTACCTATGTTGAGCTTGTATATACCTTATGTTGTGAGGACTCATGCACGAGACGTCCGATCCCTAAGACATTGCGTTGGCCAACTTGCTACCCATGCTGCTTGTATAGACCTTAGTTGGAAATAGTTTGAAATATGAGCATTTATGTCCTTGCATGGCAGACGAAATAGAGATGTTTTTCCTTGGTTTGTTTTGGAAGGTCTGTTTCCGCAGCATGTTACGTGAATTTTCAAAAAGATTAATATATAGTTACTAGTTATTTTCTTGTTTGGTAGACATGTCATAATTTCTAATGCTCTATTATTTGGGATATCATATTCATGGATGTGTTCTCATAGAATTGCTGAGTTTCGGTTAAGTCTCTAATTCAAATGGTCCCAGCTCAGCTTGTCTTAATTTATTGTTTCATATTTCAGTTGTTAACATGTATAATTAAACATTTTGATGCACTCAATTCAGGAGAAGTATGGTAAATCAATTTCTGAAGACCTCTGGTCACAACTACTGGAATTTTCATCGGTAAGATATGAAGCATCCACTTACGTATTCCTTGGTCATATGTTATGTTGCTTGGCTCATAAAATAAGCAGTTTTTTTTTTCCCTTTCCGTTGCCTTTTCTTTTCTGGCCCCTTGTTTTCTCATCTGAAAATTTGATGTTAAAACCACGTGTCTCTACCTGAGGATTAAAAAAGGTTCACTGCAGCCATCCCGTTGAAGGATTTAATATTTAAGTTACACCCTCTCTAAGAACTTAAGCTTTTGAAGTAGATGATTATTAACATGGTATCAGAGCCAAAGGTCTTGAGTTCAAACCTCACCGTCACCTTAATTAAAAATTTGAAAAACACGTGTTGTATCAAAAGAAGGCCACGCGTGAGAAGGCGTAACAGCTTAAGCTTTTGGAGTAGATGGTTGTTAACATATCCTAAAGGAGGCAACCATAGAGCACAAGCGGATTGAGAGGGGGGCTTGGGTGGGCTTGAGCCCCCCCCCCCCCCCCCCCCAAAAAAAAAAAAAAAAAAATTTAGTACAGGAAAATTTAACCCACTATCAAAATAAAACAAAATTTAGTAGTAGTGTAATAGTATTCACCCTCCAAATATTAGCCCATCTAAACAAGCCCAAGATTTAAGTTATAATTTTAAAATAAAAGCCCAACCAAACATGTCTAAGCCAAACAAACCCTAAAGCCTGACTATAGAGAGATGAGAGAGCTCCCTCTAATATATCTAAATTCCTAGTCTTCTATGTAACCGAGACTCTCTCCCTCTAACCCTATTTCAGTATTTTTTTAAAAAAAAATTCAACTCTTTCATCTTTCTATCCCCATTCTTCGTTAGCTCCCCCATTGACAATTCCTGGATTCGCCCTTACCATAGAGGCATTTGTACAACTGGGAACAAGGTTTGAAATTTTGGATTCCCTGTCATCTTTTAAACCGATTTCAGTAGGCCATCAATCTGGTTCTTGTCAAAATTGAATTTCGAAGTCTCTTTTGTCTAATGATTGTAATTTTTGTACTAGAGAAGTACTGAATTTTGTACTTCTTGAAAAGGATAGTTTTCAGAAGAAAATGAGCATATAAAGAATAGGTAGTTGTTTTAACCATGATTCTTCTTATGTAATCATAGTGAGGCCAGTGTAGTGAATTCTAGTAAAATGCTATCACAAACATTTGAAATCACTAATGTTTGTCGTGCTTATTGTTGATGCAGACGATAGAACCTTCACTATCGAACTATGATGCTGCAGGTGCTTGGCCATTCCTTATCGATGATTTTGTTGAGTTCTTGAATGAGAACGAGATACCTCAAAAAAAGTCGGCTGGGAATGGAGTACCTCAAAAGGAGGGGGCCGAAACTCCGAAAGAGGAGGCTGAATGATCGAGCCAGAAATAGTGATGGATAGCTGAAGTTTTGGTATATGTTCATTTACTTTCTTAGTACTACTGAGTTGTTTGTGACATGATTAAACTCTGTTTTATCTTCAGATGTAAAATTGACAATTCAATGAAAAGAAAAAACTTGGATTGAATTATATATATAAAACTCCAGTGCTCTGATTGACACTCTCAGTATTAGAATTGTAATTTAGCTGGTTTATGAACTCCACGATGAAATGTATTTACAGGCACCCAGTGAGCTTCTTTTAGATGTCCCTCATGTTGCCAATTTGATTGAATGATCGACTGGTGCAGAAAGTGTCGTGTTCTATCGCTCTCATACATGTTAGAAATGTGCTTACACTAGAGGTTATAGTCGAGTGGTATCTCCTCCTTTACCTTCCAAATGGGATGGTGAGGGTTCGAGTTCCCGTAGGGACAAATGGGTGCATGATTTCACTGATATCCTTACCAAAGAAAAAAATAATAATAAAAAAATTTGTGTGTGTCTGTGTGAGAGAGAGAGAACATATGGAGTCTAAAGAGCCACTAATGCATCCAAGCTTATTTAGCTAGCTCTTTTGTTTCTTCTTCCAGTCTTTTACCATTGTTTTCAATTACATGTAACATTAAGGGGGCAACAAGAGAAATGCTTTCAAACTAGTGTCACAACACCACTCACACTAATGTGTGTGTGTGTGTGCGCGTGTAAATTAGGGCCTTTATTCATATATATGAGTTTAGTACTTCATGATATGATGATCATAAAATTTGTTAAAAATAAAAATTTAATGATTGGATGAAAAACACAACAGTTAAAAAATGCTACCCATTTCAGTCCTACATTTAAGACAACTATGAATAGAAGGAAATGAATTAAATTTGTTCTCATATGTTTGTGTGTGTGTGTGTGAGAGAGAGAGAGAGAGTAGTACTAACGAGAAGCCAAAAGAAAAAAGGAACAAGAAGAAGAGCCCAAAGAACTTCCTGTCCATGCTTTCTGTGTTTGGAGTTCTTTGCCTTAAATTTGTTGTCTGTAACAACTAACAAGTGATGAAGCTGCTATTTATATAGTAATAACATGCAGTTTGAGAGTTAAGCAAGTGGTCGATATGGAATTTAATATAAGAATAATGATAGAGAGTCTCAAATTGCGACAAATCTGACTAATTTTACGATAAGTAAGAAGATATTAATGACATTATGATAACATCAACCTACACTCAATTAAATTAATAAAATCTAACTAATTTTACAATAAAATCTAACTAATTTTACAATAAGTAAGAAGATATTAATGACATTACTATAACATCAACTTACACTTAAATAAATCAATAAAAATTGTGTTCCTTTTTCAAACTTCAAATTATTATCTTAATTTTAAGGGCATATTGCTCACCATAAATAACTTCGTTACAATAAACTGTTAAAAGAGTATCAGATAGTAAAACTCATCCCATTGAATGAGTGATTTTGGTCTCATTTAGTTGGACCTTTTAGACTGAAAATTTTGAAATATATGTATAGAGAGAGAGAGAATTTTTGGGCCGAAAAATAATCCTGATCACATGACATATTGACACAATCATTTTACTTTTCTTTTTGTTTTTGTTTTGTTGTGACACTAAAACAAATGACATATACCAATACAAATGACTTATACTAGTTAGAATTACTTTTACTACAAATAAGTAGTAGTTTTACATACATTCTAATCTTACATAAACAATGAAAATTATATAAATTGAACTATAACACAATAATAAAATTAAGAGAAAACAATGGCAACGATTGAATTAAAAAACTTGTGATTTTGTTATTGCTGAAAACTTTAATATATTAAAAGGCACAACAATTAACTCTCAATCTTCAAGCTTTTAAGGCTCGATTTGTCACATATAATTAAAGTCCTCACATTATCTTGTCCCGTACACAAAAGGAATTAAAAGATGAAGACTAAAATAAGCGAAAATAAAAGGAAAAAAACTACATTTAATTGCCTCTATTTTCACCGACTACCTTTTCTTTTTTCTTTTTTTTTTTTTTTTTTTTTTTTTTGGCTTGTCTACGAATAAAATTATAAATTCTTTCGAGGATTGTTTGATTCTTAGTGTGCTTCCGTTGCTTTTTTTTTTTTTTTTTTTTTAAATACTCGACATTTCAAGGTTTAGATTTATTAGTAACACGTCAAACCTCAGCAACTGTCACGTCAAACCTCAAACCTCAGCCAAAATTGCTGTTAATGTCTAAATTACCCTTGATTTTTTTTTTTAACATACTCTCGACATTTCAAGGTTTAGATTTATTATTAACACGTCAAACCTCAAACCTCAGCTAAAATTGCTGTTAATGTCTAAATTACCCTTGAATTTTTATTTAATTTCAAAACTTATGTCGGGACTAAGATGTAGGGAAAAATGTGAAATGACAATAGTACTTCTCAAACGCCTCTTCCCACCACCATAGCGAAGAGCTGCATTCCTACCCACACCAACCCCTCCATCACCCGCCTAGTTTTTAGTAAATTCGGAAATTATTAAAAATAATTTTTGATATTACACAATTACATTTTCTTAATTCTTAACTCTATAAATAGGGCCAAAAAGCCAAAAAGTAATGTTATTGTACAATACCAAAAATTATTTTTAATAATCGCCCCCAAGACATCCGAATTTACCCACAAGACATCCAACATGCATGCAATATCCAAACAGTTCATTAATAATTAAAGAGATTATTTCTCATACTTATATTCATGTTTATTCATTAAAGCTACAATACATATATATATATATATATACATGGAATATTTAAGTAGCTAGCATACATACATACATATATATATATATATATATAGGTGGTGGTGGTTTTAGATATATGGAAGTTGTAGTGGTATATATATAGAGAGAGATTGAGGTGAGGTTGATGGATGGATGAGGATTGATTTAAGTTGGTGCAATTAACACGGCTTAGTGCAGAAGCAACGGTGTCTGACACCCCTGCACCACCCATTGCCGAATCCCTCGTCCCTGCAGACAAGCCCACAATTGTGATCACTCAAGCACGGCCCTTTGAAATGATGACTCTGAGACTCGCATGTCCTTGCCACCACCACCACCACCATTCTTGCCTCTTCTGTTCCATCATCAATCACACACACACAAAAACACGTGTTAGATATATTTAACTTGGAGAAAAGATTTCTGGGCTGGCAAGCAATGAAGAACATGTCCTTAATGGAGAATTCCAACTCCATTAAGGACATATTGTGAAAATTAATTAAAAATTTGAGAATTCGAACCGACACATATTATTGTGTATAATAAGTGCGTTAGATTTAACTTCGAGAAAAAATATATATTTTATATAATCAATAAAGAATTGTATCCACATAAACCCATATAGTTAATATGTAGCTAAAATATTATTTATTCACTAATGTTAATCACAGCATGGTAAAATCCAATTTAATGGATCAACATAGTGAGACATGCAAATATAGTGTCTCTCCATACATACATATACACATACAAATACAGAGAGAGAGGAAATAGTAGCTCACGAGAAACGAAAAGAAGTAGCAAGATGAGGGTGAAGCAGCAGAAGAACCGATTATTGGCCATGCCTACCACACACACAACTTGCTTATATATATATATATATATATATTCACACGGTACTTGGTGTATATTGTATATGGATCTGTATCTACTTCTGCAAAGACTGTTATGGAATAAATACTAGTAGTGTGTGCATATAAGAGTGACAAGTATGGTATGGTTTGGTTGACACGTTTTGGAGACCATACCAGCTGTCGACTCATTTGGGACACTTGTTGAGCCTATTTTGTTAGAAGTGGCCTTATGCATGCACACTTCACATGCAAATCCACACAACAGTTTAGCTCAAACTTCGTCTTGTTGGGAGTTGGGTTCACACTGGCCCTTATTGAATGTGCTGAAAACCTAAACCGGAGTTGATTTCAATTGCTCGTGTGTCAACCTAGTTGCACATGTACTTACTGCAGCTTATTCAAAAATTGTTAATGGGTTGGGTTAATATTTTTTGGATGAATTAATACTAATAGTTTCAATTTCAAAATGACGATTATATGAAAATGGGCGATCTTGAATAATAATAATAATATATGGTGGGGGTATTTATTAAAAAAATAAGTGAAATGATTTTTAAGATTTTTACAAAAAAAAATAAGCACATTTTTAAAATTCTTACAAAATTTATAGGTAATTTTATAAATAAAAAAAATTCAGTAGGTCTGTTGCGCACCCCTACTAAGCCCTTAACTAGTCTGTGCATGGCGTGTGATGCCCCTCCATGTTATTTTTGTCCTCGTCCATTTAATTTTAAATCCACCAGAGTAACAATTATATAAATGTGTTAAATTTTTTATTTAAGAGTGTTACAACAGGAGGTAACACGGTGCGTGATGCGTGAGTGTTGTATGTTCGACATAATTAGTGTTTTTTTTTTTTTTTAGGTGACAAATATAATTAGTGTATTGCATAACTCTTTTAAAGTTGTTGCATTTCGTGAGGAGGTGATTCAGGTTCTTGTTAGTTTTGTTTTCAGAATTTATGAAAACTATTTTCAAATAACACAATGTTCTTGCATGTACATGTAAAAGTGATTTTTTAGGGTTTACCATTAAAAAGAAAATTTGAAAAACCATCACTTTTAATTTCTCAGAAACTAGATTTATACTTGTGAAAAGTTGAGCAAATGCGGCCAAATTCGACTTTGGGCCTACATTAACAAAGCACGGTTTCAACCAAAATCAAGGAACTGACATTATGCAACACTTGCTACTCCAAACAGGCCATTAGCCCAATTCACAGCCCAACCCACTACACATTTTAACTGAATAATTAAACATTAATTAAAAACAGGAAAATATACCTCAAATAATAAATTTGTTTAAATGAATGGTCCATTGTATATTTGTATCGTCGGTGTTCTGGTCATGAGAAGGCTTAAGCCAAACAGGGTCTAGGTAATTAATTGAGAATTAGAGTAGGGCATAAAAAAGATGAATAAATAAATAAGATAACATATTATAGAAGGGGCGTGTATTGCCAAAATGAGCTCGTACACACAGAGCATTCATTATTTTTAGGTCCCAATCCCACCATTCGGTGTTTAATGCTTACATGTTGACAAACAAAAGCCATTCAAACACAAACTCACTCTTATCGGATTTATAACTATTTCTTTATCCTAAACTCATTGCGTCTGCTTAAAATTGTTGCAGAAGCTGGCTCTAATGATTCTTAGTTGGTGGCAGCTACCAGTGCCATGTGCTCTATCAAGTCCAGAACTCGGTTGCTGCAAGAAAATGTTCCGAAAAATATTGTCACAAGACGGTAAGATGCAGCATGGAAAATGTGTGTAGATAGAGAGAGAGAGCTTGTGCGTACCTGTAGCCCCATTCGTTGTCGTACCACGAAACAAGCTTCATGAAAGAGGCACTTAGCCCTATCCCAGCTTTTGCATCAAATATGCTTGACCTGGAATAATAGAGAGAAAGTGGTTAGAAATAAAGAGTCCCAACGAGTGAAGATAAAGAAATATTTTTAAATGTGACCGGAAGAAATTTCGTTGAAATGGATACAGTTATATGAATTCGATAAAGACAATGTAACCCTGAAAGAAAAAACCAGACGGTAACCAACTGATATGGGCGTCCTCACTTTTGCCCCAAAATAGTTAAACAGCAGCACATTTTTTCCACTAATCTTGAAGGTACACTTTCATACCAGCTGGAAGAGTATCCAATCCAGTACCATATAGCTGGTTTGGATGGGTTGCGTCCCCATGTTTTAGGTACTTGTGAAATGAAATGAAATGAATTTAGAACAGATATATATATAGATATATATATATTTTCCTAGTTGGAACAGATATATTCTTACACATTCACGTTGATAATAGTTTTATCATTTAATGAAAATTAAAAAGAAAAATAGAGAGAGAATTCTACCTTGAGTCACCAACAAAATCATTGGAGACTACATCTTCATCCGTGTATCCAAGAATTCCTTTCAGTGGACCCTCTGAGGCATACCTTTAATTGGAAATTTCGAGGGAAACTCAGTAATTGATACAGGTAAAGTTTGCTTAGCAAAAACTGAACCAAAAAGAGAGAGCAAAAAGTGAGCCATAAAGCAGAAGAATAGCAGGCATACTTTATGGCTGCTTTGACATCTTCATACGAAGCACTTTTCTCAAGTCGACAAGTCAAGTCCACAACAGAGACGTTGGGTGTTGGAACACGGAAAGCCATTCCAGTGAGCTTGCCGTTGAGTTCTGGAAGAACTTTTCCAACAGCCTACATTGCAAAATTAAATCAGAATCATATCATACAGAAAACTGCAAGGATTCATTTTCCCATTTGAGCGCATCCCATACCTTTGCAGCACCAGTTGAACTAGGGATAATATTTTGGCCAGCTCCTCGGCCCCCTCGCCAATCCTTCATTGAAGGGCCGTCAACAGTCTTTTGTGTCGCTGAACATTGAAGAGCATAACAATATTACAAAAGAAATGAAGTACTGTATTAACAAAACCAACATGAGAGAGAGAGAGAGAGACCAGTGGTTGCATGCACAGTGGTCATTAAACCCTCAAGGATACCAAATTCCTCGTGAACCACCTGCATAAAAATACCAGAAAATAATTAATTAAGCGATACTAGACACTTTGGCACTACATTTAATCATCAAGAGAAGAGGTTTTCCATTTTTTCTTTTTTGTTGGCTGCTTTGTATTTGGTGGGAGGTAGCTAAGCTGCTCTTTTTTTACAATAATGTTCTTTTAAGTCCAATCACAATCACTTTGAAACCATGGCTTGACTTCAATCAATTGTAAATTATGCTGTGGTGCCTTTTCAAAGTTAGGCGTCCTTTAACAATTGATTTGATTGCCCTCTGCTTAACAAACAGCTGTCTCATGACTCTCATCCTTACTTTGGATTGAACTGTAGCAGCCTTAGTTTTTAATCATCATAAGCAAAATGTAAAAACACACTTTTTGCATCAGCATCTCCTTGAGGTTAGGGTCTAAATCTATTTATCATTTACCTATCACCATTGGCCAGTAACAGTGAATAAAAATTAAAAGACAAATCAATATCCTAAAAAATTCAGGATGCATCCCAACCTTGGCAAGTGGTGCAAGGCAATTGGTAGTACAGCTTGCATTAGAAACAATATCCATGCTTGGCTTGTATGTGCTCTCGTTTACTCCTACCACAAACATAGGTGCATCAGCCGATGGAGCTGAAATTACCACCTTCTTGGCACCACCCTGCACAGCAGTATCAAGAAATGCTCAACCTGAGGTACTAGATGTAGATGAGTACATGCAGAAAGATAGATAAAGAAGGAAGGAGGAAGAGAAAGGGAGATTAGAACCAAAAGATATTCTTTATAGACCCAAGAAAAGGATCACTAACCAAAAATGTTCACTGACCTTTTTATGTGCTGAAGCCTTTTCCAATGTTGTGAAAACCCCAGAAGATTCAACCACATAATCAGCCCCATAATCACCCCAAGGAATCTCAGCTGGGTCCCTAAGACAGAAATTTGGAAGTTAGCATATGCAATAAGACACAAGCCTGACACCATGTCACCACTACTGGTATGCTGATATAGAACAGCTAGTCTAATTCCAAATTCCAATACGAAACAATTTGAGAGTAAGCATTAGATTATGTCACCGCTACACTTTGTTTTTAGATGGTGTGCTGGTATGGATCACAATCTTTAGTTGCATATGAAAAACCTTGAGTTTCCATGCAAAATACCTTTTGCTTATAATTTTAACCTTCTTTCCATTGATTTCCAAAGTGGACTCATCCAAGACCTTGATAAATCCCTTGAAGTTTCCATGAGTAGAATCATACTTCAACATGTAAGCCTGAAAGAAGAAAAGAAACAAAAATTTTAATTGTCGAAGACAATCCCAGTCAAGAAAAAATAAATGAAAATCAGTACACGTCTTCTAATGTGTTCAACATGTGTCTAGGCATGTAGGACACATGTCCATGATGTCTTCGTCCAGAATGTCTTAAACACTGCTTAGGAGACTTTTTGGCATGTCCATGCTTCCTAGGAGCTCAACTTCATACTGAATGAACTTCATTTTAGCTTTAAATTTCAAAAGTTTGAAGTCCCACATGACAGCATAAGAACCAAATGCTCTTGGACCCATTGAAGCGGAGCCATAATTTGTTCAAGCTCAACACTCTATAATCTATCTTAGAATAAAGCTCAAGTCGGCTTTATTTCAAGCCAAGCATGATACCTTTGAATTCCTCAATTCATCTAATTATCAAACTAGCACATAATTCCATTTTTTTTATATAACCTTTTTTTCCTAGTTGGTACTCACACACACTTATCTCTTCTGAGACTTAAACCCCTGACCACCTCCCTTTGAAAAGTAAGAGGCTGATACCGCTAGGCCACTGGCCGTTGGTATTTTTTTTTATATAACCTAACTCCTAATTGAACATAAAAAAGAATAAAAGATACAGGCAAACACATGCGGATACACAGACACGCTAAAAAATAAAAAAGAAAGAAAAACAACAAATTGTGCACTCTTACCATGTACTTAGCATCAATAAATGGATCATTGACTGCTACCACATCAATATCATCCCTAGAAATTGCTATTCTTAAAACCAACCTTCCAATACGTCCAAAACCTACAAGATTTGAGTGTCTTAGATGTATTGTCATTAAGAGTTCTAGCAATAATTAAAAGAAAAAAGGAAAAATAAAAGAAAACAAGGAAGTGAGTCAGAGAATAAAGGAGACAAAGCACATTTCTTTCATAAAACATACCATTGATTCCGAGCCTTGTCTTTCCACTGCTTCGTGATTCTGACCAAAGCAAAACAAAGTTTGTTAACAGATTTGAATCCTTGATCATCCAGTCTGATAAAATGTCAGGCTATATAAGTGAAACTGGCTCTTACTCTGAATTGTTGGAGGCACTTCAGTGGCCGTGGCTTTGATGGGCTGGAAGCTCCGAGCACTGCATTTTCTGCATGGTTTGTACCAAGAAAATCATTGTGAAGTATAATAACAAAATTTTCATTAACAGGAAAAATGTAGGCATATATATATATATATATATATATATATAGAGAGAGAGAGAGAGAATACACCAACAAACATATATTACTCATTTACCCAAGAAAAGAACAGATTACTCAACTGTAAGGAATACTCGCCAGGAACAGCAACGCCGGAAATGCTCGACTGGAACTTTGTAGAATTAAGAATGCGATTGAAACCAACTGATGACACCTGAAGAAACATGCAATATAATTGTATATCATACATCCAAAATTGATTGACAACAGAAATTTACTTTCAGAAGACAGAAAAGGAGTGAAATGGTGTATACTTGTCAGAAGTTCAAAAACCGTATGGTTAGAAAAACAACATGCAAACCAAACTCAAATCAGCTGAGACACAGTTCCACATACATATGACAACCAGATATACATATATAAACACAGAGATAGAAAAAGGAGCGTAATCCATTTAGTTAAAAAAAGGAAATGTAGAAACAGAACAAAAGATTATGAGCTCTTGTTTTTCTGTTGTTTCCATTTTGCAGAAGACAAACAACTCAAGCAAACTAGGTGCATACACTAGAATTATAGTCCAAATTTGTAATTTTGAGATTTAACATTTTCCTTAAAGGTGAGGACTGAGGGTCGGATAAAATTAGATGCAGGCAAAATTTTATTTTGAGAATCTAAATCAAAATCACACTATAAAGGTTAGGTTTGCAAGAACATGATAACCTTAGATTTTTTTGGAGAAAACAAAAACTTTTATAAGATTAGGGTCATAGGGTGTGTAAGGTGAAAAATGAGGGTAGATATGAAAACATGAAGTGATTTGGGATCACATGATATTCCTGTCGAGTCCTTGAAGTGATTAGAGAATAGGTGCTTTGTTAACAACATTGTCTAATAATATTATATTATAACTAAGAAAATGAATGACAAGGAATGAGTAATTTAGAACGGGTATATTTAAAGTTGTACATTAATTGGCCTGTCCAGCACCCTTCATTAACAGAGTCCAATACTAGGCAACGGCTTCTATTAAAATAGCTAATCATATGATAGACTTTGAAAGATAACAACTGGGCAGTAATTAAAACTCGAAACTATAGTGTGAAATTATCAATCCGGATTAATGCCAGACGGTTTTTTCTTGTTTTTCACACACAGAATGAGTGCATAGTCTATGGTATTTGCTATGGATATTGTTCTGATAAATGCTAAAAATAGAGATCCGGAGAAAAGATCTAAAATCAATAGCACGGTAATTTTAGGAAAGTGGAGATCAAATTTATTACAAGCTTCAACTATAATTTTCTCCGCAATCAAATGAAACCAAATAAAGCAACTACACATCGCCAATCAAATTAAAAAATGGAGATCAAATTCTTTACAACTATAATATTCTCCGAAATCAAATGAAACCAAAGAAAGCTACTACATATCAACAATCAAATTAATTCCAAAAAAAAAATTATAAAGCAACTTAGAAAGTCAAAGATCCATCTCTTACAACAACAAATAATCAAAAACCAAAATCAACAATATATATATATATATATATATATATATATATACAGCTTGACATGATCAGAAAAACAAATTATATATAAAAAAAATAGAAGTTGGATTGAATTTTTTTGTTATAAAACACTCAAGAGGGAAAACAACCTTGCTTGTTCCGTCAGACGGCGGGAGTGAAGAGACTCCTGAGGGTCGAAGAAGAGGGGCTGTAGATCTGAGGAGAGAAGAGGACGCCATTACTCACAATAAACGTTCCTTGCTCTTCTCTGCTAATATCAGATCGATCAATTGATAGGCAAAATGGAAACAGCAAAACCTAAAAAAAAAACCCTACACACAGAACAAAACTTGAAATGGCTTTTGGGAGAGAAAGGAAGCTAACTTCTCTTGAGTTTTTAAATGCGAAAATGAGTGGAGATTCTTAGGAACCTACCCCCTCTCTCTCTCTCTCTTTCTTTCTCTCTCTAAAACGATCAACAAAAAGCGTCTCTCTCTCTCTCTCTCTCTCTCTCTAAAAGTATCGACAAATAAAAGGTCTCTTTCTTTCTCTCTCTAAAACTTCCATCAGCAATGTTTCTCACGTAGGTGAAATCGTCGTCTTGTGTAAGCTTAAGCTGAGGGGACATTTGGCCCTCGAAGGCCACGTCGGACGAACTGTGCCGGCCCAACCTTTCTGGCGTCTTGTCCACGTCACTAATTTAATAGCCCTCGACATGTGCACTTTTTTTCGGTCAATTAATGAAAGCAATACAAAATGATTTTTTCTACATGAATTTTCTTGATTAATTATATACACTATGTGTGTGGTGTGCGCGCACACACCTGTGTAAGTTCATACAGTAATGACTACTGAGTAGTATTTGACTCTCGCCACTGCCTCAAAATAAGTAACCATCAAATCTTGTTTAGTCTCAGAAACATAATGTAGTAGTACAAATTTTTCTCTTATTTTCCTTTATATAATAATATTATGTATATTTTCTGAAGAAAAAAATAGAGTGATAATTACAACTATGTCAGCCATAAAACAAAAAAACATATGTAAAGAAAATCGCTTCATGATGTGTACATGTCTAACGTCGGAGATACTTTATTGTAGTTTTTGGAGCATGGCTAACGCCTTTTTTAGGTTGATATTTTTGTACTTGCTATGAATTTCATTTATATTGTACCAATAATTATTTATCTGTGTTTGGGTTTGACAGCACAATTTTGTTTTTAAATTCTTAGCGTAAGTTATATTGACAGTTTTTTTTGAACAAAGATCCTTCAAGTTAAAAACTCTTTACATTAATTTAAGTTGATTACTTATACACTGACACGTGACATTTTAAGTAACTCTATGGCTAATATTACACCACATTAACCAGTTTAATAAGACTTAAAATACTGTGTCACTTTAGAGCTATAGGCGGTTAGTAAAAAGTGTTTAATTCATCAAACCCTCAAAAAAAAATATAAATTTTCATGAAAATCCTAACAGGGAAAACCCCAATGCTTAGGGTTGAGTCAAAGGACAACATCAACCCACGAGATTTGATTTTCAATTTCATCATCATCTGTTGTAATACTTCAAATATTCACTTTCTTTCTTTCTTGTAATCTGATCCATTAGATTCAATGTTTTTAATTGTTTTGATATTCTTAGTTATTGTAATCTTCTGATTTTTTCATGATCTTTTTTTTTTCATCAAACCCGGTAAAATACATAGAATGTAACTATATGAACATGTTATATGATTCAACAGATAATTCAATAGGGAGTTTTCATTAACAACGTTTCTTCCTGTAACCCTAAAATGACATAGTATTTTAAGTTTTATTAAATAAGTTGATGTGCAATAATAACCATAGATTTAGCATAGATTTATTCAAAATGTCACGTGTCAGTGTGTAAGTGATTCAACTTATAATAATATAGAGAACTTTTAACTTTGAGGATCTTGTCCTTTTGGTAGAGGATGGAAGGAAGGTTTTGGGCTCATAAACCTGTTTTGAGGCTACAGAAATCCAGTCAAACAGGGCCATAGTCTTTTGGAGCATCATATTGACACATAGGATTTAGAATTGAAAAAATTTTAGTTTAAAATTTTAACTAAATTTCATTTAAATCCAAATCTACATCAATAATTTTGCATCTTATACCATCTTTTTTCTTATTTACAAATATAGTGGGATTAGATTTTTTTCGTCAAAAAAATAACATATTATGGTCCAAAATTTTATTTTAAGTTAGGTATGTTTGTTTTAGTTTTTAAAAAATATTTTCAACAATTCAAAACATAAAATAATTTTATATAATTTTCTAAATATATATAATCAATAAAAAAAAACTGAACTGAGCATATTTTATAACTTTTATTTTTTTCTCAAATGCCTTGTTGTGGTCCAAACTTTTATAGATTTTAAGAAGGAAAATAATAGAATTGTTTACTGGTTTTTAGATGCCAATCATTCATAAAAAAAAAATAATAAAACAAAAAATTATAAGAGAAAAGATAGCTTATTTTATAACATTGTTTATTAGAGTCAGCCTAAAAAATAAATCAGGACATTGCAGACAATATTTGACTTTTGGAGAGAAATTGTTTTATGCCTTAAAAATTTATTATATGATCTGAGATTATATTGATTATGTGAATTATTATTTGATATATAATCAACAAATTTATTATATAAATATATATTCTAAAAGTTAAAGTAAATACACATATATATTGATGTTTCAACTCCTTACCTCACTTTTGGAAAGGAACTCCTTGGGCTCATTGATTGGGGATGTGGTAGGTGCACGTGGAACACTCCAACACGTGGGTCAGAAAGTAACCTTTTTCTAATAGCCAGAAGGTGGGGAATGTGACATGTTAGATCGCTTCCGAGAAAATAAACTAGGACACCCAAATATATGTGCATAGTGGCATACATATCACAGATTTGGTTGGTATGACAGTCCATCAATAAATGTCACGTGACATGCACCCACTTCCACAAGCGGTCTATTTTGAGATTAGTCACAATAAATAGAAGTTTAATAATATTTTAGTTAATAATTTAGTAAACTGATGGTGATTAAATCAGTTTTAAACAATGTTTTGATACAGTTATTTGAAATTTATTTCACTGTCAATCATTATCAACCTTCTAAAATAAGAGGTGAGGAATTATTAATAGCTTTGTTTAGGGCCCTTTGGTAACTCAGCGGAATATATTTGGTAATATTTATTCTCATTTGAATAATATTTAAGCGTTTCCCAAAAAAAGACCAAAGTTGAAAGCATAAAAATGATGATTTTGGCTACTTTTATAGCAAAAACACTTTAATTTATTTATTTATTTATTTTTCTTTCTAGAATGACATTTTTAACTAATTATTTAGTTTTTTTTAATCCTACAACGCTTTTTGTCAAACATACTTTCATATTTTTACTTTCAGAAATCGATTGCCAAACATGCCCTTAATGAGAAGGAAGATATAAGGATATAAAGGACGATGGAATAGTCGTCATTCCTCATATACAAATTTTCATTGTTTTGAATAATAATGAAAGAAATTACTCTAAAAGTTTAAAACTAACTTCATAAATATTAAAGATTCAAATGAGAACTATTGATGGGTGAAATAATAAAAACAATTTAAAACTCCATATTCCTTTCTCTTCTAACAAATATGTTGTCAAACTTATTATATTTTATTCCATCTAACCAACAGAAAATGAAAATTATAGTCTCTTTTCAAAAGAATGTCTCATTCATCCCATCTTCTACCCCTTCATCTATTTTTCATCCTTCACAAGAAAACATAAAGTATATATAACATTCCACTTCACTGCACGTATGATATTATCGATTTTGTGCTCAAGCCCACACAAATTTTGTTTTTTGAGTTTTATTCAAAAAGGTCCCGTATCATTTGGAAATAATATTAACACATATAAGCATTTCACATTCATCTTGTTCATATTATGTGAAATTGTGCACTTATAACTTGCCAGTATCTCAAACTCCTGAGTTGCCATAATATAACACCAGAAAAGGCAATAAAATTTATAATTTCAAAACAATTTACTTATTATAGTAAATCTATGGTATGCGGGCTTGTTGGGGCCTATTTCTTTGCAAATTTCTTCATTCCTAAATTTACTCCACAAATGTTACATGATTTTTTTTTTTTTTTTGAGTGATTTGTATGATCGTTGAAAAAAACAATTGAAAAGATAAGTTATTATTTTTTTTTTTATAAAAAAAACTAAAATTAAAATAATAAAAATGACCAGCCTAACCGCATACTGTCTCCGTTAATTACATATATATATATATATGAGAGCAAGTGCAGCAGGCTCACAAAAGCCCAATTCCACAAACAGATGGCCCGTTGGCCGCACAACGGCCTAGCTAAACGATGGGGGGTCCACGAGCGATCACGAGCCGGCTCGCGGTATTCAGTGAGCCGGCCCACTATCATTGTTTCATTTTTTTGTTTGTCTTAATGCAAAATGACGCGATTTTGCATTAGGCTTTTTTTGTTTTTTCTTCCAATGATAATGCACAAAGTCAGTGTCAAGAAATTCCACATTTAACTATTTGAAACAAAAAAATTAGTTAAGGAGGTTAATGTCTTTCAATTAGTTCTGGTTTTTTTTTTTTTTTTTTTTTTTTTTGGGAAAAGAGAAAAAAGTTTAGGGGGTTTGGTGTATTTTACCCTTTAAAAAAAATGCAGAGAGCCTATATAGAGCACCAGACAGTCCATGAATAAAATAAAACAAGGTTTAAACGCCATCCTATGACACACACAAATGTGAGTTTTAATTTTGTTTTGCACCCTATTATTATGGTTTCACAGTCACCATTATTCGTGTAAAAAGACGAATAACTAATTTTAAAGTATTAATCACTTTAATAATTATTTTTATAATGTAAAAAATATTGGTATTAATTGTGATCCTGAATAGCCAAGACAATTCTACACCTTATTTGTAGCAAAGAAATAAGAAGACTGAGTTTTCAAAAGACTCGTCAACTATGTATTCTTTTATCCGCTGTTTATCCTATCTTCTATCCATTTTAAAAGGTAAAATATCTAAAATTTATCTGTTCTCTTTCTTTATTTTAAACAAATAATCTATTTTAAGAGTGAGATAATTTCCAAATTCCAGCACTATTTCTAACGTGAAAGATGTGAATATTTATTTATTTTCTTTTTCCAGCACTATTTCTAACGTGAAAGACAGCAAAATTATATATATAATGGATCGTAAAAAGAAAAGAAAAGAATTTTCAATTGTTCAATAATATATGTATATTAGTTAACCCAAATATATATATATATATATATATTTTATAGATCTACAAATTATTTTCCAATTTTTTTTTTTTCCTGTCCCCATTAATATATTATTTATTTATTTTTTGTGGGGAGAGAAAGGTTGACAGCGTGGCAGTCCACGTGTCCTCCCGAAAAAGGCCAAAAAAAAGAAGTCCACAATTAAAAACTCATTTCACAAACTTTCCGGCAAAAGAAAACAAACATCATCCATTATATATATAATTTTCCTCCCACTTTTGTTTCCCCCCATCCATTTCAGTGCAGGTGCAAGGAGGAGGAAGAAATTTTTTAATTTTTTTTTTCTCCTGCCTTTTTGTTTCTTCTCACACAAGAATACAAAAGGAAGAAAAGAAAAATCAAAATACACGCCGTTCTTCTCCTTCCTTAAATTCACCTCTTCTGGTAATTAAATCCGGCTCATATTTACATCTCTCGCTGTCTCTATACACACACATATATATGCATGCACAATGCCGTTTGATATATTCTATATATCAAATTTAATAAATTCCAATAAAATCAGCTTCTTCAAGTTCATATTATTTAATATATATTGGGTTTCTGTGTGTTCTAACGGTGGTGGAGATTCAATGTATTCAATATATATATGTGTGTGTGTGTGTGTGTTATATATTATATTTATTGTTCTGTTTTTTGGTCTGGTTGGGAGGGAGGGGGATGTGACGTGGTGTTGATTTTGTAGGGGAATTTTATAATTTTTATTGGATGGTTGAATTTGATAATTATTGACGCTGTCATTGTTAAAATTTTGATTGTTTATTTAAGATCTGAGTTTCATTCCTCATTGCTTTGTTTATTAATTACACATTCTTGTTTTGGATCATGCATCACCTAATTCAAATGTGGAGCTAAGGAGAAGGGGAAAAAAAAAAATGAAAAGAAAAGAAAAGTGCCAATAGGGCTAATCAATACAATTCTCTCTCTCTCTCTCTTTTTGGGTAAAAAAATTTCAGTACTTAAAATAGTTTAAATTTGTCAATGGGAAATTGGGTATTGTTTGTTATTAGGCCTGCATCATTTCTGATATCTTTAAATTAGCCTGTGTTTACTTTTTCCCCTTGAAAAATGTTGGTGAATGGTGTTGAGTTGAAAAGATAATTTCTCATTAGAGGTCACAATTGGTTGATTGTACATTGAGAATCTCTGATATTCTGTAAGAACCACTTAGCTTGCTATTTTTATTGGCAGTTTTGTTTTGATCATTTTGACAAGTACTTTTTACAAGATTAATCATTTGTGTACATATCGTAAAGCTTTACATTTTATTTTTGGATTTCAATGCTTTGTATTAAAATCTGTCTTCCTTCTGTTGTTAGATGCTATAACAAATCCATAAATTGTACAAGGATGGCTGTCAGTTTCAAGTACTGGGATGACTGCATTGATCCGAAGGACATGGAGGCAATGTGGATGGATCCAGCAGTGAGAAATGAATGGATTAATGCTGGAGAGACTAGAGGAAGTAAAGTTCACCTTTCACGAGATCCTGACGGTCAACCATATCTTACGCAAATTGAGATGAAGGTAAAGCAAATTAAATGTATATATAAAAATCCTGTATAATGTGACTTTCAACTCAGATGAAAAAATGCTGAACTTCTATGGACATTGCTTCATTGTAAGTAGTTTCAAAATATGAAGTATAACAATTACAAAACCTATGGAAATTTGTCAATCCAAATTTACTTTTCAATTATTTAGATTTTATTTAACTTTTTTATTTATTTTTATTTCATCCATTGTCAAGTCGAAAAGTGAAATTTAAAATTAACCTTGTAAAGTTTGCCTTATGAATTATTTCACATAAGTCATCTACTTCTGATTATTGTTATTATATTATTATTAGTGTTGTTAAAACTATTTTATATACATCGTGTCAAATGCTATTTTCAGGCTGTATCTGGGATCATCGTCGAGAGGCATTTTTATTCAGAGATAGATTCGGTATGTATTTCTATACTTGAAATATGAAAAAAAGCTGCACAGATCTTATGGATAGCTAATGAGTAATCATCTTATAATGATGCAAGTTGATCATCTATTTTGTGGTTTTTAAACAGGCGGCCTATAAATATCATGATTTTCTAACTCTTCATGTACATTTTTAATTTGCATCTTATCTTAATTCCTGTTGAAAACTAAAACATTTTGCAGGCATGGTCCACATGTAACATTTGATAGAACATCATCTATATTCTCTACAAGTGCACCCTTTTGTGAAACTGTCAATGACTCAGCTATGTGTTAGCCGCTTACCGCATCATGTATGAGCTTCTGTTATTTGAGACGTCTTCTGTGAACCACAATATGGTCTTTCTGAGTGTTGCAATAGGACATTGGAACAATTTTGAATTTTCTTGAATACTACCGTCCTAACAACATTAAAATCTCTTTGTTTCAATAGTGTTTCCCTGCTGTTCTGAATTCTGTGTGCTAAATCTCGTCTTGTATCATCACTCATATCTCTTGTACGGTGACATAAGTTTTCCTGAGGGAAGTGTTGTTGCTTGCTTTTATTTCCATTGAATATTGAATTGAATTGCTTTTAGTGAGTCCTTCGCCTTATCAGATGTTGTTGATCCCATGCTGTTCCCATCTGTTGCATAATAGATAGAAATTTCACTCTTAATCATCTCAGAAGAGGCTTAGTTTTCCCTGTGCAATGTGCTTTGGGTCTTTATACAGAAAAGGTGGTCGATCACCTCATGACATTGCTAGTTCGCATTAGCTGCTTTATCTCTTGGATACTCATAGTAAATTTAAAAATTGAGTTGCTATCAATCTTAACTTGAGTTTTACAAGTTAGAATTATATTCATGTTCTGCAGGACATGATTTGTGCCCTTGCTGAACTTGAAAGTGACAGGCAGCCCCTTTCTACACGGTATAATAAAAAAACCAAAGAGGTAACTATGGGGATCATGCAAATTTTGCCAAAAACTGCAGAGTGGTTGGTCAGGTACTAATTAATGCTCTGATTCTGATCTGAGGGTGTAACTCCCAGCTAAGAGTAGCAATTCTTTTTGGTGAAATAAAGAATTAACCAAACTTCCTTGCAGGGAGGTGGGTTACCAGGCATATGGAGTGGAAGGGAATTCAAATCTTTTGTACAGGCCTTTCATAAACATATATTTTGGTGCTGCCTACCTTAAGTGGTTATCAAATTTTAGCCAAAAGTAAGTTACAGGTTTTGATTTCATTTTCCCCTTATTCGTGTACAGTTTCTTCTGTTTCTCTTTACAAATTTTCCTTTACCAGCAATATTTTATTGGAATATAGATTTATACAATTTCTGTCTTAGAGTTTTGTTGGTGTGCAAGTTCTAACAAAGAATTATTTTTGCAGAGAAAGAACTGAAGAGTTCATAGTGAGAGCTTATAAAGGTGGTACAAAAAAGGCAACTCATAAATCAACTCTACCGTATTGGAAACGGTATCTTTCTGTCAAGGAAAGCCTACCATCCAGGTGGTTGCTTAATCTTATATAATATTAGCTTCAGATTTACATCTAGTCTGGCATTCTCACTGTTGAAATATCTTTATTATTTTTATTTTTATTAGCTATTTTTAGCCTTTTATTAGACGTTTTATGTAAGATCCCTATAATCATGGGATCACGTAAATAAGATCCCTGTAATTATGGGATCCCGTAGATAAGATCCCCATAATCACGGGATCCCATAGATTTTGGCATATTTTATGTCTTTCTTTGATTTGGTTTCCTTTCTTTGTACCCTATTCTTGTATATAAATATAGATCTTGGCTCTCAGTTTGAGTAAGCCAAAACCCAAAACTTCTTCTTTTCTCACAGATATTGTTACCTCCTTCGCTTCATCCTGAAGTACACATATTGACATTTCGCAGCATGAGATGGCTGACGTCCACAATGGAGTCCATGTAACAATTCACAAGTTACTAGTCGACTTTCTAGGGTGAAAAAAAAAAAAAAACACAACAAGAACAAAAGTGCACAAGAAGCTTTATTGTATGTATGTCTGTCCAATGAAGAATTTGGTGTTTCTGATGAAAAATTAATGAACTTGCATAGTGAGATTTGCTTGGATGTCCTTTTCTTTATTTTATTTTCTTTATTATTATTATTTTTTAAACATATATTTGGTATGTTTCTAAGTAAAAAATAAACTTAATTTGGTTTATTGAAATTGTCAAATTTTTTTTGAAATTTTCATGAGACAATTGAACTTGCAAATCATCTGAATATTTGGTAATTTGGGTTGAAAAGTTCAAATTGTTTTTATGTTTCCTTGATGAAAAATGCAAATTTTATCACCAAGCATTAGATTGAGTAGTATCTCCTCCACCTCCAAAAAAGGTTTAGGGATCAAGTCCGAAATAGAACAAAGTGGTGTGTTAGTCTCACACTCTTATCTATAAAAAAAATGCAAACTTCGTATAGCTTTTCTTTTTCCACCAATAAACCATATATTGGATATGTATATTGTTTTACTGTTAGTTTTGTTGTGCTTATACTTCTCTTTTGTTAAAATTAAATTGATATTTACAAAAAAGAAGAAGATGAGCAAAAAAGTTTATGTCTATGTTTTTTATTGTGCATTAGGGTAAGCCGGCATAGTTGGGCCAACAATTTTGGAAATGATAATGATGGATATGTTTTTTTCCTTGGCAAGAAACTCACCACTCATTTGCCCCTATGTGCACTTGAACTCTCACCTTCCTCTTTGAGAGGTAGAGGAGATACCACTAAGCTACAACTCCCTTGGTAATAATCATGAAGTTTAGTTTATACATATATTTTAATATTATGAACATATAATCTTCATGTCTATTTTTCAGCCAAAACCTGTACATGTCTCATGAGTACTTTATTTACCATATCCACTGAACATAGTCTTATATAAACTAATTGGAATAATCATATCCGCAGGTGCCTTTATCCTTGATATATGTTAGAATATAGAATGTATCATTCATTTGAACTGAAGGTACATGATTATAATCCACTGCTAGAAATATCTATCATGTTAATTGCTAAGAATGATACATTGGAAGGATCTATACAACTATGCATGTAATCACTAAGTTTGATCTATGGCTTGCAAGAAGAAAATAGTGTATCTAAAAATAATGGAAACATCACTGCTGATATTAACTGCCTAATGTATCATTGTTTTTCAGAAAAGTTTTGGAAGTTAGTCCTTTCGCGAATAATCCTGCTCCCGCGACTCAAGCTTCAAAAATGCCAGGTGACCCTTCTTAAAGCAATTTAAGGCTACTTATATGATGTACATTCATATTATATTGTTTGCATTATATTCTGTTCCAAGAAACTTTTGAGTGTTTAACAGCTTAGTTGATCTAAAATATCTAGTTGAAGTGTTAAAGCGTTGGTCGAGGAACATCATGAGGCTAAGCTTAGTAAAACGTCAAATTTTCTAGCTAATTGTGTTATTCAGCTTTTACAATCTCAACATATGAATTTTCTTCAATAACTCAATATAAATTTAGATAATAAGAAGTATTAGTGACGAAGCCATAATTTTACTTCAGGGGGGAAATAAAGTAATTTTTTTTTCAACTAACGTGACAACTAATACTGAGAATAATTTGAAAAATAGAAGTGCAGTAATGGTGTGTTAATCAAGATTCAAATAGTATGTAATTATTCGCAAAAAAACCACAGTAAAGAAAAATTAAAAAATGCAAAATTGCAGTAATAAATTTAAATAAGAAGATGAGAAAAAAAAAAAAACAAAAAAAGAAAAGAAAAGAAAAGAAAAGGGTGCAAAATGAAGAATTTTATGAGGAGGGAAAAAAAAAAAAGACGAGAACTTTGGAGAGAAAAAATCAGGGTTTGAAGAAAGGGAATTTGATTTTTTTTTTTAAGGAAATCAAAGGAATTTGAAGAGTAAAAGAGGAAAGGAACGAAAAAAAAATAGAGATATTTTAGAAATTGAAAGTTTTCGGGGGCGCATTTTTAAAATTTCACAAATATATAGACAAAATACACACGCACACTTGGCGGGGCCAGGCCAGCTGCCCCCTCAGCCTACACTGGCTCTGTCCCTGAGAAGTATAATATCTAAACTGAAGCTTGATCGTAATAACTATAATAGCCTAACTGAAGCTAGTTTTAATTGCTTATCTCATCACCATTAGCAGTTCCTAAGTTATATCTGCATATGTCGTTAACAGGGTGATCTATTTACAATTGATATGCTAAGTACAATAAATACCAAATAGAATGAATAAGATCTCTTGGATACTTCATTAACTTCTTTTGTCATATTGCATATTTTTGCTTTTACAATTTTTTTAGTTCGTGTTACAATATCTTACCCCTTTAATGTCAATAAACAGCATTTTTAATTGATTTTAAGAAAGATATTGTGGAGGTAAAACAAGATCTATGCAAACAAGATAACAGATGTTATAGCTGATGCAAATACTTCAATTTCTTGTTTTATATTTTTTGTATTATTTTTTTCAAAGAAAAGTTTGTAAATAATTCATGTTGATTTATTTGATCTAGATGCGACTTACAACTACCTTCTTTTAAGTTGAAGCTTAATATCCAATATTTGATGCTTTTTTAGCTGTTCTCTTATTTATTTAACAGATCATACGGATCTTGTTAATAATTGTATCATTGTTGTTCAATTCTTTCTACCATGATTTAGAATGTAATTGTTCTTTCTTTCGTCTTTATATGGCTAGAATGTCTACTTACTTTCTTTACATGAGGGAGCAGGTTCCGGTAATACAACATGGGACTCTAGAGCTTCTCCAGAAGATATGGAGGGGATGTGGAATAATCCCACTGTTAGTAAAGAGTGGAACCAATCTGGAGAGAAGAAGGGAAAGGTGCGATTTTCTCATGATGGTCAGATGAAGCCCTATCTCTCCCGGGCAGAAATGAGGGTAAGATTATAAAAATATGGACATATGAAATAGATTAGGGTAAATTGTAAAAAGAACCCCTAGTACTATTACTGTACAATTTTTGCAGCTACCCCCGAAGTAAATTTCATACCAAATAACCCCTTGATATATCTAATCAGCTGGAGCTTTTGTTCTTATCATTCTATTATCTTGCCTTACCTACAGTACTTGAACCATCAAATATGTTACAAACTGTTCCCTTGCCATTAAATCACCATTAAGGGCCACTAGAAATTATCAGAACGACCTTATTATATATATATATATATATTTATTTATTTATTTATGTTAATGAAATAATAGAAGGGTATAATGGCACATGCCAAATAAATGGTGTTTCCGTTAAACTTTTTTTAATGGCAATTTGACAGTAAGGGGTTTATTTTTAGTTAAGGTAGATGAGGGTGGTTTTCTGGCGTGAAATTGAGTTCAAGGGGTTCTTTGCAATAGCCAAATACTACGAGGGGTTCGTTTTTTTTTTTTTCAATTCAACCAAAAAATTATTGGCTGTGTGTGATTATTAAAAATTGATGTGGGGAATGCTTCTCCTGCTGCTTTATTGTGCTGTTAAACATTTTATTATAATGCAGTTTATGCCATTAGGGATGCATAAATTTTCATGACCCCCTGACAAACATCACTTATACTTTGGACTTTTACTATAACCTACTGAAATAATTGTGAGAGTTGAATTTCAACTTGTATAAAAGTGTTATATCAGCACTTGCGATGGGACTGATTGCAGGTGCCCAAAGGGAATAGTCCTGCCTCCAAAAGGAGTGGGGACATCAATAAATATCAACTAAAATATGATATCAACTAAAATATGATGTCTTTCTTATCAGTGACATTATGGAAACAATTGAAAATTGTTTTCATTTTCTGTTAATTGTCTTTTGCAAGTGAACGGAATCTGATAATTAATTGTCTTTTGTTGTATGGAATGTGAAATTCTGTTTTCTTCTGATGTATCCTAAATTCCACCACAAAAAGCTATGCATTTTTTTTACCCTTTTAGATTTCCACTTTCGCAAAGGTAATTTTTAACGCGTATAAACAACTATTAAAAATTTTATGGCATTTTTTAGTCTGGGAATTTGGGACCACTTATCGTGATCAATGAGGATACACTCTTTTCTGTTGACAAACGAATAATTTTATATGCTCTGATTAACGAATTTTGCCTTTTGCAGTTTTTAACGTTTTTGTAGTTATGTCTTTCTGTGCTCTCAATTTTCCGCTTTATTGATATGAAGTCCTATTGATAACCTAACTCCTTTGGCAGTTGTATAAAGTAGTTGGTTGTCTAGTTTTACTCAGTTTTGGCATGAAAAAATGAGGTCCCGTGATTCTATTGTTGATTTAAAGTCTCCTATTTTGCTATCTTATTGCATAATATACAGTAACCAGTAAAGTATCATGTTACAAATTATAGCAAGGCCACCAAAACCTTCCCGAGTAGTACAAGTTACTTAAACATATTCATTTGGACTAGACATGTATATCTAGGCATTTGACTCCAACTCTGGATCACCAACATATAAGCATAATAAAATGAATATATTCATCAAATGCTGGAAATAAGATTGAACTTTGAAATATCCATGCAATGATTCACTATCAAGATTGAATCCCTCTAATCATGTTTTTTTTTTTTTTTTTTCTCTCCGTCAGTAAATGATGCAATGAACAATTATCTTTACATGATTATCTGTTTCTTTCATAGGCCTGCTTCATAATTCAATAAGCATTTCCTCTCCAGATAGTGATTTTAGTCAAATGGGTCAGATTATCTGTATGTTAAGTCTCCTAAGAAAAGTGCTCTTGTGATGTTCACTGGAAACACTATAAATTGAATGCCATGTCTCCAACATAACATCATATATATATATATATAGTTTCTGTATTTTCTGAACGGTGTCTTCAATTTTGAAATAAGTCCAAACATTTACTCTGAAGTCTGAATATGGGCTGCATAATTCTCCTTGAGTGTGTCGCATTTTTCCTTCAAAGTCCTGATTCTTATATACGAGCATATATTGTAGATTCCTATATCTTTTCAAGAACATCAACCTAAATCTTGGAAAGTAATGGATGTAATCTATGTTTAATCTTTGAACGTAGTCTATTTGAATAAGATGATGGTCAGACAAAAAATAGGATTTATCAAGATTATTTATAGAATTTAAATTAGAGTTGACTGAATTAACTTGTTTAGTTGCTTAAACTAGTCACACTTAAAGAACATTTGACAAAATCCCCAGAAGTATCCTACGGAAAATGAAAGCTAAAAAATTCATAATATGGTCCAACTTTTTTAGGAAGAATGATTTGGCTTCATTTATCCAGAGTGATTATCACACGCACACATATATGCATGTGTGTGTATTTATTTTTATATCCAGAATGCCATTTCTTTTTGTGGGATATGTGGTTGAAATCCAGCAGAAGCGTCTGAGGATTCAGTTCAACAGTATTTTATTTATTCCAATAGCTATGCGCATTAGATAAGTGAATCTGGAAATGGTTTAAAAAAAATTCCCACCATCCTTGTGTTTGGGAAAGAAGAATCACATTGCTTTCCTGGGATTTGTTAGGCACAATATAATAGTAGGAGGAATATATATTCAATATTGTTCAACAAGTTTGTAGCGTTTATGTGTGTTTCATCTTTAATACCATCTTTGCTGCTGTAACGATAAGTCCGTCATTCAGTAACATCTTTTTTTCCCTAAATCCTCATTCAGTAACATTAATACAACCTTACTGCTGATTCTGGAAGTTGTTTCCACTGAATAAAAGAGAGATTGTGAAAAGTGTCACCTTGTGAAATCAAATCATTGGTTTTTTCTTGCAGGCAGTTGCGGAAATCATTGCCTCAAAGCACTTCAGTACAAAAGGAATTAAATCTGTAAGTATATGGTTATTTTTTTTTTATAAGTATAAGTATATGGTTTTGCTTGTGAAGAGTCGTGCACCTTGCAAATAAGATGTCACTCTGTATGTGTGTTTCTTTATAATTCTTTGAAGAAAATTTAAATAATTTAGGTGTTCCCTCTTGGTTATAGTCCCACCATTATATGTAGCTATACTGTTACATCGAAAGCCTGAAGGAAAGAGTGTCTAAGTCGGCCACATACCACTATATGAGAGAAAATATGCCTAGATCCCTGTTTGACATAAAAAAAATGTCAGAAAATGTCAGTTTATGGAAAATAGTGTTTCCTTTGTTTATTCGTGTAACATCCCTTGCCTCAGCCTAGCACATCCTTTTTTTCAGGTTTGCACTACGATTGTCTTCATTACATAATATAAAGTTAATTTCATTAGTTGTCATCCTTATTCTATTCAACAAAAGAAGATAAAATGCTTTGTTTTAATTCTTCTAGTGTTTTTTTGTATGAGACTTTTTTACTATGTTATTTAAATGATGTTGACTAAGAAAGAATTTAACGGAGCACATTATGTTATCTTGCAACCACTTCTTGCTGCCAATGAAATGGAAGAGCTTTGAAAGAAAAAATAAAATAAAATTGGACAGGTGAAAAATAAAATAAAATTGGACAGGTGCTTTTTATTTATTGTCTATCTTTTTTCTTGGCAGCCAAAACAATAACATAACTTTCCCCTTCAGTTTTGTTCTCCTGGTTGCAGAGTTGAGGTTAGCGGTTCACTCGAAAATTGGAATTACATGCTAACGGAAACCACTGTATAACCAAGAATAGTATTAAGAGCATGTTTGGCTTTGCAATTGAAAGTTTGTTTGAAAGTGCTTTTGGTTTGAAAATTCACCTTTAATTGTGTTTGGTAACAACTAAAAAGTAGTTTTCAGTGGTAGAGATTTGGGCCAAGCAGGGCTTTTACCCAAAATTCAAATTTTGAGCATTTTACAAGTAGACATAAAAATTTAGGAATGATTTGTTTATGGAAAAATATATATTTATGAAGACTGGTTTATATACTGCGTCACCAAATACTATTTGTTCTTCAAGGAACAACACTTGTTTGACAACTCTACATAGAAAAAGGTGCTTATTATGCCAAGAGGGTAGTTAACTTTCTGGCATTTTCCTTTTGTCAATGGTTAGCTTCAGTTTCTCAGTTTTATTTTTTCCTCATTATATTTGTGTTCGTAAATTTTTACCTTTTGTTTTTGTTATCTCATCCTTCCTGAAACTCACTTTGTCTGCAGACGGTTTTATGTGCTCTTGCCGAGATTGTTAGCATGCGTTTTGTTAATGGATCTGGAGCACGTACTGGCTTAACGGGAATTGACTACCCCACAGCTTGCTGGCTTTACAAGTATGTAAATACTGTGATCAAAACTGAAAATTTACACTACATAGAGGCATAAGTTAAATTTCCTTCTGTTTTTAACTTGTGGTTTTGGTTGACGCTTTTGGTAGCAATTTGGTTATTTTGGGTTCCTGTATGGTAATTGGACCAGCTCACGAAAATGAATTGACTGCATCTCAATTCCCCCTAGCATTTTAGTGGTCATGTCATTCAAGATGTCGATCACCAAGTTTATCTCAAATTAAAATTGCATATTAGATCAATTTTGTAACCGTGATATGCTTGTATCTTAAGCATTTAGTTAAATTTTTTATACCTTTTTCTAGTATTCAATCACCACCTTCTCATCTTTTATTCCAATTCTGAATTGTGCTTAAATCTTCTGCACCCTAATCTCTAGGGACTTGGGCTACAAGGCTTACTCAGTCGAGAAAGTTGAGGATCTAACCCGGCCGTTTGTTTCAATGTACTTTGGTGCGGCCTATTTGGCTTGGTTATCACAATATGAAGGAAGGTAGGTTTGTTCACTAGTATAAAATATCATCCATTTGTTACTAGCATTTTTAGTCTCTGTCCCTGACCGATTCACTGGCTATCTTGTTCATAACCAGAGAAAGAAGTCTACAGTTTGTGGTTCAGGCTTATCTTTCAGGGCCAAAGAACGTAAACCTGCAGGAGACCGGTCCTCAATGGCTTAAATTTCAGGAATCGTTAAGCCGCTATGAAGAGGTTAAGAAGTAGGTTGTCCTCTCTTTCCATATTAACACAAATTGGATTTTTTATTCATCGCATTTACAAGACAAAGAACACATTTTCACAAAGCCCTCGCTCAAAAGTAGATTCACTGATTGTTGTTTCAGTACAAGAATCATTTTCTGTTTCTTCTAATGGAGCTATTGTTTTTTTTTTTGAAATATATATATATATATATATATATATATTTATATTTCAAATTCATGTATTTGATTGATGAACTGATCATTACAGGGAGCAAGGGGGTTGCACAATTTTGTGAGCTGGCTTAGTGGAACCTCATGATATGGTTTTTTCCCTGGGATACATTCTTTGGAGTAGCATTGGATATGACTGAAATCTTGAAATAGGAAAAAACATATAAATAGAGTGGATGTTGTTGTTGTATTTGTAATGATGATTTTTTCTGAAGACATTTTCCACACTGCATTAGTCTTTGTGAGTGGTGCACATGAAATTGTGTAAAAATTTACTTCTCTTATTTTTTTGCTCTTCTTAATTTCTTCTCTCTATATGTATATGTATGTATATTTCAGCTGGTTTGAACTTCACAGATTATCACGTATCGGAATTCAATTTCGATGTAAAAAACTCATGCTCCCATTTACTCTTGTCCAAACTTGAACACTAATCTCGTTTTACGAGGTAAAAAACATATCACTAGGCTACTTTGATAGTGTAAACTTGTTGAGTTAAATTTTGAATTTGTAAAATAAAATAGAATTTGATATGCGAACCTGCCAATCTAGTAAAAGAAAGGTAAATAAATTCAAATTAACTTGACAAAGTATTTTCTTGAAAAGTTATATGCCAATGGGCTAGTAAAAATCCATCAGTAATGTAAAGTTTATATGTATATTCCTTTATGTGTTGTAAAGTCAAGTTACGGAGTACTGTATATGATAAGATTAAATTATATTATCAGTCAATTCTTCTTTCTTCTTTTTGCCTTTTTACTGAGTACTGTATATGATAAGATTAAAATATATTATCAGTCAATTCTTCTTTCTTCCTTTTCTTTTTTACTGTGTTATTATTATTTATTATTATTATCATTATTTTTCGTCTATGCATAAATGGACAAAAAAGCCGACCAAATATTCTAATGGATAAGCTCCATTTTTTTTATATATGCTTGAAAAGAAATGAACATTAAATTAATAACAAACTTCTTTTTTTCCTAATTAATAACAAACTTCTTAAAGAAGGTCAAACCAATATCCTCATCACAGACACGTTTTCATGGATCCCCATATGCCCCTTATCTTTCCATTAGTCTCTTGCTTGCCTTCTAAGGTTACTAGGGTTGAAGCTTTCTTTGTCAAAGTCATGTGACACACACACACACACACACAGAGTAGGGTTCAATATAAATTTGGATCAGATCGACTATAATTTATATTTTATTTGTTCAACTAACAATTTATCAATTGTTAAGTAGTTATCCAATTAAAATGTTCAATTTACATCTTAATTATTTTGAATCCGAATCAAAATTGGATTCATTGACCCATTTATTTATAAATTTAGGGGGTTACAAGCGAAAAACACTTGTATGATATGTATATGAAGTATATAATCTCATATATGTTTTAAAAATATCCTGACATTCAATTTTGGAGTAAACAAGAACTTGAATACTAATTATTAGGTAAAAAATTAATTAAATGTGAAATGACTAAAATATTATTTTTTTGTCTTTTTTTTTTTTTTTTTTTTTGGGTTACGACTCAGTTTAATGTGTATATACATATGAGGGTAATATATATATATATATATATATATATATATATATATATATATAAGGGTATTATCAGAAGAGATATAGACGTTTTCAGAATTTTATATCTTAATAACTTCAAGCACTTCTTTACTCATTTTTCAAAATTAACGAACTTACCATACACAATATAAGCCCTTGTTTGATCATATTTTCAAACTTAATAGACTTATATATACAACATAAATGATGTTTCCAAATTTATTTATTTATTTATTTATTATTATTGCAACTACCTGCCTTTTAGATTTGTAGCTACGGGATAAACTCTCGGCTACCCACTCCGACCTCCACAGTGCAAGTTGCATTTTAACTTAGGAACGATGTTTTCAAACTTAATAGATTTATACACACAACATAAATGATTGAGGTGTTATTTGTCCAAAATGTAAATATTAATGGTATTTTTCTCACTTTACCCTAAATTTAAATGCAGAGGAGAGTTTTTAATATATAAGATGGTGCATCATATAATTATACAACCAAATGTACTTGATGATAGATAAGTAATAAATTTAATAATAAATAACTGATATATATAACTAATATATATATATAAAATAACACACACACATATATATTTAATGGAATGGTGGCACGTCAACCAAACCGCGTCAAGTTTGCAATTGATCAGGTTTAATTCATTTGTTCGTGGACAAATTTGAAGTCGGCTGATCAATACTTTTTAATACTCTATTTTATTAGTTTCATCAATAAATATGTAACAAAATTACAAAAAGATTATAATTAAAGATATTCCTAACTTTATACAGATAAGTTCAAGTCGCTAAAAGTTTTCCAACCTAACGAAATAATACAAGTCCAAACTTTTAGTAATAAATTAAGTCTAAATTATTCATTAGCAACTTATTTTATTTATAACTTATACACGGCATGATTAGGACTTAAAATGAAGTTAATTTGAATTGAGATCCGATTTGATTTAAATTTCATTTAAAACAAATTTTGAATATTATTTTTAATCCAAATTTAACAAAATAATGTGAAGTTAGTTTGACTTGAGATCCAATCTTATTTCAAATTTATTTTTAACTAATTTTGGATTTTACTTTATAATTCGAATTAAAAACATAATGTGATATAGACCTTTCTCAAAATACCCATCACAGATTTAGATAGATTGATTATAAAACAAATCAAAATTTACCAAAGTATTTGACCCAAATCAAGTAGATTTTGTTACTAATTCTTGGTGAGTTGGGGTGTGAAATTTTTATTTATTTATTTATTTTCTTAGGGTACGCATATCGTTACATAACATATGTACCATTCAACTTAAAAACGCGAAAGTAAAATTTTAAAATTTATTTTTAGAATCCCTGGCAACCCGACTACACCCTACCCTTTGAATTGTGGATAGTGATCATTTCTATTTCAAGCCTTCTACGTAAATCAAGTACAATGCACAAGTCTTTTAAGGGTATCTTAGTCAGTACAAAAATGTGATGTCAAATTGAGTAAAAGGCGCTAGATACGAGGGGTAAATTAGTAATTGTAGCATAAACTTGGAAGTGACTTTATGGTTTGACTAATATGCATCGGTGGAGAAAGAAAGAGACATTTGAGTCGGCATTATATATATATATATATATAAAGATTTGGGTGTGAGATATGTATATGAGGTTTCACAATTCACACTCATTCAGTCACAGTAACGGCGGATTTACTCAAAACCCTATTGTTGTCATTTTGAGGGCTTCAAAACCCAGTTCGCGAAAACCATTCCACTTTCAGGTACAGATTCAGATTCATCTGATTTTGATCTAAAATGATTCATTTAAGATGATTTAGATTACTGCACTTTTTGATCTTTCTTTAATGTTCTGGGTTCTTGTGATATTGTTTCCAGTCCTTTCAATTAAAATGATTTATTGAGAAAAATGATATAGATTGGTTCTGTTCACACCCACAGACACGTTTCATTTGTCATTGGAAGGTCTTATGTTTAAAAAAGTTGAAATTTTTGTTTGATGAATTCAATTGTGGAACTTGAATTATGTTGAAGCTCATAGATGTGTTTTCTGGAATTTGTAGATTAATTGTTTTTGACGTTAATGTGGAAAGCAAAATGAATTTTCTGGTGTGGGTTTTTGAGTATAACAAAGAAGCTTGCTTCCAACTACAATCAGAACTCAAATTATTATTATTATTATTATTTTTTTTTCAATACAATTTTGTTGAGTGGAAAAAGCAGGCACAACCATTTAGATGCACAGAATTGTGTTATGCACATACTGTTGAGGCAAACTTTTAATTTTGGTGTCATTCACAGAGTTGAAAGCATAGCCAAAGATGCAGTAGAATCATGACAAGAGGGTGGTTGCCAGTGTAGCCGATCCCAAGTATGTCCAATTATGACTCTTATGTCCTACTTTAAATTTTGCAAATGTTTATTGGATCTTGGTGTTTGGTCTTTAGTTTCTATTAACCTTTGCACGAAGCAATTTTCTTTTGAACTTTATGGCAGAACATACGAAAAAGTAAGGGCCTCAAGGGGTACCACAATTTTGTGGGGAAAAAAAAAATTTGTTGAGTGGAAAAAGTAGACACAACCATATAGATGCACGGAATTGTGCCATACACATACTGTGCAAAATTTTAATTTTGTTGTCATTCACAGAGTTGAAAGCATAGCCAAAGATGCAGTAGAATCATGACAAGACAGTGGTAGCCAGTGTAACGATCCCAAGTATGTCCAATTATGACTCTATGTCCTGCTTTAAATTTTGCGAACGTTTAGTGGATCTTGGTGTCTGGTCTTTAGTTTATACTAACCTTTGCATGAAGCAATTTTCTTCTGAACTTTATGGCAGAAAATATGAAAAAGTAAAAAAAAAAAAAGTAAGGGCCTCAAGGGGCACCACAATTTTGTGGGGAAAAAATAAATTCCAGCTCCTTTATTAGCACGAGTAAGGGGCACAATGTTACTAGATCTGTGGGTTCTTAAGGCTTTACTGTTATGAAAACTTGTTAAGAGTGGATCCCATTTTGGGATCTTATTTTAGGCTAACCTAAGAGCATTCAGCTTGTGATGATTATAGTTATTTTTTGATAAATAATACATTCCGGTTGTTATTGTGAGATCATTGTAGTAAATAGATTTACTTCAAGGCTTTAGAAAGATTTCTTAGTCTTCAATTATGACTAGTGCTTCTTATTGTTTGGATTACATGCATTCTATCATTTGTTTTTTTCATCATCACCATCATCCTTACCTTTATTTATGTTTGTTCTTATTTAGCCAGTAAGGCCTTCTGAAGTAGTTGCCAAGTTCTAGAACCATTTCAGGGATGATAACATCTGCCATAAGAATGTGTTTTGACGAGCTAATCAAGAACAAAGTTGCGACCTTTTGATGCTTCGGAAGTTTTCGAACATGGAATCGTCTCTATAAATGGTTTACACTGAAAAGTTTGTATTTTGACCATGAAAGTTCTTGTTAGTTATGATAAGATCCATGCCAAGTTCTTCTCAAATGAATCTAAGAAGTGCTACTGGTCTGTATAACTGAGTGATATATTCTAATTATTAACAAGTTGACAGATCATAGTTAGACTATCTTCCTTAGTGTTTGCATAATGGATTCGAATTGTCCTGAGGCACAAAATCTTGCTATCTTGCATCTTTAGGAGCATTAACTTATCGAGTGAATGTTTTGGTAGTCATTGAGAAATAATAAATAAGATGGCTATTATGAGCAGTGGATATGGCTGTCATGAGAAACCATTGCTAATCTGATTGGTGTTTGCTATTAACTTTCATGAAAAAATTATCTGATGTTTGAATGCTCTGGCTTCAAATCCTCTCTTTTTTTCCCTTTCATCTTTCTTTTGGTCTTTTTCCTTTCCTTACGTCTTCATGCTTGGAAGGTCATTGTCATTGAAATTGGAAAGAGAACTTATGGGAAAGAAAGCTGGTACACAAGGGTAAAAGAAACTGGGTATCTTGTTAAGCATGTTCGTTATCCCCTGTTCTCTGTGTTACTACACAAAAAATCATAGTCATCTCACTGTTGTTAAAGTGGTCTACAGTGGTGTAATCACTGGTGGTCATATGGCCTTGAAATATATATATATATATATAAGAGCTTAGCTTGAGTTCAGCACTAGATTTCTTTTTCCTTCCAAAAATCCATTTTGGCAAATAGATTTACAAGAATGTTTTGAGTATTAGGTATCATTGTTCATGCAAGAGTTAGCATATAAGGTGGTAACAATAATTCCTTACCACAATTTTATCTGGATTAAACAACGATACGGAGTTCTCATGTTTCTTCTTTCAATAATCATTAATTTTTAGGATGATTCTTATGCTATTATTTTCTCTAGGGCAAATTGCAAAAAAAAAAAAAAAAAAAAAAAAAAACTCCTTGGCTTGTAACCATTTGCTCTGAATCTCCCTTTTGATTTTTTTTTTTTTTGTTGGCAAAAAACCTCCTCCAACTAACAGGAGGGGTTGCTCAGCTATTTTTTGAGACAAGAAAGCCCTTTACCTATTTATTGCACCATTTTTGTTTACTCATATAATTTTTGTATCTAATTTGTTTCAATGTGTTATACTTTCAAATGTAGTACCAAATTTCAGTGTTTTTTTTTTTGTTTTTTTGTTTACTCATGTCATTTTTTATTTTCCTTTTCCAACTTTCAGTGTGTTGTATTTGACTAGGCTCAGTCCATTGAACCGCCACTCTTAATTACTGAACTAAAGAGGTGTTCAGATTGGTAATCTCTGATCTTAATGAAAAAGTATGAATTCAATGATAACTTTAATAATTACTAATTTACTATCGTGATTGTAATTTTAGTTGCACAAACTTCGTTCTAAATTGAAAATAGTATTAAAAAGGTGTACTTAGAAATTTTAAGGTGTTGATTTTAAATATCAAGCAAGTTTTAAAGAAATCAAGTTTAAAAACCAATCACGATAATGTTTTGGTGCAATACACGAGTACACATTCAATGCCACAGTGACATCATAAATTAATTTAATTACTCCTCTTGTTTGTAGTTTTGTACAATCAGTCATTAACTTATATATTCTGAAAAAATTTACCTCTTGGTTTGGTCCTTAAATGCATTAACCCCATTACCTGATTTAGATACAAAATGATAAAAAATAAAATAAAAATTGAAACAAATTAGATACAAAATGATATGAGTAAACAAAAATGGTGCAATAAATAAGTAAGGGGCATTTTTGTCTCAAAAAATAGTTGAGCATCCCCTTGGTTAGTTGGAGGGGGTTTTTTGCCAAAAAAAATCAAAAGTGGAATTTACTGCAAATGGTTACAAGTCAAGGGGGGTTATTTGCCATTTTCCTTTTTCTCTTTATCAACTTCATTACTCAAAACTCTCTGCCTGAATTTTTATTATCCAGCTTATGTACTGAGATCATTATATTTTATCGGTTTGGTAGGGAAGACTGCAGGTATACCCGAGTGTCATCAAGATTGTTGATGCTAGAGGAGTCAGTCTAGAAAACACAACTTGGTTGCTGGATGAAGATAATTTCGAGTTTCAGTAGCCGCGTTTTACAAATTCAACTTGCATCCAGTGCATGATATTTGTTAACCTTGTCCACAGGTGAAGTTTCTATTTTGGGGACAATTAGGAATGTGCTGTTCCTGTATGGCTTTCATAAAATCCTCATGGTATTCTATCATTGGCATATGCCCTCTTGAAATTGAGTTTAACAGCAGACGAAGCCCAGCACTTATATGATGGAACAATCAAAAAACTATAATAATGTTCAATATGATTCTATGGGAAGTGGAAATGAGCAACTTGAATCTACATCTTGGGGGTTCTTGCCAGATTCCACAAGCTACACAAATGCCAATATGAAACCTCCAGAGCTCAATGTTTCAGAAGCTAAACCTGTGCTTAATTTCTCAATACAGACAGGCGAGGAGTTCTCTCTTGAATTTATGCGTGAACGGGTGAATCCTAGGAAACCATTAGTTCCAAATACAGCCAATGATCCCAGATACATGACAGGCTACATGGACCTAAAAGGCATTTTAGGCATCTCCCATACTGGGTCTGAAAGTGGATCAGATATTTCAATGCTCTCCGTAGTAGGAAAAGGTTCAAAAGAGTTTGAGCGGAAGAACTCTTCTTTATATGAAGACAGAAACAACTATGGATCCATGCAATCAGTACCTCGAACTTCATCGGACTACAACAGTAATCGAGGAATTGTTCACGAGTATGCCTCTTCTGGAGCATCTGATAGCTCATCAACAAAGATTAAGGTTCTATGCAGCTTTGGCGGTAAAATTCTACCCCGGCCAAGTGATGGAAGGCTCAGATATGTAGGAGGTGAAACACGCATAATTCGTATCGGCAAGGATATTACTTGGCAGGAGCTGTGGCGGAAAACAGTAACAGTTTACAACCAAACTCATACAATTAAATATCAGCTTCCAGGGGAGGATCTTGATGCCTTGGTTTCTGTGTCTTGTGATGAGGATCTGCAGAATATGATGGAGGAATGCAGTGTATTAGAAGATGGAGAAGGCTCGAAGAAACTTAGGATGTTTCTGTTTTCCATGAGCGATTTGGATGATTCTCAATATGGTCTGGGTAGCACTGATGGTGATTCTGAGGTTCAGTATGTAGTTGCTGTTAATGGCATGGACATGGGATCCAGAAAGAACTCAACTCTTCATGGTCTAGCGAGCTCTTCAGGAAATAATTTAAATGAGCTAGAAGGACAGAATGTTGAGGGAAACACAGGTAGAGTTGCATCTGAATTTGTTGGAATTGGTAGTTCTCCTTTGACTGGCTTTACCATCTCATCTTCGACAACTCAATATTCTCAACCGATTCAACTAAGTTCCTCCAATGCTTATGAAAATCATCCACAGTTTTATCGTGACCAGCTAATGCATCATGGAGCAACTGAGCAGTATGACTTGCACTATGGCTATGATCCTCGGCTTTCTAATCGCTCACCTTTTGGAGAAAGTTCTGTTCCACAGCCTGTTGATGGACTTATGACTCATCAAGGTGGTGTCAATGAAGGGCAACTGTCTAGTGGCCTATATGCACATGAAACACAAATGCATGTAAAGGAGGTGAAGCTGCAAAATGATGGGTTGGTTCAGCAAGAGGTTGGACGTGAAAATGTTCAACCCTCAGACAAGAATAAAGATTACCCTGTTCAGTCACATCCATACGATGGTAATGTGATGGATTATTTTTCTGGTGAAGAAGCATCAATTGTTGTCCCCAGAGTGGAGGGGGAATTCCCTTTAAAGTCTCCAAAGAATGAGGGAAGGCACCAAGAAGCAGTGCAGATCTCTTTGCCCCTTGGTGCTGTTAATCCAGCACAGGTTCCTAAATCTGATGACAATGATTGTAATGCCTCTAGCAGTGCATTTGCTCCTGGATATACCAATTCAGAGTCTGATCCAATTGATTCAAGCTACCTTGAGCCTCCTGTGCCTGCTCAGAGGATCTTTCATTCTGAGCGAATTCCCCGAGAGCAGGCAGATTTGCGCAGGTTAACGAAGTCGGATGATTCGCTTGGTTCTCAGTTTCTCATAAACCATACTCAATCTGATGCTGCACAGCAGGATTTTATCTCAGAATCTGGCGAGAATTTACAGAATGGAACTCCGGTTCTCCAGACTGAGCAGGCCATCTCAACTGCAAAGCCATTGCATACAGATCCTCAAAACATTGCCGATGGACTTCCACAACTTCAAAAGTTGAAGCAGGCAATACTAAACCCTGTGGATGAAAAATATGCGTTGAATGAGGATAAAGTTGTGAAGGGTGACCATGGAGCAACCTCCACAAAAGATAATGATAAGAACCTTCTGGTCGATGCACCATCAGGAACTGGATCAAGAATCCCTGTTGTGAGTCAATTGGCTTCCGTGGATCACAATGAAGATCATGCACACAATCTTGCTGATCTTGATTGGGGTGGCAGGTCTGATGGTGATTTTACTACCAATAGAACTCCACCACATGCTCAACCTTCTTCTTGGATAGAGAGCTCAACTGGAGATGTTTCTACTGGGAAAACCTTGGTTGGTACCAAAGCAGAGCAGGGAGACATACTTATTGATATTAATGACCGATTCCCTCGCGATTTCCTTTCGGATATATTCTCGAAAGCTATACTCTCTGAGGATTCTTCTGGGAATAGTCCTTTGCAGAAAGATGGAGCCGGCTTGAGCATGAACATAGAAAATCTCGAACCTCAACATTGGTCATTTTTCCAGAAATTGGCACGAGATGAGTTTGCTCGAAAGGATGTTTCTCTTATTGACCAGGATCACCTTGGTTTTTCATCTGGACTACCAAAAGTTGAGGAAGAAGCTCCTATGAGTTATAAATTTATGCCATCAATGACTGATGGAATTACTTTGAGCCATGTGGATTCCCAAATCTATTTTGGTGAAGACAATCAGAAAGAATTGTCCGGTACAATCGGAGCTGACACTATAGCTGTGCCTTCAGATTACAGTCCTTCAGTGAAAGAAAGTGAAGCTATACAATTTGATGGTTTTGTAGAGAACCGACTACCAGAGTCAGAGTACGAGGTACTTTTCTGAATGGTGGTTTAAATTAAGATCTCACTCTCTTAAAAATATAAGCTTATGTGCAACCTTATATCCTAATCACTTTGATGCTTTTAGGATGGCTTCAGGAATGTAGGCCTACCTCCACTGGATCCTTCTCTGGGAGAATTCGATCTCAGTAGCTTGCAGGTGTGATGCATGCATTATTCATTTCTCTTAGATGGTTATATGCGAACTGTGCATTTAAATGATTGTACATGAACTATGCATTTTTCCTTTTTCCATTCTTGGTTATTAAATGTTCGGGCTTTTTGTCCAAGGAAGTTTATGCCCATATGGTAAGGGTTCATTTCCTAACTATCCGTCCCTGTGAATATCAGAGGCTATAGAGGCAATTGGTCTTTTTGAATGGATGCCACCCTACTTTGCCAAATTTATGGGTTAAAAATTTTCCTGGGATTATAGCTGTTGGGAAAAATCTGGAGCTAGTTTAACTTTTATGTTTCAATTTGTTTGTTCTTTTCATTTAGCTAATTGAGTTGAATCCACCATTTCCTAGTTTTAGATGAAAGTAACATGACAGAGGCATAAACCTTAGGCATTGGCAACCCACAAAAAGTGTCTTGCAATTGAAGTGTGAAGCTTTGATCTATTTATTTAGGGTCATAACAAATAAATAGGAATTTTCAATTGTACCTGGTAAAAAAAGACTGCTTTCTTTTGTGTGCTTTGTTTTAGAAAGAAATTATGTTTATGTTCAAGTAAGCAAATAGCAAATATGTCATGGTTGCATGGGTCTATCCATCATATAGAGGCTTCACAGACATCGTGGCGTAACCGTTGAGGTGAAGTTGGGACCTAAAAGATCTAATGGAACCAAAAACAAAAGAAGCAGCTGTGATATATTTCTCTATTTGGTGTTTCAAGGAATATAATTAGCCCATTTCTTGCAATTAAGCACAAAAAGATTCTGTTGAATTAGATCATCAATTGAAGATATGCCATGAGAGCACGAGTCTTTTGGTGGCATATCTGGGCATGTGTACCTATGGAACCTTTCCATGTTGAAGATGCTCATTATTCATAAGTAGGTTTTCACTTTGTTCATTTTATTTGTGTTCGAGGAAGATCCCGTGGTTCAGTTGGTTAGTCAAGGACCCCTTTGGTTGCCTTTGCCAACCTGATTCTTGTTTATTTCTGCTTCTCTCTTATTATGCATGATGTATTCCATCTTAAATCCTTTGGTTCATTACATAAATTTTATGTTTGTTTTTGCTTGAATTGACATTTTGATATTTAAACTGTCACAAATCCTCTGGTTCATTACATAAATTTTATGCATGTTTTGGCTTGAATTGACATTTTGATATTTGATATACATTTAAACCAAGATTGGGTATCTGTCCATGCTTATATCTGAATTGGGTTAACCCACTTTGTTTACAGAAGTTGTTCCTTTGCCCGATTGCACCAGCCACCAAGTCTACTGGCATTCATTATACCATTTACCATATTAATATTCTGCAACTTAACAAAGCCTTCAATCTACTAGCTTCGTGTTGAGGCTTGGGTATATGGATCTTACTTTTTGAAAAAAAAATGCATCTTTTGGGGTTTGGCATAAAATTTTGTTAATGATGCTGCAGATTGGGTCTTTTTTATCTCTGAACTGTTATACTAATCTATTGATGGCATTAGTTACACCTTGTCTGTCAGTTTAATCTAAATCTATTATAGTCACATAATGTGGCTGTGATCTTGTGGCTCGAATTTGGTGCCAGGTCATGTTGGAAATTTTTTTGACCCGTTTTTGCTCATAGGTTGTGGACCCAAATGAGTACTCTCTTGTAGCCCAATATATAAGGGTGCTTAGGGTTTGGAGTGTGATCATCAAGAGACACTGAAAATCGTATAGAGAGAGAGTGGGGCTGAAACTTGTAATCTCCGATTTTACACATAGTGAAGACTTTCCCTGGATCTCCACCATGGACGTAGGCTTTGCCGAACCACGTACAAATCTTTGTGTTCTTTGTGTGGTGTGTTTGTTTTTCTGCCGTGTTTCATAATTTTTGCTTGGTTTGCTGCATTTGTCGTAATAGTGGCTGATTTACTATTTATTTTAAATAAGAACTAGTCATCGAGAGAGAGAGAGAGATTTTAAATAAGAACGAGAGAGAGAGGGAGGGAGTCATGCATGTCACTGTTAGAGTGTTTTGGTTGTTTATATCTGTGGCTTGACAAGGGGAGCAGAACCCAGTCTCCGCTGTGAAAAAGAACTATATTTTCCATACCAATAATGAGAGAGAGATACAGAGAGAGAGTGAGTCATGCATCTCACTGTAGTGTTTCGCTGTTAATGTCTGTGGCTTGTCTAGGGGAGCAGAACCCAATCTCTGCTGTGAAAGGAATAATATTTTCCTTACCAATAATTACCACCTATGGTGGGAGGCACCTGTTATCAATCTGGAATTATAGTTCCATGGTTTTGATTGGAAGCATGTGGGATTTGTGGTCCTATTTTAGTGGCACTAATAACAGATATAAATCAGAATACAAGTATCAATAATCTTACTTTCAAACCTCTCTCTATTATAGATTGGAAAGTTGTTTAACTATATCCCATAAGAAAAACAAGGACATCACATTTAAGCATGTAACTAAACTTCATGTACCATTGTCATATTGAATAACTTCTACTTTGATCATATTACTATAAATTTTGGATGTAATATTGAATAAATAGCTTCTACTGTGATTATATTTCTATAAATTTTTGGTGTAATATTGAATAAATAGTTGATGTATGGAGAAAAAGTTTTGCAGTCAAGGAAAATAATAGTTGATATCCAAAGATTTGAACCCTAAATTTGCATTGACAGTTCTGGATAACATGTTAACTGGTAATTAGCAATCTGTGCTGTTCTTCAATAAAAAAAAAATGAAGGGGATTATATCAAGCAATTATTATGAAAAAAATAATCTGTGCCCTTCTTCAATAAAAAAAAGAAAGAAGGGATATCAAGCAAATATTATGGAAAAATAATTAATTTTCATTTAGATGCAATTTTATTCAAGATATGTCTAGAATTATATATTCACACACACACACACACACACTTTTATGGTTATTTTTTCGAGTTCATGGTCTCCTAACAGAAGGAGATGGCAGAGTGAGTGCCTCGTCCTTATACTACTTTCCCTGTGTTCTATCACTTAAAGGCAGGCCTGCCTAAGGAAGTGTGCTTCAAATTTTGAGCTCACAAGAATATGCATTTCCTGATTTACGTCTCACTTTGCACAGAACATTTTCACACACTAGCATTGGGTTCTCTACTTCTCTTATATGCTTCCTTCTTTTGTTGATCTATTAGTATAAAATTTTTGAACTTATTTTTCCTGAATTAGAGTCATGTCATTTGACATCACTTGAATTATTTCTTCTGGATGCTTATGACAGATCATAAAGAATGAAGACCTTGAAGAGCTAAAGGAACTTGGTTCTGGAACATTTGGGACTGTCTATCATGGAAAATGGAGAGGAACAGATGTTGCCATTAAGCGAATAAAAAAGAGCTGCTTCACCGGTCGGTCATCTGAGCAAGAGAGATTGGTATCTGTTCCTTATGTCCTCAAATCTATTACTTATTTGAAAAATAAAATTATATGTATGGTATTCAGCTTTGCTGCTCTCCAAATTCCAGAAGTTTCCACTCATATGACTCATGTCTATTTTCCTTAAAAAAATTTGGGCCTCAACCATGTTATGAGACCTTCTAAAGTGCGCAACTGTCAAAATTCAGCTTGTTGGAAACATTTGACCGAGTTACCCTTCTTCCAGAACAATTTTTTTAAGTACTCTCCAATTATATAAATAATATATTTTTTTCCTGCAAAATAAGATGGTTGTACAAAACAAGAAGGCTAAAGTAATATATTTGGACTAGTTTTTAGGAAGTTTTTTCTCGAATGGGCCCATTAAATTGTGGCCCAAAACTACCAAAAAAGTATTGTGCTAGGTTGCAAAAAGACTGCTAATAGTACATGACCATGTGGATCATGACTGCAGCATGCCGTTGCCGTGTATGTGAATGTGTAGCCATTAATTGCAAAATAGCCAGCCCATCGGAAGCAAATTTAAAGAATTTTATGATATCACTTACCCTTTGATGGCCCACCTACAAGCTGATAAATATAGCTATTTTATTTTTAAATTTTTTTGCCACATTGTATGTTAATATTACTGTCATTTTTAGACCATAGAGTTCTGGCGGGAAGCTGAAATTCTCTCAAAGCTTCACCATCCAAATGTGGTGGCATTTTATGGTGTAGTGCAAGATGGACCAGGGGGAACATTAGCTACTGTGGCAGAGTACATGGTTGATGGCTCTCTAAGGCATGTTTTACTTCGCAAGGACAGGTGATTTATCTACTTACGCTCTCAAGTTTGGTTATGCCATCATTTTGGTGATTTTCCTGACTGAAACTGTACTAAAATTCCAAACTTGATACAAATTATTATAGCAGTACTGGCAATTGGTGCAGAAAATATTGTAAGATTATAAACAGGAGTATTTGAGAGTTTATCTTGTTTTTTTTTTTTTTTCCCTTAAAATGTAAATCTTTAAAATTATGTTGCTAGCTCGTTTTCTTTCTCACGTAGAAGCAGTTATCTCTCTCTCTTATTCACGTTCTGTAGCTCATTTTCTTTCTCACGTAGAAGTAGTCATCTTTCTCTCTTATTCACGTTCTTTCTCCTGATGCTAATTTTCAGGCATCTTGATCGTCGCAAGCGGCTCATAATAGCCATGGATGCAGCCTTTGGAATGGAATATTTGCATTCAAAGAATATTGTGCATTTTGATTTGAAATGTGATAACTTGCTAGTGAACTTGAAAGATCCTTCACGACCCATTTGCAAGGTTACCCTGATGGAATCTCATTTAATATTTTTCACTTCTAATGAATGTTGCTAATAAAGATGTTATCTTGTACGCATTATCAAGAAAATGATAGTTTTCAAGTCAAAATAATGTCTGATATGATAGTATTACCCCTATTTTTCAGGTAGCTGATTTTGGCCTGTCAAAAATCAAGCGGAACACTTTGGTTTCTGGTGGAGTTAGGGGGACCCTACCATGGATGGCTCCAGAACTGCTGAATGGCAGCAGCAACAAGGTTTCTGAGAAGGTAAGGTGTCAGCAAATACATGCATGCATTTAACGCTGAAGTTAGAAGAAAACTAACAAAAAAATCTTATTTTAATTGAGAGATTCACACCTGACATAATGGCAGTCTTCAACTTTTCATAACTGGAATTTCTTAGAAATTGAAAAATTCCCTTGCTTATTGCAATTTTTCTTCTTCTTCATGTTTTTCGCTACTAGCGCGACCTTTGAACAATTTTATTTATCCGTCTTCAGTTTATTATTTTAGGGAAAAAAAATTAGAAACAGAACAATCTGATGGGGCATAGAGTTTAATTTCTCTTATTTTCTTCTTAGTCTAAAGTTCATGGGCTTCACATTCATTGCAAGTATTGTTGTTGATCCACAGGTTGATGTTTTCTCCTTCGGTATTGTCTTATGGGAGATTCTCACTGGTGAGGAGCCTTATGCCAACATGCATTATGGTGCTATTATAGGTGGGTTATGTAACGATTTTATATTCTAATATCTAGTTGTTTTGGTTTTCTCGTCTGAATTGAATTTTATTATTCGTTAGAGTCATTCGAGATTACTCAATCAGTGATAAAACTGATTGGTCTTTTCTTCTCTCTCTCTCTCTCTTTTGTTGGGAAATTGATTGTTGTAAAAGTTTGTCTCTGCCAGTTTGTGTTTAGTGTGCATGCATGTCACTACGTGGGCCAATCACAACAATAGTGTTAGATATGGTTATGATCGCATAGAAGGGTGTTTGCTTGCCATTTGTGTATGGGGCTTTAGGAATGTGACTGTGGTTCCCTAATTAGAAAAGAGTAGTTCTACTTTGATATTAGAATGGTATCTTACAGATTTGAACAATGTTGTTTTGAAAATTTCCATATTGAATGATTTACATCTGCATCAGTTTTTATCTTTCAAACCACATAAATCGATTGTCATGTCCAGCAACCTGTACTGGACATTAATAGGAACTTGGCAACAAGGTTTACTTTAATGGAATTTCGAGATGTTTGGTATAGGATACCTGGACTTATAGCTCAATGGGTTCAAATTGTTTCCAAACATTTTGCTGACATCTATGAATCTGATCCCCATTGTAGCCCTGGCGTGTAAAATAGTTGAGCTGAATTTAGTGTCCATGCATTTCATGTTAGTATTTCAGTCTTTTTTCATCTTCTTATACACTAAAAGATTTGTGGTTTATCTTCTGTTTTTGATTTCTTATTAGAGCTGTGGTTGATCTCTCTCTCTCTTCTCAAAGATCAAATTAGCAGCAGTTATAGATTAACTTCATTTGAAAAAGGACTCTCTATATGCAGGGGGCATTGTGAGCAACACGCTGAGGCCGTCCATTCCGAGCTTCTGTGATATTGAATGGAGAACGCTAATGGAGCAATGCTGGGCCCCAAATCCTGCTGCCAGGCCATCCTTCACAGAAATTGCCAGTCGGCTACGTGTAATGTCTTCTGCTGCCATCCAAACCAAAACACACGTTCACAAGGCATCTAACTAACAGGTTGATGGAAACTTCTGGCTTCTTTTTTTTGCCACAAGAAGACGCGATAAATTTATTCATTCAATTGTACCAATGTAAAAGTAGTTCACTTATATTAGCAATGGGGATTAGTTGGATCCAGTGAGTGTTCTTGAGATGGAAGTATGAAATAACTTCCAGATAACCTTTTGTTCTGAGAATGAATTCCATGTACAAAACCTAATTAAACTGTCATTTATCACTACTGCAAGGTTGTCCTTTTTTTATTTATTATTATTATTATTTTTTGTTGCATAAAATGCCATTTGATTTGTGGTGGTAGCCATGTGTTGTCTGTATAAGTTGTTGCACTGTTTTTTAATCCACAGCACAATATTGTTCATAATAGAAATTTATGGTACTAATGCAGAAGAAGAAAAGCATTTTCTTCAATCATTGGATTATTTGAGCATGAGATGAATTATTATATATGCATGTATGTATGTGTATTAGAGATTGTTTTGCTTATGTCAATGATTGATCCATCAGCACAACACTTGCATCTAACGGAAGAAAAATCTTGTCTTTGCATTACTAACAGCTCACTTAAGTTGTATTAGATATGTGGTGATACTATGTTTGGATTTAGATATTCTCTGGTAGTTTATTTGTCCAAATTTTTTTTAAATTATTATTCAACTATTAAAAATATGTTACCCCTGAAACTGAAGAAGTTTAACTACATGCCCTAATGTAGGGTGAAGTGTAAAAAACAGCCCTATAACATGTTTATAGTGCATATTGCATCTCTTCCGTACATAAAAAGGTCCTAGGTCCTAAAATTATGACATTTGTGCAAATAAGTCCTATTTAAAAAAATTGAACTAAAGTACCCTTAACAACACATTTTATAATATATAAATTTTTTCTATTTTGTGAAATGACTAAAAAGGGTTCGCCGGTGCTGGAGAAGATGATGACTCCCATTTCGGCGTCGCACAGAATGGCCAGCTCTTCCGCCTAATGATGCTAACCTTACACACCTTCTCTGTCTTCTTCCATTATTTTATTAGCAAAAATAATTAGTAAAATATTGGAATAAAACATTTAAACCCAGTTTATACTGATGTAGTGTTTTCGAGCCCACTCACCGACAACCCCCTTCCCTCTCTTTCTCTCTCCAACCTAACCCCATTTCCACTCACTTTCTATCTCTACCCCACCCTCCAATCACAGCCTCAACATCTCACTACCACCACCCAGTTGTGTCGAGGAACGGGGATGAAGGACGGCGATGGTTTGAACCGGTGATGAGGCGGACTAAAATGATGGCAGCAGAGATGTCTTCGGCGAGGATGGCGTGCTCTGAACCGGCGGCGGCGACGGAGAACTATCTGAAAAGTGAGCTCGACAAACACATCTCATCGCCGGCCGGTTGTGTCGCCGCCGTCTCAAAGCTGCACATTGCCACATCGTTGGACACCGGTATCGGTAAGTTCAGATCCCTCGTGCATCGCCGCCGCCGTTCCTAGCTTGCCCGACACATCTCATCGCCGTCCAGTGCTTGCGCCGGCAGTGGTGCTCTTTCCTCGCCGATTTACAAACCCGATCGTCAACCACCTCTTCCCCACCGACCCTATCGAAGCCCAAAATCAGAACCTCCTCCACCAAGGTAAAATTTTGGATCTTCCCTTCAAGCTCTCAATGAGATCCGGATTTAAGTTTGCAAATTTATGTCATATTTATATAGACAAATTGGCATTTTTAAAGGAGAAAAGAAACTGGAAATTAGTAGGGAGAAATGTTTGGAGAGAGAGAGAGAGAGAGTTGCAGAGGTCAGAGAAATTGTTTGATTTATCTATGGTATTTTTGGAAAAGTAAAAGAGTAAAATGAATATTATATTAATGGATATTTTTAAAAGTGTAAAAGAGTAAAATGAATATTATATTAATTATCAAACAAATTAAAAAGAATAAGAATATTTTTTATACCTATTTTTAAATAGAGAATACTATTCATGTAGGGATGGCAAATTCTCCATCCCCGCCGTGGCTCTACTCCCCCGTTTATAGCGGGGATGGAGATTTTTTTTGCTAAACAGAGATGGGGATGGGGGCAAATTATGAATTTCCGTCGGGATGAGGTAAACCCATCCGATTAAGTGTGAAATTATTAATATACCCTAACATATAATAATTTATTACTAAATTAGATTTATTATATATATGAAAATAAAAAAAAATGTGTTTTTTTTTAATAAAAAAAATTATGTGGCTGGAGGCGGGGGCGAGTATAGAGATTTTGGCAAAATTTTAAATGAAAATAAGAGCAAAAATGGAGAATGAAAAATGCATGGGAGATAGAAATGGGGATGGGGAATGGAATCCCGCCCCATCCCGCCCGTTGCCATCCGTAATTTCATGGTGTTTCTTGCACTTAGCCCGCTAATGTATTTTTTAGTTTGTCATGGTTGGCGACAGTTTATATTTTATATATACGGTATATATTTGTGTGCGCTCTCGTGGCTTTCGGATTGTGTCACGTGAGGCTGCATGGGACCCAATGGAAAATTGACTCGTGTGATGTGATACGATGGTGCCTTTGATGAACTTGCCAGACAAACCATGTGTTCTGCACGTGAATATCCCGGCATGTCCCTATTAACCTTGTCTTTTGACTCTTTTCTGCTTTCGTGATAGCCTGTTACCGAAACATCTCGTCTACTGAAATATTCCAGTAAGATTCCACCACGTGGAAGTCGAAAGGCCCTGAGTCTGAAAACTCTACACGTGGCAAATTACAGATCCCTCTGGCCATATACGCACACACTGTGTCTCTAGGCCATTTTCAAAAGCTCTCTCTCTTCTTCATACATCAGAGAACTCTGCAGATGGTTGAGCTCAATATTTGATGGGTAACTCATTCTTCCATTCTTTTATACTATGATTCTCTTCTTTCAGTTTTTGTTATATATGTAATTTGAACTTTTGGGGGTTTATTTTTTCTAGGGTTTTTTTATTTGATCTTCTTATTGGTTGTAAGTTGAGCTTTTGGTGGTTTATTATTTCTAGGGTTTTTTGTTTGATCTTCTTATTGGTTATCATTTATTTGATAAGTAATCGTCTTGTTGGTTATCATACGATGCTCTATTTATGGTTTTATTATATAAAGGCCTCTCAACTTTGCTGTTGCCCCCTTTTATGTTTATTTATTTATTTTATATTATTATTTAAGTCCTGCAAATGTTTACATGTTTTCTAGATTTACTCCTATAATCTTATAAGAGTGTTCACAATACAGAGGTCACAAGCAAAAGTCAGGGTTTTATTTATTTATTATTCACACACTTAATGGAAGGGTTTGATAGGTTTTGTTTTAGATTGTTTTAGGGATTGATTTTTTACTAAACTAATTTTACACAGTACGAAGGTTTCTTTGTAACATCTCTAACTTTCTGATTAAGGCTTTTCAAAGAAGGGTATTTTTTTTCCTTTGAAATTATAGCTGTGCATGTGTTTATCATGCATGGATATATTTGGATAATGGTTGCCCGTCCCGAGACATGGACTGATTTTTTCTATTGCAGTGGAGGGTTTTCTTTGCTCTAAAGTATGGAGTTAGAGTTTTCAACTGAGTGAGAGTCTAGGATGTTCTGTGAGAAAATAAACTTAGAACCAAGGGATAGTGTTTTGAAGAAGTTGTTAGAAGTTCCTTTTTCCATGGTATCACATGAAACATAACAAATAGTAGGGGCAAGAATGGTCCCCAAACAATTTATAACGTTTTCATTGTTAGTGTTATAAAAGACTCACAGATTCTAGACAGTATGTCCTTTGTAGCATCGAGCTTCTATGCTCTCAAAAGAATGCAAAGTTACCTTTAGTTTGGTAGTAACGACATCCAAACATTGACGTTTAAAGTTATCTTCTTAAGATCACTCCTCATTGCCTACAAATTAGGTGCTTCTGGAACAATGTAGAGAAAGGGAAGCCATGAGACACAATTTTATAGCCACTTCGCAATGAATGAGCAAATGATCCACTGATTCTGCTCCCTCTTTGCACATGCAAATCATCATTAATGTTGCGTTTGGTACGTGGGAATGGAATGGAATGTGCATTCTAACAATTCCTTTGTTTGGTATGAAATTTAAAGTGGGAATGACCATTCCCTTGGAATGAAAATTCATTCAAATGAATGAAAATCCATTCAACAACTAAACCTATAGAGTGGCCATTCCATTTCCAAGTAATTTTTTTTTTAAAATGTCCCCTTCCATTGATTTTTGACGACGTGTAAAAGATTATATTGGTTGTAACTTTCCGCCTCCAATTTCCTTTTAAGGAACAACCCCCTGGAGAGCCCCGTAGAATCCTATTCCACTTGTGAATTACATGGTGGAAGGTGTCAACTGCTTGACAAAGCGGGCCAAGTTGTGTAGGGATCTAGCTATATATCCTCTGTTTCTGGGGATACCCAAATATGTTGTGATCCCTTGTGAGAACTTGAGTAGTTGTTTGATCCATGACATGTCTGGGTGTAGTTATTCTGTCCAACGCATAGGGAGCATGCTTACTACTCGTTCTACTAATACTCTTGTTAGTTTTAGAGCGACTTTATAAACTGTCAGCATCTTTGGGAATCTGTATGATGGAACAAAAAATATAGAAAAATAAAAAAAGTGTATAGAAGTTTAATGAATTGTGCTCGTTGTGTAGCATTAGAGCTGCATTTATGTTGATTTACATCATCTGGGATGGGTGCACGGTTATATTAAGAAACGATGAACTGGGGCTGAAGCTTGTTAAAGCAACTGGTTGAAATGAAGTGGACTGACTGAACTGTTTTTAAGTTCTAGAGATGCTGTAGAAGGGTTCAGAGGACATAATCATGATAACATGGATTAGCCACAGTTTGCAAGCATAGTTCTTTTAAGAAGGCATAAGCAAAGTAGAATTTGTAGTTTACAGCATTAACGGAGAAGGAAAATAATAAATATATATATATATATATATATAAAATAAAAAATAAAAATAAAAAATAAAAAAAAATATGAAAGGTCGTGAGAAGGTTCTTTAAAATGTTTCTTTCTTTTTCATTATTGGTGGGAGTAGTGTTTGTATCTTTAGATCTACCGACTTAAACTCAAGGTAATATGAGACCGAGTGTGTATTATTTGTGTTTTTATTTTTTTCAGCATTGTGTTGAGAAGATAGACCCAACTAGGGGACAAAAAAAGGGATAGACGCAGCAAGGGGAAAGATACATTAGTGGTGGATGGATCAATCAAAACAGAGTCAGCAGCAGCAAGTTGTGGGACTTGTAGCAGGTGCAGGTCAAATGGCATGTGCTACATCTGCCTATCAAACTGCACCCATGGTGGCTTCTGGCACTCCTGTTGCAACAGTCCCGTCTGCTACTCAGCCTCCCCCAGCTTTTCCTACTTCACAACACCACCTTGCTTACCAACAAGCGCAGCATTTCCATTACCAACAGCAGCAGCAGCAGCAACAACAGCAGCTTCAATTGTTCTGGGCCGACCAGATGCAAGAAATTGAGCAAACAACTGACTTCAAGAACCACAGCCTCCCACTTGCTCGTATCAAGAAAATAATGAAAGCTGATGAGGATGTCAGGATGATTTCAGCTGAGGCCCCTGTCATATTCTCAAAGGCATGTGAGATGTTCATTCTGGAGCTGACTCTGCGCTCTTGGATTCACACAGAAGAGAACAAAAGGAGGACCCTTCAGAAGAATGATATTGCTGCTGCCATTTCAAGGACTGATGTCTTTGATTTCTTAGTTGATATTGTTCCAAGAGACGAGCTAAAAGAGGAGGGACTTGGGATCACGAAAGCTACTATTCCGCTAGGGGGTTCCCCAGTTGATTCTATTCCGTATTACTATGTCCCACCCCAGCATCCAGTGGCACCATCAGGGATGATTATGGGAAAACCAGTTGATCAAGCAGCCCTCTATGCTGGTCAGCAACCCCGACCACCTGTAGCATTTTTGCCATGGTCACAGTCTCAACCTCAGCAACAGCAAACCCAACAGCAACAAGCGGACAATTGATGCTGGGAGGAAGATTATGTAATGACTGTGCCCGGAATGCCTTATGATGGGTTGCCTTGTGATGGGTTGTCGGATGTAGATATCCGTAATGTCTCATTTGTGCTTAAGTAGTAGTTGTTTTAGGTAGCAATTGTGGCTCGAACTTGTTTTGATGATACAAAGCTCAAATGTGAGCCATTTGTATCAGGTATGGGTTTGTATTCCTTGCCTCTTATGTTTTCTTTATTTGTGGATCCTTTTTTAGGAGAAGGGTGAACAGAAACTGGAGTTGTTGAATCAGTTTATGTGAGCATAGCATCCATTCTAGTTTGTCAACGTTGCTATATCTTTTAGTGTTCCTCATTAAATTTCCGAAAAGAACATGTCACAGATGTTTATTGAGCATGACAGTTCAAATTCAAACCCACTTTCTAAACAGAATATCTGTCGGTTTCAGCTGGTTTTTACCATTGACATGCTTACGGCTTAATTGTCAATACAAAGGTTCTAAGAAATCGTACAATAACCACATTGAGGATGATTTTGGTCATGGTCGTCAAGTATCTTTTCTGATTCTCGTGGCCATGATCATCATTGTTTGTTTTAAGGTTGAAAAGAGAGGATCGTTACCGGATCCGTGTGGGGCGCCCTTGCACATACCGATTAGACTGGCAAAGCCCATGACACCTCGATAATAAAAAAAGAAGATATTTTGACAATAAAAAACAATTGCCCAATGGTAAATGATACATGACACTTGGGAGAGATTGAAATTCCATAACAATTTTTATGCCCAATGGTAAATGATACATGACACTTGGGAGAGATTGAAATTCCATAACAATTTTTATGGGAAGTCGTCAACAAGTCACTTTCCATTTGGTTTCGACGCGGGACAAATAGTTCTTGTAACATTCTCTTCACCCGATGTTATCGCTGCGGTCGGGCCACTGCCTGCCCGGATGGCTCAACCGGACGCTTGGCATGTGCACCGGAACAAGAACTGAATTTGGTTAGAATACTAATTGTAGTAACGGGTGGACATTTGTCTATTTATTCAAAAACTTAAGTTGTTGGGTAGTACTGTATACCTACCCATGTATACCCCTTTCACTCTTCATCAGGATTCGATGTGGGACAAATACTCCTGATAACAAGTACCATTACTGAATTTGCATGTCACTTGAAAATCATTGCTGTCAACAATAGAAAAATCCAGGCCAAAATGTAAAAATAAGAATAAAAAGAAACTTCTGTTTGTACAACATATGTTTAGTGTTTTCAATTTTATGCACTTTTAGTGCCTTTGCTTTCTCCTCAAACTATCACCTTGATTGTTGTTGCTACATGTTTGGCCTTGAGAACCTGCAAAAAAAAAAAAAAAATGGGGATGAGAGATATATAATAGGATAAAGATCTCTACCATTTTTAAAAGAATGATGGCATAAAGTGGAATATAGGAAGCACGATATAGATGCAACATGATATGAGTCCAGTGATACAACAAATAAAAAAACAAATAAATAACATACGTGTACGAGTAGGACGCAACAAGCGTCTTAGTAATCAGTTATATTATTATTGAAAAACCTACGTTTTAAGGTTTAAAACTTGTTAAAAATATGTTTTGAAGAATTTGGAAGCATCATATACGTGGTTAAAGTATCTAGAAAGTATTGGATACTTGTTATATATATATTAAATTATAGATATATTTAATAAATATATGACACGTATTCAAAAGTATTCAAGAAGGATCGGTATTCGATATGAACACGGTACATGTACGTCGTCCTTATAAAAGTATTCGTAGAGTTATTGTAATTTTTGGCTCGGCTTGAATTGCATTAGTTAAAAAAAAAAAAATCATCTTAAGAAGTTAAATACTAATAAGGTTAAATACTAAGATATTATTATAATTCATTACAAATACGAAGTACTTGTAGTATTAGTACATTTCTAATTTTAAAGAAAAACAAAGCCCCTTTTTGTTTGTCTTGTTAAAACGGGAAATAAGTGCTTTCTCTAGCAAAATCACAAGTAAAGGTGGAGAAGAACTTGCTAATTTTTTTTTGCCCTTTTCACTTGTTTGGTGGTGACCAATGTGACTCATATCTCTCCGATGTGACTTATATCTCTCAGACAAGTACACATACTCACAGTTATTTATCAACCATCTCTTTTTTGTTTTGTGTTGAAAATAATGCATTCATTCACTTTTTCCCCAATTTAAACCCTCAAATGCCCAATTAAAAAAATAAATGACATATCAATGTATTACAGTAGATCAAGACGGGCAGCAAAAACGAGAATATTAAAATATGTGAGTATAGTAAATATAAGAGATAAGGTAATACTACATGTGTAGACCTATTATTTGGCCTCCTGATGAAAAGAAAATTACTGCCTCATATAAGCCGTAGTCCCGTATTAATTATTAATTTAACACGCCAGGAAAAAATTGAATAAAATTAATATATTTATTTGTGTATTGTTGTCTCCAACCTATCACTAATCAACACGTAAAAATTAAATACTACAAAATAATAATAATAATAATAATTGAAACACGATCAAATCATGTAATAATTTTTTAATAATGATACTTTATTATTCTTCAACATAATTTTTTTCACGGGTAAAGTGCACAAAACCCTCCTGAACTATCAGGCAATTGCACAAAACCTCTCTGATTTAACAAGTGCCTTCCTGAACTATTAAAAAGTTGCAGTTGAGGACAATTATGAGATCTCTGGTACCAGAAATAGAAAATTACGAATATACCCTCTGGTGAAACGATACTGTTTTAGTACTTAACAAATTTGTGTTGCTGATGTGTCAGGCAAAATCTCAAGAACTAATTAAAATTGTACAACACATCGTCTTATCACCCCCCCCCCCCTGCAACGATGAGGAGTTTCGCCGGAATCCTATCGGCTTCCCAATTTGCTAAACCTAAACTTCCTCAGAACACCAATTTGAAACCCAATCTGCCAGTTCAACCCTAACCCCAAATAAAAATCCATCGCCATTTACAGTAGGAAGGTGAAGACAATCCATCGCCATCGCCATCGCCATCGTCGGTCGCCACTCGTTCTTCGGAGCTATGAATAGGTTAACCCATTTAAAACCTATTTTCCTCTTTCTATCTTCAATAGAATGAGATAATGGGATGCTCTGCAATTTGAAACCCTCAATGGCTGAATCATCTATCATTATAAATGGGATTGTATTTTGATATTAAGAAAGATCCAAATATTTAGTGAAATAAAAAGAATAAGAAGAACAAAAATCCAATTCCTCTCTGGGTAAATCTGCATCCCCGTCTCTGTATATATATATATACACACACATCACTCTTATCCTATATATACATCACTCTTGTATTGAACTATGTATATGCATAAGTTCTCACCAGCCAAGCCTTCAACATCCATCAATTGCATAAGCCATCAAGCCCTCACTGCTATATAGTATATTGTATATATTAGATATATATGTATTACATATAAAATACATATTATTGCTCTGTTCTTCACCACCGTCTCAAACTGAGCCTCTCCACCAAAAATTGGGTTCACTCTTCAGTGAAAGTTGTGATGGAACGAAGGTGGTTGTCAAGATGGAATGATTAAAGAGATGGCTTTGGGGTATCAATTTAAGGGAAAGAAGAGTCAAATCGTCGGTGCTAGGTAAACCCCCTCCCACTCCAACATCATCTTCTTCCCCGGCATCGTCGCCTCCTCTTTCTTATTCACTCATCTTCCCTTCTACTCTTATCTTCCAATCCAATTCCGAACTAACAGACTCACCAAACCCAATTGCAAAATTCCCATCCTCGTTGACTCCTCAACAGGCCGTTTCGACGGTAACAAACTCACCAAGCCCAATTGTAAAATTCTCAACTAATGGCCAAACCCATATTATAAATAAAACTTCCCGCTGCAACAGACGTCACGTCGGTGGGTCTTGTCGTCGTCGAAACACCATCACAATATTCTCACAGTTATCGCCATCGCCATCAACTTCATACTTGACTGCTACTTGGTGATATTCCAGCCATAGCTGAAGCAACGGTGTCTTGGTCGAGATTTAGGGTGAGAGCACGGCACCGGAGATGGAGATGCGTGCTGCCGGCAAGTTCGCAGCGGTGGCGGTGGCGGTGGCGGTGGCGGCAACAGCAGGTTCACAGCGGTGATGAGGTCGCGACGGCGATATTGAGAGAGAAAATGTGGCTGAGGGGCGGTGGTGAAATTCATATATGGTTTGGTTTTAATTTAGGAATTTTTTTTATTTTTCAATTTTAATTTTATACATTTAATAGTATAAGGGTAGCTTTGTCATTTTAAAGATATATTTCTGGCATGCGTGCATCACGCGCCCAATTGGCCGGAGAAATCAAACGGAACTTCATCATTGGGTACATTTTACAAAAAAAAATTGATAGTTCAGGATGTTAATTGTAAAAAAAATAGTTCAGGGGGTTTTTAGGGAGAAAGAGTAAAGTTCAAGGGTTTTTTTTTACACTTTATCCTTTTTTTTTCACATAATACTACAAAAGGACATTGTTGATATTTAAAATAAATAAATAAACAATCTACTCCTGGTAATCAGTTGTAGACAAAGTACACAGAGAAAGAGAGAGAATGGAGTCACCTTTCAAGGCAGATACACTGAAAGGCAAGGTAGCCCTATTGACCGGAGGTGGGTCTGGAATTGGGTTCGAGATCTCCACACAGTTTGGTAAACATGGAGCCTCAATCGCCATCATGGGACGACGCAGGCGGGTTCTTGACTCCGCCGTCTCCACACTCCGATCAATCGGAATTCCGGTAAAAACTCTTTTCACACCAGAAAGAAACAATTCATTTCATGTTGTTCCAGTTTTGTATTATATATGATATGCCAATCAGGGTTTGCTTCATTTCCATGATCAGATTCATGGTCATCACTTTTACAGTTCGCTTCTTCTCGAAAGGTTGACTCTTCAAATCCTAATAATGAATTCTAGTAACAACCCATTTTCCTTCACACACCATTTCATGTATTTTCCTGGTTTTCAGATATGAATTATTGCCAATTATCAATCTTTCAAGTAGAAAGATTTATTTACTCAGTTTTCTGTGTATGGTTTCCTCAAGAATTGGGTTTACGCGACTAGTATCGTTTGTTACACACACACACATATATATTATATTTGATTCTTTGGGTAAATTTGATGATTTGATATCAAATTGAAACTTTTTAGGCTCTGGTTCATGATGCATTGATGTGTGTCAATATGATTTTCTAATGCAAACATTTTCCATAGATATGAGTACTGACAAGGGTCATTTTGTCATGTAGAAATGGTATTTGGTAGATGGTATCAGTAGTATTGATTATTTTATGCTTTAATCTTGAGTTGGCTTTGCTTTAAATAGTCAATTGGAGAAAAGGACCCAAGTTAGGCAATCTAAAATAGTTGTGATTGGGCCTTATAATTGGTTAAGATTTATGAAAGGAAAATTTTGACCATACATTTTGTTATCCGATTCAACAAAAGCCACTGAGTTAGCTTTGGTGGTTGGTTTAGTTGAACTAGTTCAACTTATGTGTTTTTCTGGCTTGACCCTGTGAAATCAGTTGCTAATTGTTCCCTTCATAAACAATATTTGGGCTGTAAGTGGGTGGCTTGGGGATGCCTACTGGTCAAATTGGTTGTTTGGTTTATTTTAAGGTGACCATGTGAGGTTTTTTGATTGATTGAGTTTAAGGTCTAAAAGACCTGGTGAAGGTAGTCGACAAATTACTGTTGGTAAGATCATTTGGTCTCTCGGAATGTATTTTCATACAGCTGATTAGTTGTTTGTTATGCCAGCATTAAAATGATGTTCCAGAATATATAATTAATATTTCATCACTTAGTTCCCTTCCCTTTTGCCATTCATTCTTCAGGCTGTCGGCTTTGAGGGGGATGTTCGCAAGCAAGAAGATGCAAGAAGAGTTGTTGAATCAACTATCAAGCATTTCGGTAGGATCGACATTCTTGTTAATGCTGCAGCTGGCAATTTCCTTGTGTCAGCTGAGGATTTGTCCCCTAATGGGTTTCGGACAGGTGCTATTTTTAACAATTGTCATGATAAAACCAGCATTTTCATTCTTTTAATTCTCTCTGTGTTTGTTTAAATTTGTAAGTTATTTAAAAAATAATACATGGAATTCCTTTGCACCAAATATATGTGTGTATATACACAATTGCTGTAGGATCTCTTTTATGCCTTGTATAATCAGCTTAAACTTCTAAATTCACATTTCGTATTGGATTGAGTCTCTTCTTTTTTTTTTTCTTTTTCTCTGGTTAAATTTTTCAAGAGAAAAGGCAAAAGAATGTCTTCGAATGCCTTTGCAGTATGCAACGCTAGATTTTTTGAAGGCGTTAGGCAGGCCTTGGTGTAAAGGTAAGCTTGTTCCATTGTGACCTGGAGGTCATAGGTTTGAAACTAGAAGCAGCCTTTCCGCATACCTGCTTACCTCTGACCCTCCCCAGATCCAATGGCGGGATCCTCGTGCACTAGGCTAGCCCTTTTTTGCCTATGACTGACGAATGTGTGAATTCTACACTTCTGCGTGGGAGACCAAGAGTTTTTTATTAATTGGACATCGTTAAATTATGTGACCAAGTCTGGATTTCTTGTTGTATATGCTTTGGGCAAAAAGGGAGGAAATAGATAGAGCTGTGTATATTTGGTTTTATTTTCTGGTGAATGGCAGCAGTATTTTATTTATTTATTTTTATTTTTATTATTTTTTTTTTATGGGGTGGGAGGTTGCTCAAAGGGACTGGAGTAACGCCCACACCCACCCCCCCCCCCCCCGGCGGCGGGTAGCTATGGGTACCTTTGGCGCGTCCTTCTATACTCATCGGTAAGTTCAGTATTAAGAGCGAATTTGGGAAAGAAAAAGCCTATCCCCATATGGAGAGATTCGGTGGGGAAGACCAGCAGGTTGGTAAAGAATTTAAATTGTAGGATGGGATGTGTTCCCACTACCTACTTGAGCTTTTATCGAGTTCAGTTGAGAACCAATGATAAAGGGATTCAAAGGAGGGGTTGTTGGATGGAAAGAGACGATACCTGTCTAAAAGATGTATTTAAGTTAGCTAGAAAGAACACTTCCAAAATATCTCTAAATCATTTCTATCTTTACCATTCTAACTTTTATCACTAAGATGATAGAGAAGTTTTAGAAAGACTTTGGGGAAAGGGGGTTGGGTAGGACTGTAGGAGTATAAAAAATTAAAAACCATATGATGGACCGGAAGAAAGTTTGTTTGCCAGTGAGGGAAGAGGCCTAGGTATTAAACAGTTGAGGCTTTTCAATCAAACCTTACTCAGGAGGAGGCTTTGAGTTTTAATTTGGAAGGGGAGAGCTTGTACGAAGGTGGTGGAGGGTAAATTTGGATGTGGTTGAAGACACTGTTGGATGAATTCCCAACAGATATTGAACTTTTGCTTGGAGACAGTTGATGGGTGCACTTTTTTTCCATGATACTTGGTTTGAGGAGGTTGATATGCCTTATGTTATGGACCTGAATTTGGGAGCAGCCACTGCTGATTATGATAGGTTCTTCTGGGGCTAGAGTGACACGGGAGGCTGGGAGCCACGCTTCTTTAGGGTTGTGCAGGAATTGGAAGTAGAAGAGGTGGATGGCTTCATTCAGGCTTCAGCAACGCTATGATATGGAGGTCAGGGGAGGCAGTGAATATCCCTTGAGGTGGAAAGGGGGGCTAGTGATTCCTTTCAAAAGGTTTGATGAGTAAAGGTGCCTTACACCTAGTTTGTTGGGTTTGCTGTTGGAGGTTATTCTGAACATTGATAATTTGTGATGTAGGGGCACAATGATCCCTAGCTGGTGTTGTATGCATGAAGCACAGAGTCCACATATTATGTATTGTTGTGTTCTGCTGTGGGAACAACAGATTTTTTAGGCTCTAGGCCTTAAATTGTGCTTGTGGATTGATAAGACTTGGGCATAGCTTCGGGGATACAGAGCCTTTGATCTCGAGATTGAAAGCAGTTGATATTGAGCTTATTACATTTGTCGCAACTTTCATTTTCCTTCTGTATCTTGTCGATTCTATAGGTGGCATTCGCCTTTGGTCATGCTCTTGTATACTCAATGTTTACATGGTTTGACCAGGTTTGGTGCTTTATATGTAAACTTATTAAAGATGATCAGTTTTCAGATAAAGGCGGATGGGACGTCAACTTTGAACATTGATAATGGAATGCTTTTATCTGACTCTGTGTGTTTGTGTGTGTATTTACCTTCTGCAGTTATGGATATTGATTCTGTTGGCACGTTCACAATGTGCCATGAAGCACTTAATTATCTTAAGAAAGGAGGACTAGGAAGAAGCTCATCTAGTGGTGGAACTATTCTGAACATCAGTGCTACCTTGCATTACACAGCAGCTTGGTATCAAATCCATGTATCTGCAGCCAAGGTTAATTACATGTTTTGCTAGTACTTTAAGATGTTTTGACTTATATGAAATATATTTCATTAAGACTTGATCCCTTTCACCAGGCGGCTGTTGACGCCATTACAAGAAACTTGGCGCTGGAGTGGGGTACAGACTATGATATCAAAGTCAATGGGATTGCACCAGGCCCAATAGGTGATACTGCTGGCATGAGAAAACTTGGACCTGAAGAGATGGATAGTAAAGCCAGAGACTATATGCCTCTGTATAAACTCGGGGAGAAATGGGATATTGCCATGGCTGCTCTCTACCTTGCATCAGATGCTGGTTAGTGACTTCATGCACTCTGCAGTTATCAGTATTCATCTTTCATTAGGGCCTATCATTTTGGTGGACCTAAATAGTTCATATTGAAGGACTCAACTACATATTGTTTCAACGTTTTCCATATTTAAGAAACAATGGGATCTGAATAATGATTATTATATCATTTATTTAGATTTGGCTGCATGTATCAATTTTCCTTATTCTTCTTGAAATAAGCCCATTGTTTATGCTAATGTGTTTTCTCTTAGTACAACCTTCGTCTTCGTCTTCGTCTTCGTCCTTGTTTTGTTGTCGTGCTTTTGGACACGCCTCACTTTTGCTTCCATTCACTCTTCCATTTTTAATCCTTTTGCATATCCAACCAGTTGAACTAGGCTCTCTTGTATATTAGATATGTGTGTGTAATTGAATTAGTTTGTTTGTGTGCCTGTATATTTTTGTTTCCTTTTTTCTTTTTTGGTTTTGAGGGGGACATAGAGCATGATTTATGTTGCTGCTTAACTCGAACATCTGCAACACATGATATTCAACCTCCTCTTTTGTATAGAAGGGCGGTTTTATTTAGCTCTACATCTTGTTCAAGGGGTAATCATAAATGTATTATGCCTGGTGACACCTGACATAATTTAAAACCCCTGCCTAGAGGATTTTACCAAATCCTATATTTATTCTTACTACAAGTGTGCATAAACAACTTTTTAAATATGGTCTAAAATCATGGGCGGAGTCTATCTTTGTGGTTCATCAGTGAGAGCTTTTCTTTCTAGTAACATTTCATGTGAACGTGGAGGTATTGGCCTGAATCAAACCTGATTTTATTGATTTCATATTAAAAATTCATTTATCATTTAGGAAACATCATGCAAGTGGTGACTCTCAGGGTTACTTGTTCAAATATGACTGGCCTTTGTGGTAGCATTAGTCTACATTCTTTCCAGTGTTGTTGTGTACAACATTGTTTGCCGTCTAAATAACTGCTTCTTTTGATATCTTATTAAGCTTTATAAATATATATGCATTTGGTTTTCGAGAAATGAAGAAAGAGAGAGTCCAGAATTTTCTTTTTCTTTTTCTTTTCCTGCTTTCGCTCAACATCGTCTCCAAATGCTCTTCATGTTATCAAAGGTTCCAAATTGTCCCCCTTGGAGGAAACGTCGCTGAGTTACAGCAATGAATGCCTCTACTCTACTTTAAATTGGCTTGCTTTCTTTAAATTATGGATCAGTTGTCTTTTGCCTCTTTGCCATGTGAGATTTTCATTCTTCTGTGTAATGCTATGAAGGTAAATACATCAATGGGACCACTATGATTGTTGATGGAGGACTTTGGCTAAGCAGGCCTCGCCACCTACCAAAAGAGGCAGTGAAGCAGCTTTCTCGTGCTGTGGAAAAAAAATCGAGAGATGCACCTGTTGGGGTTCCAACCAGTAAACTGTAACCCTAACTCGGAGCAATTTTGATCATGCATTATATACCTAATATCCTCCCACCTGGAGTGGAATTATAGTTTATTAGGTCCATCATTTAGACAAGTGAATAATGTATACTTAATTACATCGCTTCAGGGTTCATGCTACAATTTCAAATCCCTTGCAAAATAATTTCTGCTCTTTTTATCTTATATTATGCTTCAGTTGGATTCTTCAATATCTATATCTATACTTTTGTATGTTTGATACATGGATCTTAATTACATCGCTTCTCTTTCTTTTTAAAGGGTGAACATCATATAGTCTCCATACATGGTTTTTGAGGAGGGAAAAGTTTTGTTCTGTTAAGCCTTTTGATGCATTTTATTACATGGAAATAAAATGTAGAACTGGGACAAACATCTAGGGTTCTGTGGTTGAAAAATGGGATAAAAGGACAACCATATTAGCAGCCCTAAAATGAATTTTGCAGATTGGATTTTGGATATATTTTTTTTGTTTTTAGTCTGTCATCTAAAACGTTGAATAGCTGGGCATGTCGGCCCCATGCCTTTGATCATCTTTCACATCAACTGCTAAAATTATTACTGATGAGTGATGACTATTATCTACCATACGTATCAGATGATCTGGGACTGCCGAGGAACTCAATTAACGGTAACTCATGCCCGCGCGCAATTCACAACTCGTCCTGCTCCATCCTGAGTGACCTTCAGAACAAATTAAAGTGCACTTCATATCACATTAGGATTTCAGATTTTAGGCTTTTCAGTGATACAAGTTTGGACTAGCACGGAGATATAAAACCGAATCTCTAAAAGATCCTCTTCTTGGTTGAATTTTAGGTCAGATTCAACAGCTCTTGAAACATGTTTTGAGAACGCACAAATCTAACCAAACCAGTGAAAATAATCACTTTAACTCAAATGAACCTGATACGCAATGTCTGATACCGAATATATGACCCATGAAGTTCTCAACTCATGAAAAAGTTTTTAAAGCATTACACCCAAGTTAATCTCCAACTTTAGTGCTTCTAACCCAGTGTCTGAGTTGTGGATGAACGATCCAACAAAAATTGCAAGGTAGAACATTTCTCTAGAAGAAACTGTCGAATTCACATTTATCAACTACACTTGGCTGCTTTAGATTAGAATTTCACTAGCTGCAAGTTAATTGAACAATTAAAACCAGCCTAACTACAAATGCTGCAACTAACTCAGGATGTCATTCCTTCAAATATAATTCTTTTCCAGTTACATCAGCCAATATTAAGAAAGACGCTCGATGTGAAAGTTACAGAATATGTTACAAGATAAATTGAAGAGAATAGATCATTGCTCGTTCAAAGGTCGACGCAAACCAGAATAGATGGCTTTCCGGAAAAGAGGGTGCACACCTTCTGTTAAAACCTCCGAATCTAACCTCTCAATGTGAGGCCAAATCTGTTGAACAAAACAGGGGAAAAAGTCAGCAACAAAACTATTCTCATTCTAAAGAACAGGTCTTACAATACTTGCAGTCAATGTTAGAGTCCGCAACAGAAAAACTGAATTTTATTTCTAGGTATTTGATGGAAAGGGTATGTTGGTCACTAAAATATAAGACATTAGGATGCATGAAGTAAATTAGCATCGCAACTTAATGAAAACCAAGTATTGAAATGTGTGTGTGTGAGAGAGAGAGTGAAAAAAGTTAATTGCTGGATCAACAGAACTGCAAAGAAATCCAAAATGGTGAAGAGCCAAAAATTATCACCTCAGAAGCATATTGTCTTGAGAAGGCCTTGACATAGCCCAGGGTTGATAAGCACCACTGCTCCTTTTCACCTACATTATAGCCGTTGCTGGCCCTTTCCCCATTTGAATGACTGTCAGTTCCACCCAGAACCAGCAAAAGGGGAAAGAAGGGAAAAAGAAAAGAGAATGATCAATGCACTACTTGGGTTGATTTTATTACTGAAAAATGCAAAAATTAAAAAGAGGAGAAAGGAACCTTTTCTTGGGTCTTTCATTCTCGTTGTCCAACTCCATTGCAGATGAATCTTCCAGGTCTATGGCCATCTCATCTGACCGGCCAGACCGCCGTAATCCTCCATCTCTAACATCACTTAGACGTTCCATCAAAACATCCGAGAAGTTTTTGTATAAGGAGAGGAACAATGCCTGTATATGCCATTAGAGTCAATACAAGACTAACTACAAGAAGATTAAACAAAGGCCAACGCAGGCTGAAACTTATACTTTTATCACTAAATTTCTGTATTTATTGCATAATGCAATCCCAGCCTCGTAAAGGTAAACAAACATTGAAGTGTATGGAAAGCGAAATTATGGAATTTGCTGCACATCGCATAGGTCAAAATGATGGGAAACTAGGATTAACACGGTAAAAATATTAATTTTTATAAGAAAATGAGATAAATATAAAAGTTGCTCAAATGATCTTTTGTTCCAGCACAAACTGGAAACCAGCTCAACATAAATAACACAGCTGTTGATGAAGGCATTTTTCTGCTCTCTCTCTCTCACTCACACACACACACACACACACACATACACGGATGAGAATGATATACTCTAAATTGCAGCCATCATGAACAGAATCATGCAATCCTTCTCTACGACAGACACCCATACAAACACAAAGATAACCCAAACTGTAGCCACTTTAACAACATTCTCATACAATAGTTCCATATTATCCAAAATGACATATACTTCCATTTCTTATCAACAATATGACCTGACAGAAACAGCACAACTACTTTTTCCTAAGAAAGGAGAAACAAAGAGAAAAACTTGCAATATTACTATGATACCTCATTTTCATCAATGGCCCGAGCAAGAAGAGCTTCCTTCGCCTCTAAAGATTCACTAACAGAAACCTCATCCTCTTTTGCTTTTTCAGCGTTCGATTTCAAACGCTTCAATCTCACAGGGTTGTCACCAAGAACAGGTTCACCATCCACAAGTGTAAGCTTTGACTCAGCAGCCTCCAGTTCTGCTTTAGCTTTAGTTACAGTATTTTCAGCGGACACAACACCCTTCTTGAGGGATGAAGTCTCTTTCCTTAGATCACATATACGATTGTACGTCTTATTAACAGCATTTCTAAGAATCTGTCCAACCAAAAGCAGAGGTGAGCAACGCTTTTACTAGTCATGGAGATGTTTGATACGAAAAACTACTCATAAGAAAGAAAGAAAATATAGAAACATCTTCTCCAGGGGTATTAAGAGACAACTAAAACATCTTGAACCCTCAACATGGAACTTGAGAGTTAAGATCCAAAGCCATCAAGTCAAAGGTAGACCAGTAACTAAAACAAGACTTACATTATAAAGTTTGCGACAACAAATAATAGAATCACAGAAAAATGATACAGCTCAGGAGAAGAATAAGCAATATATATGGTGACCTCCAACGCCGCTCAAAATATAAATAACGACTAGTTTATCTACTAGGATATGGGTAGGGAAGCACATATAAGTGATATATGCATATAAAAATAACTCTACTCCAAATTTCTTCCATAAAGAAGAATCACAAAAAGTTGCATTGGAGAAGCAGAGAGAGAAGCCATTTTCAGAACAAATCATCCAGAGACAAAAGGAACCTATGTTAAATTTTAAAAATTTCACACTTGAGGTCACAAATTGAAGGTCTTCATTTAAAAATTGAAGGTCAGTTCTATAATCATCGACTCAGTTCAACAAACCACTTATGGCTCTGTCCCAAAAAAAAAAGTTGACATTTTTTTTGGGACAGAGGGAGTATTTGAGTAGCAAAAGGCATTGTGGTGTGTATGAAAAGAAAAAGGACCACCACAAATCCTATCAAATGACCTTCCTAGGGATAACCTAAAGTTCAATTTTGATGGTCGTCTCCTGGAAATCAAAGATGGTAGAAAACGAAAGCATCATATCTTTTCTTGCTCAAAGCCTGTATTATTGGCTTAGCTATTAAGGACAAATTTCAGCTCCCTTAAAAGGCTTTCAGGAAGCTCATGCTATGGTTTTGAAGAAATTGATAGTCGAGGAGATCGCAATTCTTGCATGTTTGAGGAGTAGTTACTTAGTAACTTGAGGGTATTGCGATTTCATTTGTGAAATTTCTAATGTAGATCTGTAGAAGTTCAATTTCAAATGAAATGCATTATCGAGGCTTGAGGTTATCGAGGGCAAGATATCTTCAGGTTGCTCAATCTGATTGGCTTCTCACCAACAGAATTAGCATAGAAAAGTCAGTTAACTGATGACACTACCCGTGACTTACATGGGGATTTGTGCGAAGTTGAAATCCATTGCCTCTGAATGTGCCAGAATACTTTAACAGTAGATGCAATTTTACCTAAAAATTTCAATATATTGTTCAATATTAATGTCCAACAAATATATTGTTCAATATTAATGTCCAACAATATGGATGCAAACCTTAGACACCAAGGAGATATTGAGATTGAGGATTTCAGTTCAGCTGTTACTTCTGCTGTTTCTTGTTGGAAGATTGGCCATGGTCAAACAAGTTCTTTCTAGGAACAATTTTAAACAAGCAGTCATTTCTCAGGCTCTAGAGATGGTAAGGGCTCAAAAGGAGGAAAGAAAGCAGAAAGTTCTTATGGAAAATTGGTTCAATGGAGCTTTCCTCCTACAAACTGGGTGAAATTACTGTGGATGGTTGTGCAAAAGGAAGCCTTAGTGAGGCTGGAGGAGATATCATCAGGGAAAATGATGGCCAATTGATTACGGAATTTTATTTTCATACATGTAGCTTCAGAAATGACCAGGCTGAGATCTGGGGTCTGTATCGTGTGCTTAGTTCTGCTTGATAATGGGCCTTGTAGGTTTGTAACTGGTCATTGAGGAGATCGACTTAAAGTGAGTCATAAGTCTGATTACTAAGGAGGTTTACGAGTGTCATCTTTTTTTGCATGTTACCCAAGCCCCAAAAATCTTTAAGCGAATAGCTAAAGTTTTGTCCTTAAGCAAAATACAGGCAAGAAATTTTGCACCAATTTATATAAAAAGCTCTAATTTAAGCTATGTGGCTGGTGTAGATAGGCCACATTAGTTGCTGTGTGTTGTCGTTTTGCTGTGACTTCAGTTCCCATTAAAACCCCAAAAAGAGAGATTGATCTAAATTAGTTGCTGCTTATGGATGCCTAAGCGGCAAGTTAATGCTGTCACAATATACTTATAATCTTCCAGCACGCTTTCCCTTCTCCTTCATCCTCAAATAATAGGTTTCCTGTTGCCTAAGTAATACAATCTCATCCACGATATGGCATCTTATTAATTACACATAAGAACATTAATCATATATTTATAGAGGAGGTAAACGACCAAGCATTTCTACCAAAAAGTAATTTTACATGGTAGCTGTAATAGAGTACCTCCCATGGCCGATCTGAGGTGTGAAATAGATCAATGTTTGCTGGAGAGAAGACCCATCTCACAATGGACAAATTTGATACCAGACGATAACCCATCATTCGATCAATGGTTATAGCTGTCATTTGAGAACTGTTCTTCCAGAAAGAGCCCACTTCGTCTATCAGCATGACTTGCTTATCCTGATCAGGACAAAATCTTGCAATCACTTGGCCATATCTCTCCAAGACTGTGATCAAATGAGTAAAGCTTTTTGATCCAATTTCAAGAAGAGTTTGAATAACCAGTCTGAGGGTAATATCCAAACCATGAATTGGAATTACACTTTCTTCCATCCATGAAATAACTTCACGTGCAGTTTGCCTTCCTTTCACCATGGCACGGATTTCTGTGGAAAGGGCATATTCAGTTTTATTTCCATCATCTTCTGCACTGTATTTAAAGATTGGTCCAGCTTTTGGTGGAAGCAATTCCTCTAAAGCAGGGGCATTCTCAATACTCTACAAGAACAAAATTGCAACGAAAGAAATTAAACAAATGATCACGATGCAACAAAGTCGCATACCATTCCCATAAACAACTTAGATAAGGAAAACTTAAGTTTGTCACTTTCTTCCATTCCCCCCATTGAACAAAATGCTTTACTTCCTTCTTAATTAAAAAAGAGAAAAGAAATCGTGTCCTGGGCAATTCTATCTCAGGAAAATTTTACATTACATCCTTGCACTTAATCACAAAATGATGCCTGTCGGGGAAATGCAGTGCCAATGGTTGTGGAAGTTTCATAATAAGTAATAACTAATTCACTTTTTGAAAGAAATATATACTCCCTGTCCCAAAATTCTTGGGGTGTTTGGGGAATCAAAATTTTTATGATAGTGGTATTTTTTTTTTGGATTGATAAGACTAATTTCCAAATTTATCCTTGTAAAAAGACAAAGGAGTCCTCTGTAATTAGTGCACTTGTTTAATCAATTCAATGTCAAAAGGATAGTTTGGGAATGCTATAAAAAATAGTACATCCATTTTTGGAATGGGACATGTATTTTGGGACATCCCAAAATAGAAAGATGGAGAAGAATTTTGGGACAGAGGGAGTATAAATATACACATTTTTCCAAAGAAATTATATGTTGACAATAAATACAAGCAACCGGACATGAAAATATAAACAAGGGAAACTTAATATTGCTTCTTTCATTCGTTTACCCCATTGAACCACATGGTTTAATTCCTTCTTAATTTTAAAAGAGACAGAGAAGGAATATCCTGAGAAATTCATCTCGGGCAATTTTTTTTGTATTTCCATCACTGCACTTCAACACAAAATAATCCCCGCCGGTGAGTTGCAGTGTCTATTTTAATGCTAATGCTAATTCACACACACACCAAAAAAAGTATATCAAATTCACCCTTTTTCCAAAATGAAGTTGAATATATACATGGAACTTCCAGATTGGAAGAATCTAATATCCACTTGCTAAAATAATTTATTGTATGCAGAACAAATCAATTATTTGTGGAGTAACAAATTCTTGATCCTTTTCTAGAATATCAATGAACTCTAAAGTAAGAAGGAAATCAAGGCACTTGCCAATATTCCTTTTACACCTCAATTCTAGTAGCTTATTGTTGTGTCATAACTCACATTAAGATCCAACTGCATTACCTTACATTCTTACTCAGTCATTGACAGATTTTCCAGCCACTCAATTTTTATGGACACAAAATAATAATAATAATAATAATATCAATAAATAAATAAATAATATCATCAGTTGGAGAGATTAAAGTTATCGGCAAAGTTCATTACCTGCTTAACCTTGTCCCAGTATGATAAACGGACTTCTCTCTCCAAAACCTCCTGGACAAACACACGTTGCGGGGCCCATTTTGGAAGTTCTAAAACATAAGCCCATTCTTCCCATGGCCAAATGAATTGAAAGTTTGATCTGAGAAATCGACATATTACGGCTACATGTTAACAATGTAAAGCCAACATGACTTGAAAATAACTAGCTCAATATTTTGGCAAATATATGTCCAACAAGCATAGTACAAAAGGATATACACAAAGCATGGAAAATTCCTACGAAATTGCAAATTCACAAATTGATATGCAAAGACCATGGGGCACACAAACGATTACTCCACTCTTGCATCATATTTACAAAAATAACTAAATAATTCCTGACATATTTGACAAATTACCATATTTTTTGATCTAGCAAAATACACATCTTCTTGAAATCATTTTAACCTTTTGTCTGATCAATCACAACATTTTCCTAACTACCTCCAAAACTTTTTGTTTTTTCAACACAAACAATCAACAAAGGAACATATGAAACAGCCTGAAATGTCTTATACAATTACAAGATTCCCAACACATTAGCCAAATTATTAAATCTTTAATCCGGCAACATAAATATCTGAACCACTTCTTATTGAAATCATTTTTAAATCTTTATCCAAATCAATCTCAATATTTTCCTAACTACCTCCAAAATTTTGCATTCTTTCATTGCCAAACAATCAATTAAAAAAGAAATATAAAATTAATATGAGGAATTCTTCGTTGCAACCCATTCGGCTAGTAGCCAAGCACTTACATTCTTATTAGTGCAATAGATACATACATATACATGTGTACGAATGGATCAACTAAAACATGGTGCAAAAATAACTATTCTTACATCCTCTAAAATCTTTTTGTACAATTTATCTTTTTTTTTTATAAGTCTTTTTGTACAATTTATCTTATCCAACTATTGGATTAAATACCTCAATTTTGTTTGTCATGCATGCCAAATATCAACCAAATGCAAGTGTTTGATTAACTATTTTTGGTAAGAACAAATACAAACGCTGGGTGTAATCAGCACTACGTAATGATATCAAAAACCAAATTGTGAAATTTTCTAAACCTTGCACACCATCACATGTGCTGACTCGGCTAAGTCTGATGTGATTTTTATTCCCGCCGGCGAGTACTAGACTCGGACTCATCCAAGTCTGTTATGACTCGTTCGATACATAGAGACTCGGCCGAGCCTCAAGAGAAACAAACACATATTGACAAGATATGGAGGCAAAAGGAGAGAGTCAACAGGGAGGAGGCAGAGAAAAACTATAAGAGAAGCCCCAGGTTAAAGAAGACAAAGCAGAAAAGGATCTAACTAATCAACCCGACAAAGCAGCAGAAGAGGCTATAAGCAGCGAGTGCAGATCAAAGCAGACCAAATCCATCAAGGGACCAAGGGAGCAGAACTAGAACAGGCCAAGATAGTAGAAGCACTGTCAAGCAACAGATCAGGTAGAACCCAAGTAAATTGAAAATTCAATAAAAACAGTCGGCTGAATACGATTTCAACTAGTCTGAATACGTTTGTTAGGATCACTAATTGGAAGGTTTCTCAGACCCAAGCTTGAATCTGATATAATTTCAATTTCCTTGACAAAGATGAGAGAACCAGGTTTTCTTCAGAGACATATAATATAATTGAAATCATACAAGAGTGGTGTCTCCTCTCTTTTGTAAAATGGGAGGTTGAGAGTTCAAGCCCAACAAGGGTATACTGAGGGCACGGGTGTGTGAGTTTGCTTTAACTTCCAAAAAAAAAATCATACAGAGAAGGTCAGCATGGTTCCACATAAGGATGATGAGCACAAATCAAGAAATTTCTGATCTATGGGCTTATATTTCTCTAACTAAATAAAAAATAGACTAAAAACTAATTTAATGTGTGATGTTGATGAAATATATAATCGATTAATTTGATTTTTCCACTTGGGATTATAAATATAAGGACGTTCAATTCAACAAGATCACCAAACTTCTTTATCCATACACAAAATGTAAACAGAGCCTTCCACAAATATATGGGTTTCAAAAATCTATTTCACTTTCGAAGATGGTTAACTATGTCCTTTAATTTTTGGTACACGAAAAAACCTAAAAGTTCTAGATTTGACAGCACAATAGTGGCCATCTTTGTCATTTCAAAATGACATTCTCCCCCATTTTGAAAGGAAGAAGGAAAATACCAAGAGTGAGTCCGAACCCGACGTTGGCACTAGTAATTTTTTTTTTTTCCTTTTTTGGGGTGTGAGTGGAAGAAGGGGAAGAGAGAGATCATAGGTGTCACAGTGGATCAATTAAGATGGTGATTGTGACATATCAATGCAATTCAAGAGAGATTAAGAGTGGCTACCCTACACTAGAAAAGGAAAATGGCAAATAACATGGTTATAAAATATGCAGACATACAAACACAGCAAAAAATGGTAAGAGCTGTAAATCAATGAACATGGCAAAGGTTAATTAGTTGACAGATGGTTGTAATAGGGAGAAATGTGTTCAAATGTCAGCCATGTCGAGCTTATCAAATGTGCATGGTTAGCTTGAAGGATTTCTCATCCATGCCCATTTTATATAGCTTCTTTTCCCTAATACATCTCTTTGTTTCCTATGGTGAGAGAAGCGAGAGAAAAAAAGTGTACACTTCATATTTAACTTCATTTGTATTTGGTACTTAATTGCAAAATCACAGCCATGATCCCATATATAAAGAGAGAAGAGGTACTTTTTGTTTTAATAGAATTATGGATGTTGCCAACCTGGGTAAACTGGCTTAGCAACCTTCTAGCTCCCTCCCTGCTTAAACTATTCATAGTAAAGTTCCTTTCCAGAAAAAAGAAAGAAAAAAGAATTTATTGCTCATTTCCCCGAATTCACCAAATTCTTCGAAATTTGTGCCCTCGTTTCAGTCAAATGAATAACGATTTTATCTTCAACAAACATTGTAAATTATTTCATTGCCTAGTTAATGAGCTTATATGTTTCAATACATATTTGACCTTAATTAGAACCAAATGCCTATTTTAAAAAATTTAGATCTGACCATTTTTTGTCAAAATTGTTAAAGATGCAAGGAACTTCTCAAGTAAAAACAAAAAACAGATTGTCAAATAAAATATTTTAATAAAGCATGCCAGAAAGTCATTTCTCTTTACACTTTTACAGTACAGGAAACTGTATGTGCATAGTAGGAATATCTCAAAACAAAAAAATTAAAAATAAATTTGTCAAAAAATATGTTAATAATCATGCCAGAAATAATTTATCTTTACATTTGCTATACTTACTAATACTTTGTTGCACACTGATTGGACTTTCATTATATATTATCCAACATCTCCTTGACCCAAAATAGCCTAATCTTTAGATCTCAACCACTGATAAATAGTATTATTATTGTAAAATATACATTACATGTAAAAGTGCTACTCTTTTTTTTTCCCCTTTTTTTGGTGATCGGGCTTTTAAGAAAAAAGTAATAGATAAAGTATACAAGTATAGCACAGATTCCCATGTATACCAAATGACAGTTTAATATTTTACAAGGGGCCATGTTCCTGCCATCCCCCCTCACTTTCTACAACTGATTCAATTATACAACATCAGAAGGGAAAATATTACCATAAAGCAACAATAACGGCATCATTTAAAATGTATAACTTCATTAGAAACATGAAGAGAAATAAGAAGACAAAATATGAAGGGAAAAAAAAAAAAAAAAAAAAAACAATGAAGTGTAGATGCTAAGGCGGCCGAACTTACAAATGGTGGGAGAACCAAAGGATGAGGCGTGTTCGGCACTCCATATCTAAATCAGCTATTCTATCAAAAAGAGTGCGTACAGCACCAGCTACAACCGCTGGAAAGGCCCCTGGAAGTGCCTAGGAAAGAAACCTTGCAGTCAGTAAGCTGTATGATGCAAAAAAAAGTTCATTAATCTAGAAAAATGCATTCTGAAGTATCAATAGCATGTTCCGAAAAATAATAAATAAAACCAGATCATGTAGAATAGGTTCTCTAGTACCTTACAGAGGTCAATAATAACCAATGTGTAATATATTGGTTTGAATGGGGGTTGAGGCAATAATAGAAGCTGCAAGAAAGAAAAATCAACAATTTTGTCAATCTAATAAAAAAAAAAATCAGCATAAATAACCACAAACTAACAAACACATAAGCAAAATAAGCATGGCAGATAACATATCTCTAGTGTCCACTTGCCCCAATTCATGCATCTATATATGCATGCATGTATTGAACCCTGTATGTGTATATATGACTGCATTCATGCATATATATATGCAAGTCTTTATGCATGCACTGAACAGATCAACATCTCTCCTTTGTCAGAAAGAAAATGTTCAACACCTCACGTGTTTTAACTTCTAAGCTGGCCTCACACAAGGTTATTCAGTAATATCCTTTCTAATTTCAGCTCATATTTTCAAGCAAACATCAAAACCTAACCCAAATACAAAATTACCGTAAGTGATGTCAGTTATACCACATCAGAGTCAAATTATGTCAAAATCCTCCAGGTCCATTTAGAACAAGATATACTGTATGAAGTCGTCCTTAATGTTCATGCTGACATTAAAAAAGCTTTACAACTATGGTTTTATGATAATTGAGGTTTTATTCATGAAAAGATGAGTACCAGATGGACTGAGCTAGGTTGAAGACAAAGTAAAGTCGAAAAAAAGATAGAGAAGTTGGTAAGATAGGAGATGACAAATTTGAGGGAAAAGAGTCTCCTATTTCTGTTCTGAAATTCTCCATTGTTTCCACTCTTTTTTGTTGGGTTTCGGGTAGAGATTATAGATCTTTTGAGGACATTGTTGTTTCTTTGAAGGCTTAGTGGTTTTTGCTTCTTGTTGTTCCTTCGGGATGCGCTCCCCTTTTGAGCGCTTTTTTATACAATTCTTACTTATCAAAAAAAATATATAGGAGATGACAAATGACTCCTTGAGGTCGAGCTACTATGGGGAAGTTAGGCACGGGGGACTGAGTAACAGGGATAGAATAATTCAAGATTTCTTTAAGGACTTGGTTGAGGCAGTTGTGCTTCTTCTGGTCTTACCTCAAATGCACATGGAAAGTCTATTCATGCTCCAGAGCTGTAAGTAAGCCCATGTTTAAGCTGATGTAGAAAGCAGGATCAGTTACCACACGTCCCATGACAATGCCTTGTCAGGTGAAGAAATTATAATACAGGGTATGCTGAGGATCTTCAGTTAGTTGGGCACTTAATTTGACATGAAGTTTACTTAACATAGTAAGATGGTAATATGACGACATAAGGTGAATGATAAAGATGGTATGGAGGGTAATTTCTGCAGCAAGGAGATTCTTTCTTGTGATAGGATGGCACCGACATGGTCAATATAAGGAGAAGGTTAGGTAGAGTGTGGCCACGTCATGATGGATGTGTCATTTAAGAGTCATCGGTCTCACTCTTCAACCACAATTGAGGACATGAAGTCCACAAGAAGGAGCTACCTCAACGACCCTAAAATTTAACCAACAAGCAAATTACCTCCTAAGATCCCAGTATAAGACTGACCATGCACCAGATTTTTGTAAGTTTCTTGAGTCCAGTCCACACACCTTATGGTATTCAGGATGCTTTCTTTCCTCGAGATGATCTTTAAGTTTTCAACGAGACATGTGTCGTTACTTGCGTTGCAAAGAGGTCCTAGTAATAGTTTTCAATTTATATTTATCTTGTAGAAAAAAATTCCTCGAGGTTGCCTACAGAGAAGGCAGTGAAATTTAACAGTAGAAAGGATGAACTCGCGGAAAGACTCATCCAAGAAGAAAAGGAATTTGCCATATATACACTGATGGTAAGGTTTATTAGAGGAGAAGATGTCCTTGCAATATTAAGGCTTCTTTCTAGGCCAAGGGACCCTTCGGAGATCACAAGTGCTTTATAGGGGAAGGTCTCCAAGATAACTGGGCTTGCATACAGTCCTCATCTTAAATACTTCGTAGGGATGAATCTCATTGTCAAGATTGTTGTCTTGGAATACACTAGTTGAATCCTTGCAAGCAAGGGTTAACTTCCTAACACAATATGGGTATTTCATTTGCAAGGGATTTGAAGAACAGCTCTATCCCATTTATTAGGAACAGGTATACTGCATCATCATACTATGATAACTCACCATTCATAATTGGGACTAGAAGGAAAACTCTGACAGGAGCCCTCCAAGCAACCAATGGCATATTGATGCGTAGTTCATTGGTAGAAATCATTTAGACAATTATTTTGTACAGACTCTGTACAGTTCCGATGCCACTTAAAGTGGAGTCGTTGGCTATTTTGAGAAGTCAAAGGAAATCAAATGCTCAAAACTTTTTAAGATAAAATCCATCCATATAAAAATTATATAAAATATACCATCATTTAACGAACAACCTATTCTTCCATTTTACAGGAAAGATTAGTTTTTAGGCTCGTTTATTTGAATTATTTTGAACAAAAATAAAATATCACTGAATATAAGATTCAGTCCGGATGGGGATGTCATGGGAGGTTACTGGGGGGTGGGTTCCGAGCCTCAGTGAAGGCATGTGTGTGTGAGTACCAACTAAGAAGAAAAAAAATTAAAATTAACCACTTACTTAATTCAAGATTGTTACCTGTGAGAATATTGTCTCTGCCATGAGATATTCATATCGAAAAGGCACAGGAAGACCAACCATGTACGAAGCACATTCCTTTCGACTAGCTTTGCATCAACCATGAAACAAAACAAAAAGAAAGATGAAGTCCAAAAAGCAAAAATAAATGTGAAGCATAAAATTTAAGTACAGAAAATGAATTCAACTCCTCAAACTGCTACACAAGTTGCTAAAGCTATCATATGGGATATTTCTACTGCTGTGAACATGAACCTGCAAGAAATCTTGGATCAACTTGAAGCTTGATGCTGAAATACTGGAATTATTACTGGTGTTATAGTTGTGATCCTTGGTTTAGTTAGGTTTATTGGCGTTGTATTGTTATGTTTCTTCCTTTTCTCTTCTTAGTAGCAGGTTTCTGGAATTTTTTCATTTATTTATTATTTTTTCGCATTTGGATGTTCTGTAAGAGGGTGTTCCCTCATTTTTCCTTGTTTTCTGGTGCTTGGTTAGTAAAAGTTTGCTTAGGGAAAAAAAGCATGTATTCAACTACAATACTGGAGATAAACACTCCCACCGTTCCAAAGTAAAAGCACACTTCTTCCTTTTTAGGGATGTCCAAAATGAGTGTTCCTGTTAAAAAGGCAACGTACAAACATTGGAACATCCCTGACTTATCCTAAGGCTTTGAAAACTTTCCAATATGTTAACAATGTAAATGTTTAAGTTTATGAGGCTTATTATGGAAATTCATATTTCTCAGTTCGTCATAAGTGCATGTAGCCTTAAATTGATAGAATTCTTATAGTAATAAGCAAAGACCACACAGCACAAAATCAAGTTGATCGACTAACCACCAAGAATAAGACAATAAGTTGACTTGAATGCTCTAAACCGAATGATAAGCAGAATAACATATAGAAGTTTGCAGACATACAAGACAAACCACAAACCTACACGCACTCCACTGGATGCAACAAATTAGTCTAGTTGAAAAGTCCATGATGAATAAGATCATCCATTTCCGAACTTGAGCAAAAAACATGGACATACAGATGCATTTCTTTCTATACCTTTTTCCCCCAGGTAAATTCATGTATTGAGTAATAGATATACCGAGAGAAAAAAATTAGATTAGGCAATTTGTGGAATCTGTTCCACATGTCTGACACACGTGCACTCATTTGGTTTTTTGCTTCTAGACTGAAGATCAAACTGAATGCAACAACACTTCCCAGTTGCAAGTTTTCAACCATTTGTCTACCAACAGTTACTCAGATAAATAATATATGTTGGAAAGAATGTCACCCTACAAACTCTAAAATTCATGAAACTTATTGAAGCAAAACTGGTGATGATATTTAACTAATACAGTAAAAGTAATGGGTCAGTGATGTCTACAAACCAGCCACTCAAGAACAGAAGAACATCCAGCAAATACTCTTCCACAACAAAGCGGTCTATAGGATCTATATCCTGCCATCCAAAAAAGGAAATAAAAATAAGAAAGAAAAAAAAGAACTGAGGCAACAATCACGGAATTTCAATTTACAAATAACAAGATTTTGAATAAGTTTCTACTTACAAAAACAGATAAAAGGTACTAATAAATTCTCCATTCAAAAAATGCTCAGCAACTCATTACATTCTATTATTTACAATTCAACTCAACTCTACAAAGCCTTAATTATTAACTACTTTGCTTAGCTCTATAAAATTCTTGTCTCCAATCATGTAAAAAGCACCATATCCTCTACTATCCTTGATATATATATATATATATATATATATATATATATATATATATATATATATATTCTATTAGGTCCACACATCCTCAACCCAAATATTGTTTTGCATTCCAATTGTTTTTTCTGCATCTTCAACAGTTCAACTTGGAACAAAGATGCATGTAGTCAAATCATTTTTTCATATATGTACATCATTAGACATGCTATCTACGACATATTTAGCTAAGTTCCACAGAGATGAGAGTTTTTGCATGTTTTTCATCCGCCCTCTGTCTCATAATTTACAATCAGCTTTTAGCAAATAATAGGGGTAGAATCCAGATTATTCTTGAGTGGCATATCCAGTGACTGACCAATAATATGAACTTTTAATTCTATTAAATTGACAAACATAAACTTCCAACAAAATAAGATCGACACAATCAACAATTTCAAATTGCAAACAGATGGAAGAAAATCGTATATATTAATTAAATATTTCTACATACTGTTCGAATTCATGAGAGAGAGAGAGAGCAAGACTCTGTGTATATTGTATATATCTTTACCCTTAAGCCTACAGTGGCTTATATAAAAAAAAACAAATAACCTAATTATACAAGGTTACCTAATTACACAATGATCCTAACAACTATGGGTAATTACATAATGACCCAACATAAATATTTATATACATAAACATTCTAGCACTCCCCCTCAAGCTGGAAAATATATATCAAATAATCTCAGCTTGGAACAGATAGTCCTTAACTGGTTATGACCCAATGCTTTGGTAAACATATCAGCTAGTTGATCTTCAGACTTCATAAATGGAGTAGAAATGCTCCCACTTATTATTTTTTCCCGAATGAAGTGATAATCAACCTTAATATGTTTGGTCCTCTCATGAAACACAGGATTCGATGCAATGTGAACAGCTGCTTGATTATCACAAAACAATGGAGTAGGAGTTTCAACTATTAACCCAAGTTCTTTTAGAAAATGTTGTATCCATGTCATCTCACTAGTGGTATGGGCCATTGCCCTGTACTCAGCTTCAGCACTAGATCGAGCTACCATCGTTTGCTTTTTACTTTTCCATGTAACAAGATTTCCTCCTACAAATGTGCAGTAGCCTGTAGTAGATCTCCTATCTGAAAGAAAACCAGCCCAGTCAGCATCTGTAAAACCTTCCACCCTGAGATGACCATTTGATTTGTATAGCAACCCAAAACTTGGAGCTCGCTTTAGAAATCGGATAATCCGAAAAACAGCAATCCAATGTGGCATTCTAGGAGCTCCCATGAACTAACTTACAACACTAACTGGATATGAAATATCAGGTCGAGTGATAGTGAGATAAATTAATTTCTCAACAAGGCGACGAAATCTGCCCAGGTCATTAAATAGATCACCCTCATTAGACACAAGTTTAGTATTTGAATCCATAGGAGCATCAACCGGACAACCACCTAACATACCCATTTCTTCTAGCAAGTCCAACACATATTTGCGTTGAGATAAACTTATACCCTTCTTGGATCTAGCAACTTTAATACCCAAGAAGTACCTAAGTTAACCCCAAGTCTTTAGTGTGGAATCGATTTTGCAGAAACAACTTCAACTTAGCAATGCCTTCAGAATCATCACCTGTGATCACAATATCATCTACATACACCACAAGAAAAATGAAGCCGGCTTTAGTGCACAGGTGAAATACCGAATGATCGGTCTGGCATCTGTTAAGGCCAAATTCTAATGCCGCCTCAGAGAATTTTCCAAACCAAGCCCGTGGAGATTGTTTCAATCCATACAGGGCCTTTTTAAGGCGACAAACAGTGTGACGATACTCCCCCTGAGCAACAAACCCAGGCGGTTGCTCCATATAAACTTCTTCAACCAAGTCACCATGTAAGAAGGCATTTTTGACATCCAATTGAAACAACGGCCAGTTAAAATTGGCAGCAATGGAAATAAGTACCCAAATAGAAGAAATCTTAGCAACAGGGGAAAAAGTCTCGTCATAATCAACACCATGAGTCTGAGTGTCCCCTTTTGCCACTAGACGAGCCTTCAACCGCTCAATAGACCCATCATGAAGGTATTTAACTGTGTAAACCCACTTACAACCAACCGTTTTGGAGCCCAAAGCTAAGGGAACAAGATCCCATGTTCGATTACTGTGAAGGGCATCCATTTCATCTACCATGGCTTGGCACCAACCCGAATCAGAGAGAGCATCTTGCAAAGTCTTGGGAACAAAAGTAGCAGACACTTTGGATAAAAAACAAGATAAAGAGGATGAAATATGACGGTAGGAGACAAAGTTAGAAATGGGATGTGCAGTAACACACAACCGAATACCTTTACGGAGAGCAATAGGCAAATCATCAGGCAAAGGCATCGGATCCGAAGACTCTGAAGAAGATAGAGGGAGCGAAGTATCGAGGATGTCAAGTATACACCTGCAATGGGAAAACAGAGCGAGGAGGTGCGGAAGCAGGAAACAGAGAGGGAACCATTGGCAGAGGTGGCTCAGGAGTAATATCGAGAGGAGTAGTAGAATCAGAAAAATATGGAAGAGACATCAGCACTAGTAAAATAGCGTTGAAAATGAGGACTATAGCAATGATAACCCTTCTGAGTGCGAGAATAGCCAAGAAAAACACACTTAGTGACACGAGGGTCAAGTTTATTAAGACCGGGGCCAAGGTTATGGACATAACACAGACAACCAAAGACCCTAGGAGTAAGATTAAGCGATGCGGAGTCGAAAAATAGAACAGAATGAGGAGATTGACCTTGTAACACTGACGAGGGCATCCGATTAATAAGATGACATGCCGTAAGAACAGCATCACTCCAAAAACGTTTGGGAACATGCATATGAAATAAAAGGGCATGACAAACTTCCAGGAGATGACGATTTTTACGTTTAGCTACTCTGTTTTGTTGAGGAGTACAAGTACAAGAGGATTGATGAATGATGCCTTTAGCATGGAAATAAGTCTCAAAAGGGTCCGAGAAATATTCTTTGGCATTGTCAAAACGTAAAATTTGAATGGAACACCCAAATTGAGTTTTGATTTCTTTGCGAAATATTTGAAAAATAGAGAACAACTCAGAACGATTTTTCATTAAAAACAACCAAGTCATACGAGAATGATCATCCACAAAAGTCACAAAATAACGAAATCCATTAATAGAAATATGCTTTATTGGTCCCCATACATCTTAATGAACTAACTAAAAAGGACTAGCAACACGATTACTAGCTCTCGGTTTGAAAGATATACGACAATGCTTACTAAGCTGACATGCTTCACAAGACATGGACTCAATACGACTAAGACCGGAAACTTGACGCTACAAAACTGAGAAGGATGGGTGGCCGAGATGATAGTGCCACTGGAAAGAAGACAGAGATGATTGAAGAGCCGTAGGAGATGGTGCAAGATCGAAGTAATACAAGCCACCTACTTCATGTCCCGTACCAATCTTCTTCTTCGTCTTGAGATCCTGAAAAATACAACATGTGAGATAAAATGTAACGGAGCAGTTAAGAGATTTACTAATTTTACTAATGGACAACAAATTAAAGGGGGATTGAGGAACATATAACACAGAGGAAAGGGACATAGAAGAGGTGAGATGAACAGTTCCCAAACCCAAAACTGTAGTGGATGAGCCATTAGCAAGAGTAACACTTTGAGAGGAAGGAATAGACTGAAAATCAGATAAGAGATGAGAACTACCAATCATGTGATTGGATGCGCCAGAGTCATGACCCAGGGACTCTGACGAGAGGACAAGAGACATGCAGGGGCACCACTTGATAGTGCAAAGGAAACCATGGAAGATGAAGTAGAAGGCCGTTGTTGAGACAGAAACTGAGCATATTCATTGCGGGGAATCGTAACCATAGCAGGCTCAACAGACACGTGTGGAGCAGGGGGTAGGGCAGAAGAATCCCCGTCATTAGAATTAACTTGATGTGCATAGGAAAAAGGTTGCAGTTTCCTATGAGGATCCCAACAGTAATTGACAGTATGATTAGTAAGACCGCAGTGAGTGCACAGTTTCGAGTCTCGACCTCTGCCACGATCACGACCACGAGTAAAACGACAGCCACCGCCACGGGAAGACTGAAAGCCACCCTGATTCACAACTAAGGCAGAACGTTCATTGCTAGGAGGAATAGTGACACCACTAGGAGAACCCCCTGAAGCGCCACTTGATAAAGTAGCACGCTGGAGTCGTGATAACATATCAGGAAGAGAGGGAAGTGCAAGGCTACCCAAAATTTGTGCTCGAACAGGTTCATACTCTGGTGACAACCCGGTAAGAACTCGAACAACATTAAAATCCTCACGTTGTTGTTGCATACTCTTCACATCAGAGATGATGGGTTGGTACAAGTTCATTTCTTCACAAAGTCCCATTACCCGTGAGAGATATTCTTCTAGACTGTGAGTACCTTGCTAGAGGTCAAAGAATTGTCTGCACACCTCATAAATTATGGTTATATTACCAGTGCCGAATATAACTGTTGGAGTCTGGTCCATATCTCCTTGGCAGTGTCCAAATACAACAAGTTGGAGCTAATATAAGGTTCAATACAATTCAGCATTAAAGAAATGATCTGAGCATCCCTTTGTTCCTATGAATTGAAATCAGCATCACTGTTCTTAGGTTTATCCTTAACCAAATGAGAGCCAAAACCTTTGGCTTTCAGGAAAATGGCTACTAACTTGGCCCAAAACATGTAATTTTTGCCATTGAGCTTAACTAAAGTCATGGGAGGATTGAAGGAGGCAGAGGATAACAGATCGGAATTGGCAGCCATGGAGAAGAACCAAAAAAAAAAACGAACCTAGAAAAAAATGCAGAAATTGTATTCTGGCCTGATCTCGAAAGCGGACCGGATCTGGGCAAACGGGCTGGATCTCTGCTATCCCGGTTTTAGTAAACCAGGGTTGGAATAACTATCCCGGTTTTAGTAAACCAGGGTTGGAATAACATAACCGTGTAGCCAAACACGGTTCTTCTTCTTCACACCTTCACGGACGTCGGGGAACAACACAGCGGAGGCTTCAGCGACCTAGTCACAAGCAGCAGACGAATCAATAAGCAGCAACCACACCGAATCAGAACCTCTGAAACTTCCGGCCAAAAAAGGAACCACGAATTGATGAACTCACCGCTGCAAATAACGACGGTAGATGTCGGCGAGCTCGCTAACAACCAAAACAGCAACAACACGAGCAACAAAACGAGCTTCAGGTCTGACAACGACAAATGAGGCTTCAAATCTGAGGACGACGAACGAGGAGATCTCAATCCGACCGGCGACCAAACTTCCCGCAGAGAGAACAATGCCATAATCGCGATTCCGATCGCAATTCCGATCTTATACAAGAACAACACACTTGCCATTTCCCACACCCATGAATTCATATTGCTCTGATACCATGTTCGAATTCATGAGAGAGAGAGAGAGCAAGACTCTGTGTATATTGTATATATCTTTACCCTTAAGCCTACAGTGGCTTATATAAAGGAAAACAAATAACCTAATTATACAAGGTTACCTAATTACACAATGATCCTAACAACTATGGATAATAACATAATGACCCAACATAAATATATATATACATAAACATTCTAACACATACAAAAACTTATATATGCTATAAGCATAGATTTTTACAAGTGCTTGAGATGCACATGGTTCCATGTTCTCCCTTTGACGAACTTATATTCTTTTTATCTTTTTCTTTTTCCTTTTTTTTTTATTTATTTAATAAGTAGAAACTTCTCATACTCTGGGAGCGTTGCATGAAAGAGAATATCTATGCTATAAGCAATCACTCATTGATTGACCTGCCATTAGATTACGCAGCCAAATCTTTATGAATTTCATCCCATAAATTGCTTTCTTAACTGCCGTAATTGTAAAAACTAAAATCTATGCTAGTTTTAGAATTAAAAACACGTTTTTATGAATCAGAAATATAATTTTCCAAAAACAGTTTATGCATTCTAAAACATGTTTCAATAAATCCAGATATAAATTTCAAGCCCTAGCATGTATATGAATCCTAAATTGGTGAGTGCAAAACAAAAAAAGTAAATAAATAAAATCAAAACAGTAGTCCACCACTATACTAGTGTAAGTGTCTTAAACAAGTAAACTACCTCCATTTTACTTGCAGGAAATATATTCAGCCTGCGTATCCTCTGAGGATATTCCAACTCAGCGTCATGCTTTTGTTTACCATAGGTGATCCCAGAGAAAGCTGCAGGTGGATCCGGCTGCTCAGGACAGCTTATAGGACCAAAATCATGAGATCTACCAGAAACTAGTTGAGCTTCAAACGAAAGATGAGGCCTGGGAACTACATATAAATGAGGAAAAATAACTAGCATATGAATCAGGTAATGTAAAAAAATGAAGGAAAAAACATAAGAAATAAATTTGGCTAGTCAAATCACTGTAGATGCATGATACAAGAAGTTATTGCAAGGCATGAGCATAGATAGCTCACAAATACAAATTCACATCAGAAGCTAACAAGTAACAGACATAAGAAAAAATTCTCTATTGATATTGCAGGATAGTAAAAACAAGGTTCCAATTAAGGCTGCAAATGAACTGAGTTGTTCATGAAGAACTTAGACTCAACTGCTTACAAGTTCGGTCCTTGTTTGTTCATTAAGTTACTAATTTCGAGCTAATTTTTCAGGGCCCTCCAATAAACGAGCTGACCAAACACTATCTGGCTCAGCTCATAGCTTCCTATAAGCTTGTGATCAAAACCACAAAATCTCAGGCTCGTGCCCCATAAATCACTATCTGGAAAAAGGAAGTGTGATATGCAGCCCCTCATGGTCGTGTGTGGTATATTATCGGGGGATAGAGATGGCAGTCTCTTAAGGGGTGGAGGAGCCAATTCATAAACCTAGTATATTGTTGGGCAATTGCTGTTCTGTTTAGTTGTGTGACAATAATGGCAAATCCTTGTTTAGTTTGCATGAAAATAATGGTGAATCCTTCACTTGAGACCTTTTTGGACTTTGGAGATAAGTAGGATCTTTTTGTTTCTTTTCTAGATGTCTATAACTTTATTGCATTATTGTGCATGTCGATTGTACATGGGCCAGGCCCCCAATAGGTACTCTTTAATGAAAACCTTTACTTATTATCATATAAGATGAGGTCATAATGAAACTACTTATTGCATATGGACCTACATACTATTCTTCATTATGTGTGGACCAATAAATGTAAAAATAACTAACATTTACCAAATTAAATGCTAATCTACATAGAACTTTTATCTACTTGTCTATCATCACTTTTCAAGAATATTGTATAATGAAGTGTTGTATCAACAGACCAAAAATAAAGGGTACAAACATATATATGGACTAACTTCATCCACTGTTAATTAATTCATACAGCACAACAAGTCTAAGAAAATCCACCACTTTGAGAAGTTCTATCAATTAAGAAGTTCATCAGCACACAAAAGATCTTGGAGAAACTGTTTTAACTACGTTCATAGTGAACTGATCATTTCATGAAAACCGATCTCCATAAACATATAAAGAAGCTCTTAACAATATTCCAAATTAAAAGCAAGTTGTGCATATTTGAACAAAAAAAAAATTCATCATCTCAGAACTCAGGCTCGCTCACTCTAATTTATCATAGGATGAAATGCAAAGTGGAATACCTCAAGCCCAGTAATTTTACAATAAAATTTACTTAAGTGAAATCCTTCTATTTATTCAAAGATGAAAATATAAGCCTTTCAAAAAAAAAAAAAGAAAAAAAAAAGATGAAAATATAACTTCTAAAAACTTGCAATAAACTAATTCTATGCCTCTAAGAAAATTCTATCTTATCCAATAGAAATTAAATACTCATTTATACAATAGAGTTTCAACATTCTTTAATTCTTTGTACTTGGTAGTATCAAACAAGAAATCATTCACCAGTGCAAATGCCTAGGCCAGACTATTTAGATTCAAAGCAAATTGCAATCATACAGCTGCGGAGAAATAGTGGAGCTATATAAAGAGGGGAATGAAGTAAAAAGGATTAAGGTAAAGGATAACAATACCACTATCAATTTTCCACCCATTGTTGGATAGATCTTGGATGCGGCCCCATAAATCTTCCAAGAAGTCCTAAGATAAATTAAAAAACAAAGGTTAAAGGGCAGAGAATCTGCTGCCTATTATCATAAAACAAAATAATTATGTCATAACTGACATTTTATATATATGAACTTATCAGACAATAAAATTGACGGTATTGATGAGAGGCACGATAACCAAAATTTTCCTTCTCGCTTTGTTTTAGCCTCTTTCTCTTGAAAATTTTTCATTTCAGATAAGAACCGAGGAGAGCAAACCCCTCTCTTCTGTAACAGCTAAAATCTCAAACTGTCAGAGCCAATTTGGCTGGTCCATACTATTTTTAACCAATTTTCCGATTCTCCATATTATTTTGACATCTAAACTCTACTTTGGTATTTAAAAAAATAAAATAAAATAAAATAAAACAAAAAAGTTATAGCAAATAGATAACTAAACTTCTGTTATTACATATGTTCATAGGACCAACCCCAATGTGGAACACTGACATGATCTAGCCCTGCATGTTCTATTCCAACTGAAAATATGAAAAAACTACAATAACGATACATGGACTCTTTTAAATGTGTTGTGTGCCTGAGTTGGACACAACACGACAGGGTATTGAATATAGGACTTGTTTATTACATATGTAGTAAGATATGCAACCAATAAGTGTGTCCAAAATTTCAATAATACATGGAACTTTCTAATCATGCTCCTCTGTTACATTGTCTCGTCTGGCATTCTGTTCTCCACTTACGGGGTGATAAAACTTATGAAGAAAGTTCCGTTTGCGGAAGTGAAGAGAGCCCGCGATGGGTGTTTGACTTAGGTACACCCTCAGTCTCATGCGCTTGTCTTTTCTCTAGACAATAACTCTTTTTCCCTTGGGACTTTTTGCTTGACTAAGGGGAGTAGAAAGGTTAAAATGGAGCTTTTAAAAATTAAAATTAAAAAATAGAGGATTACTTCGTTTCTGATAGTTAATTACTGAATCAGTGGATAGCATACTCTGGAACGGAATCGTGGGGAGTACTGTTTGATCATTTCTACCAACTTAAAGCCCCAATTAGAATTCCTTTTCTGCAAATATCCCATCGGATAACTTACATAATCTCTATTACTAATCCTTTAATTTCTTCAAAATGAGAGAAATTTCTATACCTGAACTCTTTGTTACAAAAGCACACCAATTTACCCGCAACTCATAAATAGTCTGAATAATATAACAAAGCCAAGTGTCCTTAAACCTATGGATCCAACACCTAGAAACAAACCCATACCCGAAACACATCTGAGTCAATATAACAAAAATCTATACAAGCAAATTAGGTAACATAGGTTGCCAGACATGCATATTTTACTAATTTGCGAAGCTCACGTTAATGTTAAACCTTCTACACTGTTGAGAGCCAAGGGTTTGTCATCTTTGTCAAATATGGGTGATTTTGGAAAGAAAGAATCAGGATGAAGATTAAGCCTAAGTTTGGATAATACATAGATAAACACGATTGGTTGTGAAAAATTGTATGTATATTCAATGGATCTTTTAGTAATATTCGTACTCTTTAAGATTTGCTTTATAACAGTTCCGGTGGATCTACAATACTTACTAAGATGTTGCCTAAAGTAATACCACCCATTATTGTCATTGTCGCCATGGCCCACAGTCCACACCAACCCAGCACTATCACTAATCTCACCACCAGCAGTGCACCAACATTTAGCGACACCTCATGATGTACAGCAATTTTTTGGAGCAACACTCTCCAACTATGAACAGTTAATGTACGGCAGTGCTAAAGAAGGTATTAAGGGCCAACTATAATTGGTTTTTTGTGGCTACAAGATGGGTAATACTATGCAGTTTTTAATATTTAGGATACAGATAATGATTTAGGTATAGATTAAGAAAGTAAAAGGTAACATTTTGGGGATTCAAAGGCTTGAAGAAGTGCAGATTTTAAGAAAACACATAAAAAGAAAGAAAGGAATAAGGATCTAGAAATCACACTTGGCTTTAGAAATGCATCACATAGTCCCAAAAGAAATTCATAAGTTTTGGAAATTCTCCAAGCCAATCTCAACTGAATTGAAATGAGTAATAAAATCTAATGAATGCCAAATTCGTTCAAGGCGTGGCATCAGAAGTAGCTGCCTTAGAACTTGAAATCGAGCAAATTTTAAATTTTCTCATTTCTTTGAATTTACTTTTCATAGGTGGGAGTGAGGGAAGCTACTCTGTACCACAGACCTGAGGAGATGGATCTTCGCGATCCTTAGCTTCTTATGATACACAACCGCACACCACTAATAGCACATATACCATTCCCACCATTGTCAGTCCCAGGGCTACATAGTACACTGCCAACCCCACACCAGCAGCACAGTGGCTTTGCCATCTTCAAAATACCAACCATCCAAAACCAGCATCACATAGCATGTACAAACTCAAAGTTTTGCATTATGAATGAGTAATTATTTCAACTAAAAGAATACACACAAAAAGCTACATTAAGAAACATAATCATTGAAATTCATTAAGCAACATAACATTTTGAAGAGACAGTAAACAAAACAAAGCTGCCATCCTCGAGTCATTTAAAGGTCATTTTAGTACCCATAATGGGGTTGGTTGTTAGCTTGTTAAAGGTTTTCTGCTCTAAATTTATCATTGCCTTATTCTCAATCTCTCTGTCTTGATAGTATTATGGTTTATTACCCATAATGGGAAAGGATAAACAATTTTACAATTACATAGTAATCATATAAAATGATGAAGAATGAATATAAGGAAATCATACCTTTTCACTGAGAGCATTTTCTGTTTCATCAACATCTTCAAAAACAGAGTAACCAATGTCGGAAACACGCCTTCTAATTTTTAAATAGGATTCGAGCCCAACCATAACTCTCTCGATCTCCTCTGGAACTTGCTGCACACATTGACAAGCTTTGTCATCCCTCTTTTTTTCTTTTTTTTATTTTGGTTGGTTTCCATAGTTGTTGTTGTGTGTGCGGCAGGCAAGTGGGTCTTGGGGAGGATCGTTAGGTTAGATGTGAGTACTTAACATGCAAATGTATACAAACAAATGACTGTGAGGCATAATAATAATTCAGAAGTTCTGAGGTCATAATCATAGCACATAATGAACAAATTCAACCCTGCTAGACTCTGTCCTTTTTTAAAACCAACACTACAACTCCATTATTTTGATCAGAAAAGTTATATACGCAAACCACTTCTCAAACAATATAAACATACAAACAGATTTATACAAAGAGTAAATAGGCACACAGAGAGCAAACATAAAATTTCATCATAATCTTACATTTAGCGAGTTATTATTTAGTGTTTTTATTACAAATTGTGGAGCATCAACGTTACCAACACCAAGTCACACAAAGAACCAAAGGTGTAAAGGACACCAAGTCACAAGGAAGAGTGATCGTACCATAGTACGGTTTGTACGCCTACAGCAGTTCAGTACAAGGGAGGATGTCTGACATAAGTCTTGGTCTGAGGCAACTTGGGAATTCTATGGGGTTTAGAATCTGCAACCAAGGTATGTAAACCTGTCTTCATATAGTTGCTTCATCTTCTTGGCCTAGGATTCCATGGTTTTTTCCTTATGAGATTTTTCATGCAAATTTAGGAGTTCTTGTCTGAATATTTAATTTTGTATTTCTGCTCTATTTTCAACCATGCTTTTCTTAGGGATGTCAAATCCAACCCTCTCAGCTTCAAGCATGCGTAGATCCAAAGGAATCCCTTGAAATTGTGCATCAAGTTGTTGATCTCCAAGAGACAGACTGATGCAGGCAAAATTTCAAATTTTCTGCAATGGAATTTGTTTTTTTCATAAACTTTCCATATTTTGAAAGTTTCCTTATTTTGAGTAGTTTTATGATTTTCGTCAGCTTTCCTTTATTGAGTAGTTTTCTGATTTTCAGCAGCTTTCCTATTTTGATATTATTTTATATTTGGTAGTTAGCTAATATAAGGCTAGGATTGAGGAGGAAGAAACTCTATATAAAGCCTTGTAATTGCTAGGGTTTGGGGATTAGTGAATAGATTATTATTTTCACAACAAATAAAGTTTGCTTTGCAACTTTGCAATTCTCCTTTCTCTAGCATTATTCTTTTATTTCGTTTTAATATTTTGGTGAAGACGATTTGATCCAATCCTCTTGGAAGGGTGGCATCGTTCTTTTATTTCTTTTCAATATTGCTGTGAATATGAATTAATCGTATCCTCTTGGTAAGGCAGCATCACAGACTCATGGTGACAAAAGCTTTTATGGTAGCATCTCCGTTCCGAACTCCCGTATCAACAGTCAGACGAACAGGATTTGAAACTTCTCCAGAATAAAATTCATGGATCAACACACTACTGCCGGTGACTCCAAAGCCAGTTGAAAACCATCCAACAATGACTTCCTTTGGATTCACCTTCTGGTGGGATGATAACATATTATGATGGTAATTGAAATCCAAAGCAACCCGATCGGAGGACTCGTTGTGAGGAACAGCATATGAGTTCAGGATATATTTCTGCTCTATTTATAGTTTTGTTTCTACATATTTGAATATAATTGTAAAAATTAAAAAATATATTGTTACTAATTAGTGCTTTACACTAACATCTCAACATGTTAACTAGATAATTTTTTATGGCATGATTCTCAGAGAACGGTTGAGTCAGGATATAAAAATCTTGGAAGATTTTGATTTCTTCTGATTTGCTTTGATCAATCATGGTATGATTTAGGTTTATATATATGTACAATAATAATTGAGTCTCTTATTTTTAGAAAAAATATACATATTAAAAATAATAATAAAAAAAAAAAAAAACTTGTCTATTGAGTTATTAATTATATATTTAATTCAATATCTAATTTTATTTTTTTGAAATTCAGGGGATTTCAATCATTCAATGCAAAGGTAAATTTGCTTGAACTTTTTATGAGGTCTTAAGAGTCAAATTCCAGAGAGCTTCAAGTGAAGTTTTGATTGCTCAAAACTACTCCAGAGAGCTTAGAGAGCTTCGATCGAAGGATCTATCATTCAAACCTGATGAGCTTATTGCTTGAAGACCACTAGAGTGGCTTTATCAATAGAAGGGGATTGTCAATCAATCAATCGTATACAACTTTTTAGGAACCTAAATCTTACCATCTTCCACCAACTTTCCTCAATGGTGAATAAATCCTAATTGGAAGAGGAATAACTCTATAAATAGAGGGGTTTCAATGTTCTGATCTCTAGCACAACCTTTCAAGCTCTTCTCTACAACTTTCTGAAGCACTCAAAAGACTCTCCCTCTACACCTTTTATAAACACTCTCTCTCAAACATCCATGGCTTTCACTTGATGGATCCTTGCTAGTACCGCTCTCATGGCCAAAACCAAAGCCCATCGCAAACCACCCAAACAACAAAGGCAAGGTAGAAAACCCTCTAGTCATGGCAGAGCTTTAACTTTTAAGGATTTCAACACCAAGCAACTTTCACACAACTAAAATCAGATTTTACTAGTCATGGAGATCAAAGCACAATTGAGAAGCAGATAGCATGAGGAGCATGTTCGTTGACTGGTAGCAACAGTGTTTGAGGAGAACTGACCCAAGTTTAGGTTAAAGGTATCTAAGATATTCTAAATTCTGGTATAGGTTTGTAAACCTTCTTTGCATAGGATTTGATCTGCCAGGACTTGGTCTTGTGGTATTTCCTCTTTGGGGGTTTACATGTAAAAATTTGGTGTCCATTTTATTTTTTTTGATAAGTGTAAAAATTTGGTGTTCATGTGTGCAGATTTTTACAGTTTATATTTTTACATGCTTCATAAGTAGTTGAAATTCGTAATTTGGTTAAATTTAGTTTGAATTTTAAATTTATGTTAAAAGTAGATAAGTTGATCTCAAGACCTACTCACCCCCCTCGAGGTCTAGTTCGAGCCTTCACGTACTCTGACTATTCAGAATCAGGCCAAGAAAATAGTTGATCTAGATGTCAGAAAAATTCAAAATTTTACTTTCAACATGGTAATCATGAATTGAATTATTATTTGAGGATCCTTAACAGTTGGGACCATCAATAGTACAGTAAATTTTTGCGCTAATTTACAAAATCTCATTTGCGTATTTTGTAAAAAGATTTATATGTATCAACTTCAGCAAACATGATAGAAGTTAAAAGTCCCATTAATTATTATACAGTGGAACCATATATGATTTTCATCTCACTTCCACTTAAACTCGTGATTCGCACTTCTTTATTTCGAAACTTCTTTTGATATTGATACAAAAAACAAAACAAAACAAAATTATATAAATACCAATTATCATCTCCAATAGCATCCAACAATATGATGTATTCCTGTTTGCTAGTCAATTCAAACTATCAGATCAGTAATTTGCCAAATAATATCATAAATCTTGCCAAAATTATGTTCATCTTTCTCACATGAAGAAAACTATTTTGTGCAGAATCAATTTATAGAGCACAGGCTGAAACAGGTGAAATCAAGGGGCATTACTTGAATGCTACTGCAACTACATGCGAAAAAATGATCAAACTTTTTTGTTGAATGGTTAGCTTGCATCAGTTTCAACAATAACAAACAATTTGTATGCAAAATAGTTAATCAGAAAGCAAATGAATCATATGATTTCTCCAGAAGACCATTGAGATACCTCGGTGAGTTCTGCTGCTCCCCAAGGGAGACAGGACAAAACACAAGTTATGTAGAAGTCAGCACGTGCTTGCCAAGATGGATTTCCTTTTTCCTCATCCACTGTTGTTGCAGCCGATGATAATAATGTTTCAAAGACAACCACTAAAGAACTTGGTTGGAGGACTTTGCTGCACATCTACAAAGAACATAAAAGGACATTTTATATTACCAACACAAAATATAAGGAACCATATGAGACTTTGAACATAAAAGATTATGTAATCTTTGAAACCCAGATGTTTATTAGGGCACATGAATGTTTTAATGGAAAATGGATGAAAAGAAGCACTAGGACCTGCAATTGACGAGTAAGCCTAAAAAACACAAGACAATCCGTCATAGGATCTATAACTGTTTTATTAAACTCCATCAGGAACTAGGATGTTGAGTGAAAAGGAAAATAAAAAATAAAAAATTTGGGCGGAAGGAAGAAAATGGATGAATATTTAAAGAACATCTATAAATAATGTGAAGACCTGTTTATCCATTAATTTCCAAATTATATTTTTTTTTTTCCCAAATAAATGATTATCAATGCAATATGAATTATCACAATAAACCGACTTTGGACTCAAGTTAGATATTGGATGATTAAATAGCAGCAGTAATAACCTACCATAGCTGTCAGAAACCGCATCAGTATCCGAATACTGTTGCAATTACCAAAATCTAGAGCATCCTGAAATTACACGAGAAGGAGTTAGGAGCCAAAAGCAAAGAATCATAAAGTGAAGATATTTCAACAAGAATGGTAAATATTAAATTTAAATAAGCTTCTTCTAGCATCTATGATTTTTATATATCATTGCTCAAACAGTAATCAACAAATCATATTGTCTGTCAGAAAATTTTTAATATTAGCCGGCAGGGTATTTCCTGTCCATCAAAGGAACCACAAGCTGAATGCTCACACGAGCCCAATTTGCACATTGTCCTGCTTAAAGAATAGAATCCAATAACGTCAACACTGAAAGTTCCTAAACTGATAAGAAGCAGTTGAAATGTATCTATTAAGAATAAAATATCAATAATGTTAAACACTATTGTAACTACTCCATTTGCATCAAAGAAAACCACAAGCTCCACTACTTACGCGACAAACTCAGACATTCTTCAACCAAAAAGACAAGTAACCAAAAAATCTTGAGAGACTGAGACCCTCTGGTTTCCAACCCAAGAGGCATTCCAAATCTATCAATTCAAAGTAATTGCACACGATGATGTCAATACTTTAAGATAAATTTTGTTGCATTTATTATTTGTAGCTCTCACGCGGAAGAGAAACCTCAAACCAGAGAGGTATCATATAATTTCATCTTTGATAAACCATGATATCAGTTGCCATGTTGTTCAATCCACAGGTACACATACATAACCTTCGGATATTTTCAGTGACCATATTATGAACTGGACCTTGTCAAGTCACGTTAATACCACTTATCCACACCAAAAAAAACAGTCAGCATTAAAACATCGGGCTGAAATAACAGCAGAAAACAAGGCTTTATTTAAACCAAAAAATATATATATTAAATATTAAGGCTTAGGGTATAGAACTAAAATTACATTCTACTCAACGGACTTGGTAGGAAAATGGATCATGCATATGGCAGCATTTTGAAATTAGTTTTCAGAAATGAAAATTTTAATAGCAGATCTAGTGAACCATAAAATGACAGATAGAGGTTGATATCTATGCAAAATGTGACAAAAGAGATTGCTCACCTGCAAATTAGTTTGAGTATTCTCCACTACTTTTCTGACAAAGTCCTCATTTTCTAAGTTCAACAAACCAATCTGGAGAGAGAGAGAGAGATCAGACAAACTATAGAAAAGCTTTCATTTATATGCAGAAAATTTTCAATTTTAAAAAGACCTTATCTTAGAAGACAGCAATCACACCATATAATTGGAAGACAAAAACTATAAAGCACATGCACAAAACTTGTCAGGTTCTTTAAATGTACAATAGCAAGAAATGGGCAATTAGAAAATGTCATGGTCTTTGGCGTGAATAGCATCCTACCATTACAGTCGTATTAGTAGCAAAACCGAAGGACTTCTAATGAGTGGAGGGATAATTCACGCCACTAACTCTAATGTAGTTTCCTTGGTCTTTTATGGTATTCCTACATATATCAAAAAAAGAGCAACCAAAAACAATACTTTGTAATAGCTATATCTGAAGCCCAGAACCTGAGGTAAGTTACACAGTGTAAAACTACAAAATCTACATGAAACATTTGTCAGTTATATGCTTTGATTCTAAAAAAAATTAATTTAAACTTCAGTTTCAAATAAATTTCCTCGACATCTCTGAATAAATCTACCTATTAATCCATCCACAGTCTATATATACATACATACAGGGAGAGGAAAGAAACCAACCACAATAAAATTTGGAACACATTAATTAAAGGAGATACAACTGTGTAAATGTACCTACCACTGTTCCATAAAGAGGTATCTTGTGAGGCAATTGTTCAGCACATTGGAGTAGAAACTGTTAGAATGGAAAGAACAAAGTGAATACATCAGCATGTAAATACCAGGAAAACAATATACAAATTCAAAAAGTACGTCTTAACCTGCAACTGATTTCCTGGTCCAGGAGTCAGAATACATGTGTATATGCTTGTGTTATATATGTCCCAATTTTTTAAAAGGTTAGACTTTGAGTTGTATTGGTTTGGGGATGTGTTATCAGACTTTGGCCCCAAGTAGTTCCTTTCCTTGCCCAACAAGAATTTGTATAACTTGTTCACCAGGCTAAGTTGTTTTATAAATAGATATGGAGCTGAGTGGATAATGTAGAGAAGAAAAGAGAATGGAATAAATGAGAAGTGAAGAGAGTGGGTCGGTGCAAAGGGGCACCAAGGGTAGAGAGATGCAGCTTCATAGAAATTGGTGAGTGTGTGGGGGTAGAGATGATGAGTGAGTGGGTGGTATAAAGTGAAATGCTCGAGTATCCAACACTATACCTTGAGCAGAGAGTTTGTGTACACGGTTAGGTGTTCAAAGTCTCTACTGGTATAATTTCTCATGAGACGGTAAGGGAGTGGGCATTCTCTACAGTTGTATATCCTATTCTTGATTGATTATAGTGAAATTTCTTCTCCCTGTGGACATAGGTCAAGTTCAGTCAAACCACGTAAAATATTGTGTTTCCTTTATGTTGTTTGTTTGTTTCGTGATTGGATCTCCATGATAGTTTGGGTTTGCTTTCGTTGTGCTAAACAAATGAAGGGGATTAATTCCCAACAGCTTGTGTGCACTTATAAGTACTGAACAAATTCTTGTGTTTTTGCATGTAAATGAATTTCAAAGAGAATCACTTGAAGTTGTCACAAATAGCAAGAACCACAAAAATTATATTAAAGAGCATATCCAAAAGCCACTAGCCATGTACTAAAAATGAATATTGCATGCCCTGGGCCAGCAATTCAACAATAACTCATCGAGTAGTGAAGTACCAAACAAAATTATATGCCTAAAGAAACACAAAAACACCAAGTAGATAAATCAAAGCCTCTGCCCCTGATATCCACTTGAACGGAGCCTGATGATTCTACTTGGAAGGGATATACATAATTACATACAGACGTATGAATACAGATACTACCTGTAACCAGTACCACCTCGATTATATCAGGTTATGGCAATAAAATTTAAAAAACATATGCATGTATTATGGTAACTATTGTATTACACGATCTTTAAAAGTCCCAACCCAGCGAACCCACCAAGAAATTAGCGAATTTAGCTTCCTTTTGGCTAATATTACAATAACATAAAAACATATTATGTGCAAGTGTGAGAACACAGTTCTATAATTTTAAGGGGAAAAAATATATTCACTGTTCACGATGTGATTTAGTATCGACTCTTTGCTATTATCTACTCTTTACAACAAAATTTTATATTCTTTATTGGCGTGTAATTTAGTATAACACAACGAATATACAAGAAAAAAAATATATGTAAATTCTTACAGTCAAAATATCATTGCCAGAGTGCTCTAACTCTCGCCGGACTACGCCGTAACATGTCTCCTGCAATTGCAAAAGAAAAACAAACACGATGTCAAATGGGTGGGGTGCACCACATAGTTGCTTGAAAATAAAGAATTGCTTGAAAGTTGGTGTATAATTGTAAAACCCACATATTTAAGCCAACAGTCAATAATTGTTCTCGAGGAAAAAAAAATTAGGGCATTGAACTAAGTAAATATGAAAGAAAAACAGTACTGACAATGTGATCTTTGAGGTCTGAGTTTCCGCCATATTCAGGGCACTTTTCACCGATCCGCAGAATTAGGGTTCTCCAGCTGCTCATTCTAACCTACTATGAACCAACAAAATCAAAACAGCGACTGTGTGTGTTTGTGCGCGCGCTATGTGGAGAGACAAAGAGGTTGGGGACGAAATGAGGAAGGAGGAGGGCTCGAAGGGTTTTGAGATTAAAATGACGAAGTGTGATAAAACGGGTCCAAGCCCAACCCGTTAAGTATGATACAATTGGGGTTCTGAAGCAAACCTATTAATATACGGGTCCAATCCGATTTCTAAATTTCACCCACTTCTTTTTCCAACAACAACATTTTGGCATTTTAACATAGCTTAGAAATTAACAACAAAGAAAAATGTAAAAATAGTAAACACTTGCTCCGTTTATTTAAGCATAAAATAATTTTCGTAAAATATTTACTAAGAAAAAAAATATTAAAATCTAATAAAAATAACGTATTCATCAATTTTTAACATATTATTTTACATGCCACGCACGATGGACTCGATTTCAACCTCGACTTATACCTTTGACAAACACCAAAAAATAAAAATAAAAAAACATATATTTTACATGAAAAAAAATAATATTTTCTGAAGAAAATATTTTATGTTTAAATAAAAGGAGCCTAAGATTAGCCCAAAATTGTTCATCTCTTTCCTCTTCAAAAGCCTCTCTTTTTTTCTTTATTCTTTTTTTTCCCACTTCTTTTATTTTTGCACTTAGGCATGATGTAAATAGTATCTACAACAACATTTTTTCTTTTTTTATTATTCTTTTTATTTCTCTTTTCTTGTTTAAATCTACTCTGTAATTTTATGAAATCAAAGTAAGTAATTTTATGCATTGTTTTGAAATACGAACACTAGTTGTAATTGTATGAAATCAACTGTAATTGTATTCAATAAAAATATTACCTATCCATAGTTTGGTTCTTATGTTTGTCAACTATTTATCTTTACTCCTTCGCTAATATATTATTTTACAATAATTTTAAATTTATTATTTACCTTTTCATTTGAACAGTCTAAATTTGTCGTAGTTGATTTATTTTTTATTTTTTTTCCAAGTACACTGCATGCCCCTGAAATGAAATCTTAGCTGCCCAAGGATTTGGTGGAACATAATCTCTTTCGAAACTACCCATTAGAATAATAAGGGGTAATTTGTTAAGTTTAGCAGAATGTAAAACAAAAAATTAATAATTTAAGGGTCACACAAGTTTGTACTAATCAGCATTTTGAGCTTGCAAGACATAATATAGGCTCTATTTCTAAAATCAACCATGTACTCAATCCAACTCAACTGTAATGCTAGGTTTTGGTATGCCGAAATGAAACGAAATGTAAGAATCAATTGAGGTCCATTCAATTTTCATTCTATTGTTTGATTGCATATATGAAATGATTAAGGGGTGGAATGGTCATCATGATTCTAGAGTTTGGTTGGACCATTTTTTAAACTAGAATGAAATGAATTTCAATTCTCTAAATTATCTTTAGTGACAAATAAGTTAAATAAAAAAATAATAACATTATTCTACATACTTTAAAAATAAATAAATAAAATTAATGTCGGTGGTGGAAGGCTGGCAACGGTGATGGAAGACGGTGGTGGCAATGGAGGAAGGAGGTGGTGGTGGCGGCGGCGGAGGTAGTGGTGGTGGCAATGACAGTGGTATTTATAAGGGTGGTGGTTGTGAAAGGCGGTGGCGATGACGGTAAAAGGTAATAGAGATGGCGTTAGTTGTGGTAGTGATGGTAGTGGAAGGCCGTGGATGTGGCTAGGTGGCGATGATGGCGTAATTTCTGAGCTTAGAATGTAAGGATTTAAAAAAATAAATAAAAAATAAAATTAACTGGGAATGAAAAGGTCATTTCATATAGGTTGAAATATGGAATGAATATTTCTTTTTTCTTTTTTTTTTTCTTTCTAAGGGATGGTCATTCCCCCTTTTTCTTTTTCTTTTTTTTTTTTTCTTTTTTTTTTTAATACCAAACAAGTAGAGTGATCATTCCATTACATGTTTAGACAATCTCTGATGCAATGTTATATGGGCTGTCATTTTTAAAATATAGCACATGAGCTTAAAATAGACTCTCCAATGGGCTGTCAATTGGGTTGCTAATTTTTAACTTTGCCAAATCTATGCCAATTGTAGCACAAGAAATAACAATTGCTACAGAAATAGAAGGGAACGGCTCCTATTTCTCTAGGGTAACAGAGAGAGAAAAGATAACAGCGGCAACAGAAAGGGAAGAGAACGGCGACCAGCGACAAAAAGAGAAGAAAAGGGACGTCCTGTATTTTCTTTTTTCATATTTGTACTTTCTCTTCACCTGTATATGTGTGTGTCGAGAGAGATGTGGAGCTGAGTCTGTGTGTTAAATAATGAGCTTTCAGAGATCGGCGGATGGGAAATGGAAGTGATTTCTGTGTCTTATAGTGAATACCCAGGAAATATATTTGTAGATTTTGCCTATATATATAACTTTTGCATTCTTTTTCTACTATTTCTTACACTACAATCGCAACAGTGCAGTCTCTTGCATTATCGTCCTAAGTCACACCAAACTCGTTCCCTTTTAGTTACTCTTTCTTTTTTTTGTGGGAGTGATTCTATATTACTCAGTTACTCAATTCATGCTTACATATATGGAAAAATTAATTCATTAATATGATTTTTCATAAAGGGTTTTATTTATTATTATTATTATTATTATTTTAAATGATCGCAATATACATGAGGGAAAATTTGGGTGAATTGGGTCTTTGAATTTGTTTGATATACAACAATAATTTTTTAGTTAGATTGTTGATGAGAATATAAATTCAGGATATTCAATTGTTATTGCAGACACATATACTATCAATATCATCACAAAATAAAGTATTATGAATATGTTAAAGTTGTTCATAGTTTATTGTTGAGTATATATTAATTTGATTATCAGCGAGGTGAAATGTTAACATTGAAGCTTCGTGGATAGATAGACAAATGGTTTGATCAAATTTGCTTTCTTACATTGATTTCAGTATTTATGTGCACACGTGCTTCGGAGTATAGGTTAAGAAATTATTGGGCTTTCATTAAGTTAGGGTTTTTAATTGAAACACAACATGGTATGGATTGCTGCACTTTACTGAAAAATTCCACTAAAAACACAAGCATTTCAAAATTTATATCTCATGAATCCCTTGGCTATGTAACTCTGTCCTGCTTCATGTACTCCTTTAATCTCTCTTGGCTATGAATCCCTTACTTCATCCTCATATATGTGTGTGTGTGTGTCTATATATATATATATATATATATCTTCTCAAACTAGTTAAGAATTGAACCATGAAACAAGAAATAAAAATGTGAAGACATGAATATTGCAGTACTGCACTATTCAATCAAAAGAGACAATTGTTTAGGAACATGGAGAGGAATGATTCTTGTCATTCTTAAAAATAGTTGTGACTTAGGATCTCAGTGCTCACAATCAGGCCAGGGAGTTTTTCTAAATTAGCAGGTGTTTCGCTACATCATTTGATTAATATTGTTGTCTGAATTCCATGCATACTAAAGTTGTTTAAGCTATGAAAATGTTGGTCATACCTAGTGTTGAATGTGGCATGTTCTTCTACATATAATGAATATTTTGATTAGAGAGAGACGAAAGGTGAAAATAGTTAAATTCATTGGACAATATTCACATATTTTGGTAAATGAATTTAAATTCGTGAATATATAGTATTTTTGTCTCTTCTTGTAAAAAATGTCTCTCTTGTATATCATTTTTTCTCGACTACAAATATTGTAACGACCCACTCCACCACATGGTATGATATTGTCCGCTTTGGGCCTGAGCCCGCACGATTTTGCTCTTGAGCTTCACCCCAAAAGGCCTCATACCAATTAGAGGTGACATACTTACATATAAGCACTTCACCTTTCCTCTACCCAAGCGATGTGAGACTGTGCACCCGTAACTCGCCAGTGTAATAGCCTGACAGTGTCTCTTACACCCGCCCATGATACACCCGCCCACAAGGTCATCACAATGCTCTGATACCATTTGTCACGACCCACTCCACCACATGGTATGATATTATCCACTTTGGGGCTGAGCCTGCACGGTTTTGCTCTTGGGTTTCATCCCAAAGGCCTCATACCAATTGGAGGTGACACACTTACATATAAGCACTTCACCTTTCCTCTACCCAGGCGATGTGGGACTGTGCACCCGTAGCTTGCCAGTATGATAGCCTGACAGTGTTTCTTGCACCCGCTCATGGCACACCCGCCCACAAGGTCATCACATCGCCTGGGTAGAGGAAAGGTGAAGTGCTTATATGTAAGTGTGTCACCTCCAATTGGTATGAGGCCTTTTGGGGTGAAACCCAAGAGTAAAACCGTGTGGGTTCAGGCCCAAAGCAGACAATATCATACCATGTGGTGGAGCGGGTCGTTACAAATGGTATCAGAGCTTGACCCAGCCGGAAGTGTGCCGACGGGGACGTCGAGCCTCCAAAGGGGGTGGATTGTGATGACCTTGTGGGCGGGTGTGCCATGGTCGGGTGCAAGAGACACTGTCAGGCTATCACACTGGCGAGCTACGGGTGTACAGTTCCACATCGCCTGGGTAGAGGAAAGGTGAAGTGCTTATATGTAAGTGTGTCACCTCCACTTGGTATAAGGCCTTTTGGAGTGAAGCCCAAGAGCAAAACCGTGGGGGCTTAGGCCCAAAGCGGACAATATCATATCATGTGGTGGAGTGGGTCGTTACAAATATTCTAAAACTTTTATGCTAGGAACAAGTTCTTTTTGTTTGCTTTTCTTCTTCCCTTTTTAATTTGTCCTTTGTGCATTAAGGCCCGTTTGGCACGCGCTTTGTTTTTGGCGTTTTGTTTTTGGCTAAAACATAAAGAGTATTTTTGTTGTGTTTTAGGAAAAATTCAGAAGCTCATTTAGGAACGATGTTTTGCTGTGGAAATGTCGGAAACAAAAACATGCAAAACATGTTAAGTAAGTCATGCGTTTCAAAAATTTTGAAAACAAAACATATTTGGTCAGTCCAACTGTTACCAAAAAAAAAAAAAAAACAGAAACAAAAAAACATGTTTAATTATCATTATTTTTAATTTGTTTTTATAAATTTTAAGTATATTTA